ACATTAACATTGTTTAAGATTCGAGAAGTAATTATTGTAAACTCGCCCAATTAGTGGAACTAGATATGCTAAATATTGGCAACTTGCAAAACATATCATGACAACAAAGAATGGCCTTAGCCTAAAATACTTACAATGGAAACAATTTATTGAAACAATTTTTAAAAGGATGTACTTTATAGTAATTAATAATTTAAGAGTGAAATATAAAAGTACACTCTTTGTTTATAAATAGTCCCTACATTGCATATTTTATATCGTGTAAACCCCTTCGACACAGGCTGTGTATCAATTTTTTTATTCATAGAATTTATTTTACAAATACATATACAATACATAAACATTGTACACTTGTAGTGGCTTTGCTGAAGGCATTATTAGCCACTTGCAATTAACAATTGCAGAGAGAAGAAAAAAGAGAAAATTAAATATAAATTAAACTCAAGAGTGAAGTGAGTGGTGGCAGAGTAACCTACACATTTGCACATTTTTTCTAAAAATGATGAAGTGAGCTTGAGGATTTTCAAATTAGTGGATTTTGTTAAGTTTGAATCCCCATAAAGAAATAAATCTACTTTGTCCCTCTTGTGTTTGATTTGAGAATAACCAAAATTAAGAAAAGCTAAATTGTTTTCCAACTTTTCTAAGAATTGAGCATAACAGGAAAAAACAACATGAATTGTTGTTTCATTTGCATGGCCAGAAGAACATGCGGGTGAAGTAACGTTTGTAAAATTGTGGCAGCGTGACAGTTGAGCGTGTGGGGTAAGGTACAAGACGAGGATGACGGAACTCAGTAAATTGATGTTGTCATCGTTTCAGTAAGATCTGGTCTAGTTTATAGATACTTTTATATGTAAATGTCTGTAACTACATCCTAGACAGTGAACTTTACAGTGAATCTCACAGTTAAACCTACACAAACTCCGAATGTTCTACGCGCGGGTACATTTATTATGGCAATTCGATAGGTCTTTATTTATTTCCGATAAGGCAGTTATGATGTTTACATCTAATAATGATTTTTAATAATCTTTGCACTAATGTAGAACACTTATTTCCAAGACAACTACATCTCTGAGTTTGAGGGGGATATGGGTATACTCATTCTCAAAATTCATTTCGTTCGTTGCGTACCTTCACTACCTCTCTGACGTTGTTAAAATAGTTCTAAAATTCCCGGGGCACGATCTTAGAAAGATTCAGAAATTAGTACTTTCTTTATTACGAGATCAACAACGTCAAAACTTTAACATTCCATCAATCATAACGTTTACAAATGAGTTTACCATTGAAATTGGCAAGCAATGTTGTATTTGATGTGTTTTTAGGTAAAAATAATTGTAAAATGTCAAGATCGATAATCACTGGGTTCAACATTACTACACGATTTCAAGATGGCGGTGTCAAAATTTTCCAAAAACGCTTCAAATAATATTATGTTAATTTCTGGCGAGTTCACCAATATAATAACGTGTTATCTAACAACAAGATCAAGAAATATGTAAGAAATTCAATTTTATCGATTAAAACATCACATCGACATATGTGGTATTCGTTTATTAGACGATTAAAATTACGAATATGGGGATGACGTCACTTCAAAACGAACTGCATAGCAACGGGGTTAATACACATTTTCTGACCTTGCAAATTCCTAAGTATTCATTTTTAACAGTTTGTTACGAATTGCTTAATATTTTTCATATGAATGAATTCTTACTACATTAGAAATAAACATTTTATAAAATATAACGAATAAAATCAGTAGCAAACGCAAAGAAATATATTTTTTGAAGCAGGTCAAAATATTTAGAAGGGTAAATTTCGCGGCAATTTAAAGATCTGCATGAGGTAAGGCACAGGAGGTACGGATGGCACTGGACGAAAGGCTCGGAGACTGGGGTATACTGTAAGATATGTATAATTAAAAGTGAGCTTAACCCAATTTGAATCCTAATAAAATGTACCGAACTTGTTAAACGTCACATGTTGATAGCGTTGAAATAGGTCATTTTCTTCCGGTTAAACAGGCTGTTCAATCACGGGTCGTTTAAACAAGTTGAATTAGTGCAGTTTGATAAAAAAAAATACATTTATCATCCTACGTATAAATCACCATATACCACCACTAATTTACATGTATATCGTTAAGTTTTTGCCATTAACAGTTTAGAAAATAAAATTTAAACTTAAGGCCATTGTTCGTATTGTTTCGTATATTTCCCCAGGAAAATTTCCGAATGTAAAATAGGGTATGTCATTTGCGAGTAACTTTAACTTTTGTTTGAAGTCCAACAACGCTGAGAGTAAAAGCTATTGAAAACGGCGCCGGGGTATCATACTCCAAAATGTACAGTTTCTTTTATTTCTTTTTAATGTTACAATATAGCGATGTTTTCAGCATAACTCTGAATTCGAAGATATTAATGATATCTTGATGTTTTGGGTATTTTTAATATTTTTTATAAGAAATAATGTTTACATTTTTGTCAGCTGTGACGGAGCAGTTTTAACTGTGAACTACGTTAAGAATTGATGTCACGTGTAGTGTAAATATTGCTAATATGAATTTATTCGAAATAGCGCACAGACATCCTGCATTCCGACATATGTATAACCTTTTACCACATAATATTACTGTATACTAGATGATCCCAATACAGGTTTAATCTGTAATTATTTGAAATTCATGAAATTCATCGTTTTGCAGAGACTAGAATTATAAAAAAAAGTCTTGGTGCGTGCTGGAATTTTGCACACACCAGAACAGTTCTTTGGAAAGTTTTTTCTGAAAGTTTCAATATGACCAGTCGATTGGTTCAGAAACTGTCATCATTTACATAACATGCTCCAAATTGCCGCAACTGAGCCCAAGGCAGAGCTGGATTCATACGGCAAAATTGTCAATTACCTTTACCCCATTCAGTCCTTGTTATGGCATTACATTAAGCAGTGATTGCATTATTTAGGTCAGCAATTGTCCGGGGATTCTTTTGGTATATATTGTCTTTCAAATAGCCCTACAAAAAAGAAATCAGGTGGATTGTATGGATATGAAGGGTTTTCTGATCTATGGTTTACGACAGTATCATCCTAAGGAAGTTTTGGGCAGCCGTTGGTTGCCATATGGGATTTAATGTGCCATATATAGTGGTTTAAGTAAGATGACACTACTCCCTATACCTTAATAACTCACTAGATTGGCTAAATTATTAATACTTTGGCAACAGGATCATAAGCCATAGGTCAGATAACTCTTCAAATTTATATATCCCAACTTGAATCCACCTGATTTCTTTTTGTAGAGCTATTTGAAAGACAATGTACAGGGTGTCAAACAGCAACGGCGCCCCCCCCCCCCTCCACAGCAAAAAGTCCTTAATGTTTCATATCGTGTAATACCTTATTTGAAATATAATTTAATTCTGGAGTTACTCATCAAATTTTATCAAATAAAACTTAGTATAAAAAAGCTACATTGTTTCAAAGTTTGCTACTTCGGAACTTTCTTCGCTTCTCTGTTACTGGTTAAAGGTCAAATTTTCAGAAAGTGAAATATGAAAGAATTTCAACTGCACTGGACATATGGGTTCAATTCTGAAAAATGGTATAGGTATTGATGGACAAAGAGCCTCTTGAAAAAATAAACACTAAGGATGTAATTCTGAAGAAGGCGAGGGAAGTGCTCAGAAGATTATGCAATGCTACACCGTTATCTGAGGTGTATGGGGTAAGGATAATTGACAATTTTGCCACATGAATCCAGATCTGCCTTTTGCTCAATAGCTGCAATTTGGAGCATGTTATGTAAATGATGACAGTTCCTGAACCAGTTGACTGGGTATATCGAAACTTTCAGGAATAACTTTTCATAGAAACGTTCTGGTGTGTGCAAAATTTCAATGATATCACTTGTCTTGTTTAAGAGATATTCCCTACTTCAATGGTCTCCTTTTTCCGGCCACCCTGTAGCTTCTTTCATGTCTTATTTGTGTTCCATTCATTATTCAAATATACCATATAATCCCTAGACTGTTTTAGAGATTGTCCAGTGGTTGAGTTGTCTAGGGATTGAGTTGTCAAGGGAAGAGTTGTCTAGGGATTGAGTTTTCAAGGGAAGAGTTGTCTAGGAATTGAGTTGTATATGGATTGGATTGCCAAGGGAAGAGCTGTCAATGGATTGAGTTGTCAAGGGAATTGGATCGGTACAATTGTCTAGGTATTGTCAGGGGAAGAGTTGTCTATGGATTGATTTGTCTAGGAATTGAATTGTCAAGGGAAGAGTTGTCTATGGATTGAGTTGTCAAGGGAAGAGTTGTCTAGGAATTGAGTTGTATATGGATTGAATTGTCAAGGGAAGAGCTGTCTATGGATTGAGTTGTCAAGGGAATTGGATCGGTACAATTGTCTAGGTATTGTCAGGGAAAGAGTTGTCTATGGATTGATTTGTCAAGGGAATAGAGTTGTCTTGGGATTGAATTGTCTAGGGAACAGTTGTCAAGGGAAGAGTTGTCTAGGGATTGAGTTGTCAAGGGAAGAGTTGGCTAGGGATTGAGTTGTCAAGGGAGGAGTTGTCTAGGGATTTAGTTGTCTAGGGTTGAGTTGTTCGGTTACTATTTTAAATATAACGGAGGACGATGTGCTGCAGTTTAAAGTGAGGCTATTAGGATAGGATGGTGAAGGACGTTTAGCTATGTAGGTTCCGGCACCTGCTGTTTGGTCCATGCTTACAATAGGGGGTTTACATAAAATTATCAAAATGTCACAAATAAGCGTACCTCGGAGTATATTTCTTATGACTTTTACACCTTAACTGTCAAAATGACAATACTGTCTCACGACAAGACAACCTCATTAACAAGTGACAAGACTGCCTTCTATCTCGTTGACAAATGGCAAAATATGTCATAGTTATGTAAATATGTGTATATTGCTTTTTTGACAAGATCCCTAACTGGAAACTATTAGCATACGTGTAGATCCCAGCTAAGAGGGTGGGTATGTCTGCAGTATAAAAAGACGTCCACGACATTGATCCGCCACTTGATACGTTTCAATCATGTTTGCTATCCTTCTTTTAGCAGCAGCTGGTGAGTATAGTTATACTTTTTATTATTAACAGTTTTTTATAAATAGAAATACACGTGCCTTGCTGTTAGACAATTCAATCAAAATTATGTTGTTGGAAAATTAAGAACTCGATTTATCAAACTAAAATTAAAACTATTTATTTCTGGATTAGTGTCTGCGGCCCCCCACGCCCCAGTGCCCGCTCTTTATGAGCCAAACAACCAAATCGTCAATGGTGAAATCGCCAGACAGCACGAGTTCCCATTCCAAATCTCCCTTAAACGACAGGGACTTTTTGGAAGCAGTCACAGTTGTGGAGCTGTCATGATTGATTCTACATGGATTATGTCCGCCGCTCATTGCACACAGGGGTATGAATTTTTAAACATTACATGTGTTTTATGCGTAGTCAACTCCCACGATAATGAACAATGCTAATGAAAAAAGTTCGGGTACTCTTAGAGTTAGTAAAAATACTTGTGAATAACAATTACTCATTCAGACTTAGTTGTCAAGACAGCATTTTTATTGATTTATGTCCATTTTTTTTATTGTGAGTTTATTGAAAAATTGTTGACAACTAGGTCATAATTTGGATACACCAAACATAATCGCTCAAACCAACTGATTAATCCATACGGCGAACGTCTGTACATAATTCAAAAAAGACCGATTGATCATACGGCGAACGTCTGTACATAATTCAAAAAAGACCTATTGATCATACGGCGAACGTCTGTACATAATTCAAAAAGACCTATTGATCATACAGCTAACATCTGTGCATAATTCAAAAATGACCGGTTGATCATACGGCTAACATCTGTACATAATTCAAAAATGACCGATTGATCATATGGCTAACATCTGTACATAATTCAAAAATGACCAATTGATTAATCCATACGGCAAACTTCTTTACCTAATTCAAAAATGAACAATTCATTAATCAATACGGCAAACTTCTCTACCTAATTCAAAAATGAACAATTGATTAATCAATACGGCAAACATCTCTACCTAATTCAAAAATGAACAATTCATTAATCCATACGGCAGACTTCTTTACCTAATTCAAAAATGACCAATTAATTAATCAATACGGCAAACATCTCTACCTAATTCAAAAATGAACAATTGATTAATCCATACGGCAAACGTCTTTACCTAATTCAAAAATGACCAATTGATTAATCAATACGGCAAACACCTCTACCAAATTTAAAAATGACCAAATGAATTATTAATCCATATGGCGAACTTTTCATCCTTCTTAGCAGGTGTCCAGAATCCGTACCTCCTTCTTCCCCCTGCTATAACCGATTTGGAAGCGCCCGATTAAACTGAATCATGTGATCTAATTATGCGCAATGACTTATACATGATTTCTGTCGCAGTGTTGCGACAGTCAACCAGATTGCGAATTCTTAATCGGGGAAATGCTAACTGCCTATCGCAGGGGGTAAAAAGGAAGAATATATTCTGGATTTTGAAGCCCTGTGATCGGAGGATGCGAACATTCAAAAATGACCAAAAATGACCAATTGATTAATACATACGGCAAACTTCTCACTCACTAATATACCTAACCCCTAGAAATGCACAAGATACTCTGTTTGTCTAATTGTATAGTTTAGTATATTAAGTACCTTATTAACATCATCCGATAAACCATTAAAAAGGACAGACAAATAAAACAATATAATCATTACTAATAAGCCAAATGGGTTGCTCATTAATGCAAGGTATGGGAGAGTGTTCTGTACCTAATTCAAAAATGACTATTAAAAACACTCTCAAGTTTGATGTATTTGATTCCCCGAGACCAATACTTTCGATTCACTCTCATTCTCTTCACTCCTCTATTCCATGCTTCTGTTTTCCAAGCATTGATCATGCGTCCTTTGACCTCTGAATATATCGTGAAAAAAGTGGCTGGAGAACAAATGAAATCAAAATCGTTATCCGAAAACGTGTTGTTTTCTCACCATTTAATCAGCATCGATAATGAAATATTAAATTCATATAACTTAATTTTTTTACCTTTCTAGAGGACGTCAAGAATTGGAGTTGGTTGCCGGAGCACACCGAAGAAATCGCGAAGACGTCACTGGAGCTGAACAAGTCCGAACAGTTTCGCAACTTGTAAACGTAAGTTCTTCCTATCATAAACGCTCTTTCGCGCGAATAGAAGTTGTTTAACATGATACGTAGACTTAGGTGACGTCATAAAATATAGTTTATATACCTTTTTAACGATTTTATTTTTTCACATGCTTTGAGGATCGCTAGTTATGGATCTGTCTCGGTCCTGCTTCATGAAATAACGATTTTTGATATTAATTTCAAAACTTTAAATATGAAAGTTTTCACTGTTTTTTAAATATAAGAACATTGAAAGGTAGCTTTATGATGAACACTGAACCTCAGTACCACCTGTAGTGGATACATATGTTACGTTCGGTTTTGGACACAAGGTTAAAAGGTTTATCCCTCGGGAATTATGTGTATGTTCCTTGTTCCCTATGGATAAACTGTTATCCAAAAACCTCCAAATACAAATCCTTATATATGTTCACAAATCTTTTCTTTTGACTTCGCATTTATGGTAGTTTCTCTACTACTCCAGCACCCTGGATTCCGCAATGACGGTTCCCAAGGATTCCCCGATGACATCTGTCTCATGAGAGTGAATCAGCCATTCAGCATTGATGGACGAACAGCTGCAGTAATCCCAAGAGCCAGTGGTAGCACTGATTTCGCCGGACAAAGTTGTACCATCTCTGGGTGGGGTGACACCACCGCTGGGGGTGAGCAAACCAAAAAAAACAGTACTCAGTACTCGATATCTATTTTTACTTCTAATATGCGACAGTAATGACAAGGATACAGTAATGCGACGACATGACAAGGAATGACAAACACTTTGATACTCTAATTTCACTATTAGCATTTATATAAAAAAACAGTTTTCTTCAAGTCACAAGCTTTATTTATCTATTTCAGAGTACGTCTCGAATCCTTCTGAAAAAAATAAATAAAGCTTGTGACTTGACGAAAGCTGTTTTTGTATAATTATACCAAACTGGAGTACATTTTCAGGACTAGCATTACATTGACATTTTAATTCGTTTTTTGAATGAGCTAATATGAGTAAAACAAAGGTAAATAGCACCGATGTGGTTCAATTTATAGATGGCGTACCTGCTGATGCACTTAGGAAAACAACACTTCCGGTCCTGTCACAAACAGAGTGTGCAGCCTTTTGGAGCCAAGTCAACTTCGCTCGCCACATCTGTATCTTCGATGTGTCCGGAAACACTGGATCATGCCAGGTAAAAATACACAACTAAAACTTTTTAAGAACCCCATCTAGAACCAGTGAAAATGTGTTTTTCCTGCCAAAATATACCCTCTCTACATTAGTTCAAAATTCATTTTTATTACAAGACATGATTCATTTTCAACCTTGTCTAGTAAGGGCAATAAAAGAAGGGACCATGCATAAACCATGGGGACGATTTAAATTTTACACAGGTCGGAGGTAAACTTCTACAACATGTTTTTGCTTGAGTTTAAATGTGGCGAAGTTTTACTATATTCACATTTGATACGATAGGGTGACTCCGGTGGCCCAATGAGATGTTCCGAGGGAGGACAAAATGTCGTTGCTGGAGTAACTAGCTGGGGAGTTGTCGGATGCACCGGAATGCCAAACGTGTACACCAGAGTTGCTTCTTACAACAGCTGGATCTGCCAGACCACTGGCAACGCCGTCCAAGGTTGCTAGGAATTGAATTGTCATGAATTTAAAAATAATTTATAAGAAATTGTACACACAAGAATAACACATTCGTTTAGTTTTATGATTGCTAAAGACGTCTAGCTATTTAAATATATATGCCTGTTGTTTCTAAACTGATGAATGTTACTCAGGGGGTCATTAAACAGAAACGTATTAAGTTATTTTAGAAATTCCAAGTCCCTTGTTACTTTACTATGTCATCATAATATCACTGGTTACTATAATTGATTCCGGAACTCCTAACTTTGCAAGTTTCTTGAAACACAATGTACTCTAAGATGGGATAACATTGGCATCGTCATGCGTATGGGCATCGAGTTTAATGAGGTTCAACACCGACGTTAATATGTATGTGCATTTCTGCTCGATGTTTCTGGTTACACAGAATCAATCGTCAACATATGTTGATTCAAACATAAAAGTGACAAAGTACGAAATACAAGGTCAATACAAAAAATACTTTTACTTAAACGACATACCTTTTACTAGTTAATACATTACACCGACATGTGTCTTAATTTATACTGTTTTTAATGTACTACATTTTTTGCATGAGACAAAATACATTATCAACAGGCAGTATGATAATTTCATATGATTAGGGTGTATATATTTCTCCGGATGACTGTTGTTTGGTCCAATGAATCGCTATGACTTTGATTGGCCATTTCTACACCGTCTCTTAAATTTACAATACTTTTAAATATTTTGATCGGCAAATCTTGCATGGGTTAAGGGGAAATACATGCATTGGGATGCTTTTAAACAATCCGTATTATTTACTGCCATTCCAATTTCACCCCATGCAGACAGGTCTCCTAAAACTACATGCGTATGATGCGAGACTCGTCATTTAATAGGAAACAAGAATTTTGGCACCCATGTAGCACCTTATTTTTACTGCTCCACAAATGGTGAATGATAGTCATATTAAGTTTTTCAAGTTTGAGAAAAGCATGACGTTTTGATATTTCAAGGTCATTCTTTTGAAAAGTGATGGAGGTAATTGAAAGTACATGTAAAGACAAAACCGCAACGAAATATTTGTAGATTTATTTGAAAAACTTAGAAAGACACATCGAAGTTTTCAAAACAGAAAAAATGTATGAATAGTAAGGCTTAGGAGTCCTATTCCCCCTCGTTGCATTAACATTTGTGTGGTATTTGTATTTACAATTACTATTTCACCCTATGCAGACAGAGCCTGTGGGAAATATTGGGTGCGGCGCAAATGAGCGGATGGTGCGGAGCTAACGGTCATTTTTGAATTTAAGATTGGGATATTTCTAAAACTAAGCCGTTTTGGGACTTCAAATATACCAAGATATGTGTATTTGACACCAAATATCAATAAAATTGTGAAAATAGTAGTGCAATTCATTTTATAGCGACGCAGTATGCCTTAAACATTTCCCAGTCCTATATATTTTGAGAATATCCTTTTAACACTGCGTCCCCAGCATTCATAAAAAATGGTGTTCAAGATACACTACCCATGCAAATTATTTTTGCATCTTGGGAGCCAGGCAGTATCTGTGTGATTTTATAAAAATTCGAAAATGTTCTTCAGATATGAGCCCCCTCTAAATATTGGGTGCGGAGGTACGTTTATGGAGCTGCTCCGCACCCAATATTTAGAGGGGGCTCATATCTGAAAAACATTTCCGAATTTTTATAAAATCACACAGATACTGCCTGGCTTCCAAGATGCAAAAATAATTTGTATAGATAGTGTACCTTGAACACCATTTTTTATGAATGCTGGGGACTCAGTATTAAAAGGATAATTTCAAAAGATATAGGTCTGAGAAAGGTTTAAGGCACACTGCGTCGCTATAGAATGAATTGCGCTACTATTTTCACAATTGTATTGATATTTGGTGTCAAACACACATATCTTGGTATATTTGAAGTCCTAAAACGGCTTAGTTTCAGAAATATCCCAAATTTAAATTCATAAATGACCGTTAGCTCCGCACCCTCCGCTCATTTGCTCCGCACCCAATATTTCCCACAGGCTCTGTCTGCATAGGGTGTATTTGCAACACAAATACGAGGGGTGATCCAAAAGTCTTGGACACCACGCTCTAACTTTGCTATTTTATAATGTAATTACATGAAACTTTCAGATAATAAAGATCAACATCTTAACAATTTTGCGTATAAGTTTCACCAGAAAATAATATATTTTAGCTACTTTTCTAAATACTTTTTAATATCGAGTCCCTGCTACCCGGAACGGTATTTAAATATAGCAAATCACGTCACAACTGTTAATATGGCAAATACTTTAGGTGCAGGTGCACAACCTAACACCAGTCATGGTATGATAGAATTTCCAATTTTTCAATCTGAGTGTCATCTGCCATCATCATCTTCACATATTAACCCCTACTTTTCAACATATTTTCCATGAATTTGAACACATTTTTCGTACTGCTTTACCCATGAATAGAAGACATTTATGAAACCGCCATTGCTTATGTGACTTATGTGATACAAATGCATCTGAAATGCCACTCTAAACCTCATCCAATGAGGAAAAACATTTTCTTTCAACCCTCCTTTCAACTTCAGAAAAGGAAGAAAATCACACAGAGCCATATCTAGACTGTATCGTGCATATGGCAGCTGCTCAAGGTCAATAATAGTGAGAATGTCTTGTAGTATTCTTTGTTCCACTTTGATTTCTTTCATGTTCTGCATTTCAGCAGCCATCTTGGAGCAAAAAGGATACCAGAATGAGGATTGTTGTCTGATGTCATTTGACACAAACGGCCATTGTCATATGTGACATTATTTTTAGAACACAATTAATTGGTTGCCTGGTAACAAAGGAAGTAAATTAACATGGTCAAACATTCAAAATACAAAGAGAGATAGTGGTCAAGAGTTGCGAAACAAGTCAAATGGCAGCAACATTAAAGGCCGAAAGTTGTCTTGTGCGAATACCGTTCCGGGTGGCAGGATCCCTATATTAAAAACTATCTAGAAAACTACATAAAATATATCATTTCACCATGTAATTAATACACAGAGTAGTTAGGTTGTTGGTCTTTATTATTGGAAAGTTTGAAGTAATTTTATCAAAAATCAACAAAATTAGAGCAGGGCGTCCAAGACTTTTGGATCACCCCTCGTATTATTCGAACTTATGATCGGGCATAAGAATGATGTTTACGTCAAGCTTAATATGATTAAAACTATATTTGCCAGGCAGTTATAGAAGTGAAAAGAGCACTATGGTTAATTGTATCGGGGTTCGAAAACATTACCTTAAGTTAATGTACAGAGTTAGAGTAAGGTAAAACACCCTATGCAGACAGAGCCTGTGGGAAATATTGGGTGCGGAGCAAATGAGCGGAGGGTGCGGAGCTAACGGTCATTTTTGAATTTAAATTTGGGATATTTCTGAAACTAAGCCGTTTTGGGACTTCTAATATACCAAGATATGTGTATTTGACACCAAATATCAATACAATTGTGAAAATAGTAGCGCAATTCATTCTGTAGCGACGCAGTGTGCCTTAAACCTTTCCCAGACCTATATATTTTGAAATTATCCTTTTAATACTGAGTCCCCAGCATTCATAAAAAATGGTGTTCAAGGTACACTATCTATACAAATTATTTTTGCATCTTGGAAGCCAGGCAGTATCTGTGTGATTTTATAAAAATTCGGAAATGTTTTCAGATATGAGCCCCTTCTAAATATTGGGTGCGGAGGAGCTCCATAAACGTACCTCCGCACCCAATATTTAGAGGGGGCTCATATCTGAAGAACATTTCCGAATTTTTATAAAATCACACAGATACTGCCTGGCTTCCAAGATGCAAAAATAATTTGCATGGGTAGTGTATCTTGAACACCATTTTTTATGAATGCTGGGGACGCACTATTAAAAGGATAGTCTCAAAATATATAGGTCTGGGAAATGTTTAAGGCATACTGCATCGCTATAAAATGAATTGCACTACTACTTTCACAATTTTATTGATATCTGGTGTCAAATACACATATCTTGCTATATTTGAAGTCCCAAAACGGCTTAGTTTCAGAAATATCCCAATTTTAAATTCAAAAATGACCGTTAGCTCCGCACCCTCCGCTCATTTGCGCCGCACCCAATATTTCCCACAGGCTCTGTCTGCATAGGGTGTAAAAGCAAGTAAAATACGTCATTGTTGGCAGTTCTTCAATCATATCAGTATGTGTGTATGCACGTTGAGTCATTGCCTTCTACATTGGAATAGCCTTGCCTTTGGGCCAACGGACAGACAAGATAAGACAGAAAAGTTTCAACCAACAAATCAAATTACAGAATATAGTATGCACACATTCATCAAATAGCTATTAGAAGTATGATTTAGTAGGACCAATCGGATTCGGATCATTCGGATTCGGACGTTGAGTTCAGGACCAATCGGATTCGGACCATTCAGATTCGGACGTTGAGTTTAGGACCAATCGGATTCGGACCATTCGGATTCGGACGATAATTTAGGACCAATCGGATTCGGACCATTGGGATTTGGTTGGATGAGTTTAGGACCAATCGGATTCGGACCATTCGGATTCGGCCGATGAGTTTAGGACCAATCGGATTCGGACCATTGGGATTTGGACGATGAGTTTAGGACCAATCGGATTCGGACCATATGGATTCGGTTGGATGAGTTTAGGACCAATCGGATTCAGACGATGAGTTTAGGACCAATCGGATTCGGACCATATGAATTCGGTTGAATGAGTTTAGGACCAATCGAATTCGGACGATGAGTTTAGAACCAATCGGATTCGGACCATATGGATTCGGTTGGATGAGTTTAGGACCAATCGGATTCGGACAATGAGTTTAGGACCAACCGGATTCGGACAATGAGTTTAGGACCAATCGGATTCGGACCATATGGATTCGGTTGGATGAGTTTCGAGTGATCGAGGAATAGGATTAGGACATATTGGATTCGGATGATTGAGTTTAGGACCAATGGGATTTGGTCAATTTGATCTGGATCATTGAGTTTCGGACCAATTGGATTGGTTTGGATTTGGACTCGGGTGATTGATTTTTGGATCAATAGGATTTGGACCATTGGTGATCAGACAATTGGCTTTTGTATAAATGGGATTCAAATCATTTGGATTCAGACAATTGAGAAATAGATACGCAGGATTGTCAGCACCTTCGTTTGTTTTGGATTATTTGTATTTTGCCAATCAACTGTCCTGTTATTTTCGAAGCATTGCCCCAAAATGAACATGGCTGAAACTCCCTAGAATAACAAGAAGACACAGGTGTTTATTGCATTCTATTCTTTCTATCTGAAATTATACAAAAGTTTGGCCTCACGTTTCTATTTGTTGGTCCGTCTAACCAGGGCTGTTGGAAAAGGTAATACACAAGTCAGGTAACAAAAATCATATTTGAAGTTGAAGATGCAAGTAACATGAAACTAAAGCTATTCCGGTTTCATAGACCGCATGTATTCATGCATCATCGGGCATGAATGAAGCAATGCAAACATCGTATAATATTTTACTCGTTTATACTAAGTCTTACTTTTTCATACATATTTTCTTTTTATGAGATTTTTGATGTTTTTCAAAGAAAATTACAAATTTTCTGTTAGGATTTTTCCTTTACATCGTTATTCCAATCACCACAATCATTTTACAAACAAGCTACCTTAAAATATCAAGACTTCATGCTATTGTCATACTTTTCAAACTTAATGTGACTGTCTTTCACCATTTGTTAAGCAGTGACAAAATGATTTGCGAAAATGTTAATAGTTTCCTGCCGAATGTCGAGTCTCGCATCATACGAATGTATTTTTAGGCGATCTGTCTGCGTGGGGTGAATTTGTTGTTTAAATCGATTCTTTTTCGGAGATAGTGTTGACGGTTACAATAGTTTCCTGCATATACAAACTACCTTAAGTACCTTAGTACCTTAAAGGAATATTCCTTGCCAAACCATCTCTCTCATATGGTAGCTATAACCATATATATGCTTGCCATGTTTAGCAAAACACGCAAAAATGTTTTGATATGGTCAAATTTGATCATTTAGAAATGTGATGCTCAATTCCAGTAAGCTGCCATCTTTTAAAATTTCACACAGGAAGTGATGTCATCGACACTCAACTTTGCATATAGCATTAGGTGAGGAGCTATTAAGAATTACAAAACCAGCTAAATATTCTTTTTCAACTTTGTATCTTATTTAATCCTTCTGAAAATCTCTTATTTTATTCTAAGTTGACAAGCCCTGAAAATATTTTTGCACAGAAAGTAATGATCACTTGTCTAGAAGTGATTTCGTGCTACTTTCCTATACTGTTATGGGCAAGGTTATAGAAGTTGAGAGTTGATGACATCACTTCCTGCAAGAAATCTTAAAAGATGGCAGCTCACTGGAAATAAGCACTAGATTTTTAAATGATCAATATTGACCATATTAAAACATTTTCCCATGTTTTGCTAAATATGGAAACTATATATATGATTATAGCTACCATATCAAGAGAGAAAGGGTCTGGCAAGGAATATTCCTTTAAGTATTTCTATGATTAATCCCAACCTAGGTATTAAGCAACACGGTTTGATAGACGAAGCATAGGTATTCTTGTTGTACAAATAATCGAAGTTTGCCCAAGAATTATGTCGTATTTGCATAGTTCTGTCACAATAAACCAAGGTCAATGTTTGCTTTAGTCGGTATAAACCGTATATACGATTACAAATCACAAATATTACAGTTTAAATGCAGCCTTAAAATTACTTCGAATTTTATTAGACGAGCATATGTTGAGAATAAAAATTTTCTTGAAAACTAGCAAATGCTATAACTGATAAAAAGACCACTGACATTGTTAAATTGGTGTTATCTGGTCGAGATTGATTGGGAAATTGAGTTCAATGATTTAACAAAAGGCACATTAGGCAAATTCCGAAGTCAAGTTACACGTTGCATTTATCGGCCACAATCGGTAATTCACAATGCTACGCCTCATCTTTAAAGCGAGGAAAAATTTAACGAAGCAACATACGAAATTCAATAATATAGCAGCATTATTTTGCAATCAGTCAAGAATCGATGATGGCGGCATTGGACAAAAATCAGCGCCACCTATCGATCCTGAACCACCTACAGTTCCGTGTAAAAATGACTATAGCGAAGCGGCTGCTGAAAAAAGACTCGAATGGGTCGAAGGTTTCGTCGGGACAAAGCTTCCATCGTTGCGGGTAAGTATAGTTAAAGTACTAAAACTGAAAGTTTAATATGGGAAATTGACAACTGTAACTCCCGATTACAGTAAACGTGCAGATGCCCGAAATAGCAAAACGACCATGCCAATTCTCGAATATTAGCGAACGATATTTTCCCATGGACCATAGTAATAAAGATCGGATGACAAACAGAACTATGATTAACTCACAAAGGATTGGTATCGATATTGTGAACTGAATTCAACAATGGTTTTCTCTTAAACCAATTATTGAAAACATTCTGTAAAAACACGGTCCTTAATGTAATTTTGACTGATTGACAACAATTTAATGCGAAAATTATTTATATATTTTTCATATAACTGTTTTTGTTAACATTTTTTTTTTAGTGCAATTGTTTTTTGTTCGTTTTTACCAATTCTTGAGAATGAAATAAAATATCTTAGTTTCCGAAGCTTGTTTGAACAAAATAGCGTATACAACATTTTCCTAGACCTCTTAATATTATAGTTATACAAAGGCAATTTTGATTGATTTAACAAATGGTATTCAAAAAATTAAAATCAAAAACCCCAAAATAGATAAAAATTAAGATAAATATTTTATTTCATTAACAAGATACTTTTTTTTAAATCAACCAAACTTTCCTTTGTACAATTACAATACTGAGAGACCTAAACACGTTATGTTTTTGTCATTTTGTTCCAATGATCGGAGGTCCGGATAGATGTTTCAATTTACTGTTTTACTGTATAGTATATTGTTATCATTTAAAAGATGGCCATAAAATTGACAATGTGTAAAAATTTCAGATTTTTTGATGATTGGTTTAAGAGAAACATGTGTTCAAAAAGTTCACCATATCGATATTCATACTTTTGCAATGTTTTAAAAAATCATTGAATTATTCTCCAAGGCTATATATGTACTTTTCCGTATATGTTTCTATATTGTTTTTATTATAAAGCAACACTAAATAATATAGAATAAATAATACATTGTTTTCAATATATTTAATTAAACTACTTTAAGTTTTTATTAAAGCTATGGCCCTACATTTCAATGTGCATGAATTTTTATGTACATGTTTATAGTACTTGAATCTAACAAATCGATCATTACAGGGTTGGTGGAGCCCTCTATCGGAACCAAAGCCCGAAATTCTACAAGGGAATATTGAACAGTCTATCGGACTCGCCCGGATACCAACTGGGGTAGCTGGGCCCATAGACTTTAGGGTAAATATCTTGCCATAATTTTAAAGCGTAATGCTATTTTTCTTAACTTCAAAACTAAGAAGTGGGGTTTATCTGATACCACAGGTTTAGAAATAACCCAAAGGAGTGTAGTGAACTTTTGTATTGAATGTATTGAATTGTTGGAATAGAAATGAAAAATGTACCACTGAATGCATATGAGTATTTGATGCCAAAAATGAAAGAGGGTTCGGTGAATGGTACTTTTTTATAATGTCCTCGATGATTTTCTCATGAGACGCATGGCTGGTGTGTGTTTAGGATTGATTTGCTTTGCATGTTATTCGATCATGCAACGTTGAAAAGAACCCATAACACCCAAGCTAATCCGTATGCAAAACATCTAAACATTTCAAAATTAATAAAATAATTTCGATAGGATTAGTTTTAGGCAATTGGTACGCTACAATGGCCTCTTACTTAGGTTAACAAATATCGTTCACCTTTTGGTCTTAGCATAACATATGTGAGAATTTGCCCTTTAATAGCACCTCGGCAAGCTCTATTGGGCAACCTTCGTCCAAACAATACTTTATACTTGCCCTACAATAACATATTCCGGGGATTTAGAAATCTGAAGCATATAATGCATTTCGCAAATAAACCTTTTGGGCAGTTGGATACAGGATCTTGAATTTAATTGAACGAACTGATATTAACCCGATGCTATTGAATGATTTATATGATTACTATTACCGACTGTTTGTTTAAATCGGTTATATTTTTCAAAGGTTTATGTAACCATTTTTGCAAGGGGGTTCAGTTTTAATAAAATTCCAGGGAGGTTAAAATTAAAGTTGACAATTTTGACCCAAAATCGCCGCAAAATGGTGAACAAAAACATGATTTTGAAACAACTTCACCCCCACCACCTACCTCTGGCTACGGGCCTGTTACATAATGCCTTTTTTGAACCTACTGTCAATTTTGCAATTTCATTTAGCCCGGTGAAAGCTATGCTGTTTTAGATTAATCAAGAGAGTTTGATGAGAATGTAACTGAAAAGCTGAGATCAAGACGTATAAGGTATTTGTATAAGGTATTCCTAAATTAATGAATTCTTCGTTCTGTCCGTTATAATAGGGAACACATGCAGATGGTCTGATCATGTGCCCAATGGCTGTGACAGAGGGAGGAGTAATCGCCTCAACGTCCCGAGGGGCGAAGGCAATAAACGAATCGGGGGGAGTTAGTGTACACGCTTTGAAATCTGTCATGGGAAGGAGCCCTGTGTTTATATGTAACGACGCTAAAGGTGCAAAAGACTTCGCTCAATGGGTTCCTACGATGAAGACAGTTCTACAAGAGAAGGTTGTCAATAAGAAGTCACAGCATTGCCGCATTACTGACATTAAACCTATTATTGATGCTAATGTAAGAGCATTTTTATTCTATATAGTTTGTAATTTCGCAATTAATATATATATATAGACGCTTGAAAATTGCCTGCCGTGCACTGTCCTGAAACACACAAGATATATTTGCTATTTATTCCGTAGGTATTATTCACAAAAAGTTGCAGAAAATAGGTTGAAGTGTGAGGTTGCTTCTATTCCTTTTATTTTGAGAGTTATTTTGAGATTAAGTCACTTTATGATCCATTTTCTCGTACTCTACTACCTCAGACTTTTCGTTATTGTGAGGTATATATTGCGTTGTTCTACTAGGATGCACTTTTATTCTCTACTAAGGTGGTCAATCTGATACTAGAATACGACACCGGGGATGCTTCAGGACAAAATATGGTGACATCAGCGTCCTATGCAGTAAGTATTAGTTTTATGGATAACGTTTTGTGCAGGTACACAGGCAATTTTTTCCATTACATTTTCTGTAAAGAATGGCTATCTTTAAAAAATCTTTACGGAAATTCATTAAAGAAACTTTGCAGATTTGATACATTTGAAGAATCTGTACAGTTTTTCTTTCTTTAATGATTCTGCAAAGAAATCTCATTACAGAAAAAATACAGATTCAATGCAAAAACTGTGTGTGTGTTGATCTGTAAAGAATCAATAAAGAAATTCTCAACAGATTCTGTAAAGAAATAACAACATTGAAAATTCTGTAAAAATGACTTTGTCATTGAAGATTTTGCAAAGAATACACTTTACAGAAAAATAGATTCAATTCAAAAAATGTATGGATGATGATCTCAAAGAAGCAATAAGTTACATCCAGGCCCATAACCTGGGGAAGGGGCTCAGCCATTACAGCCAACCCTTCTGATATCTCCTTAAAGATATGTGGACATATGTACCTGTTTGCCAAAAAAGTGTTGAACGGTCTTAAAAGTGCTGAAGGGCATTAAAGCGCTTTTTTGGCCTTATTCTAAGAGAAAATTGGCCTAACTTTTAAAAAAATCCTTGCAAGCGCAGAATATTTTTTGCCATTTGGTCCCCTCAAAGATTTGAGGGGGGATGTCAGAGCTCCCAGATACCAAAAGCTGGCTGAATATCACTTCTGAAACTATCGAATATCACTTTGATGGTTTGGGGATTTTTTGCTAAAATTATATATGATAATGATATCTTGATCCACATCATGAAATATATATTCACGTGATATTCGATGTATATCCTTGCAACCATGGGATAAAAGGTAGTTATCCACAAGGAGGGATTTGATATGGGGAATATCACAAGAATGATATCAATAATATTTCCCGAGGGAACACAGTGTTTCGTCAGTGGTCAGGGTACTTTTGGGAGGTACTAGGTTTGTCCCAACCTCCCAAAAGTACCCTGACCACTGACGAATTGATACTGAAAATAAGCCTAAAGCAGGTAAAATTTAAAAAAAAATAAAACTATATCCTCAATAAATCAATTGAAATTGTAAAAATTGAAATACTTATAATTAGGCTAAGCATTTTTTTTACTTCATATGATATTAAGTAAGCTTAAATTAATATTTATTTAAATTCCAGAAATATTTTTTATAAATACTGTTCAAAGTAATTCTTTTAGTTTTTAACGGAGAGAAATCCCCGGGATCGATGTCTGATATATAAGTTAACGTTTCGTTCACTACACACATCCTGGTATCTGGGAGTTAGAATATCGCCCATTACAAAATCAAGTAAAGTTTTATGTTCGGATTATACATTGATCCAGAAGGTCAGTATACAAGGTGTCATAGATGGGATTTAGCCGTCAGACAATATAACTAACTATCAGGAGCCTGTAGGCTTTAGGATTTTAAGCTGAAAAGCACCGAAGAAGATAATATTCCAGATAGAAGTCAGAAAATTCACTGAAATTAGAATCTACAGCGGAAATTCCCCCAAATATTCGTAAGCTTACAACATCTCACAATAGAATGGAGGAGGAGGACAGGAAGTAAACTTTATGCTTCACAGATCAGGTATGTTTCCTGTGATATTATGATAAATGGAACTTAATGGTTCACAGTTCAAACGAGTGCAAGTAGACTATATGACTTTACTACCCGCCCCAGGCTACACGCCTTACTGTTACATCTACTACTGTAGTGTCGATATATTCTTGTGATCATGACAAAGTTTACTCGACCTTCGAATTTTGAAATCGAAAGACTAGCACAATGGCTGACATTGAGGGATAGATTTACAACATAAAGTACAAGTGCAACACACAAGAAAACAAGCACGTACAAATCCTTTCAATTTGCTGAACCTGTAGAGCCTGTGGATATTGCATGGGACATTACGACGTAAGTAAATGCTTGCTTATTTTGTTGGTACAGTGTATCGTTTGCTCATTTCATAGGCACAATAGGCATATACCTATTTATTTATTCATATCATTGGTACAGTGCTCGTTTAGCTGTTTGCTCACTGATTTCATGGGCACAGTACACATGTAGCTGTTTGCTCATTTCATGGGCACAGTGACATGTAGCTGTTTGCTCATTTCATGGGCACAGTGACATGAAGCTGTTTGCTCATTTCATGGGCACAGTACACATGCAGCTGTTTGCTCATTTCATGGGCACAGTACACATGTAGCTGTTTGCTCATTTCATGGGCACAGTATTGTGAAAGTAAACATGTAGCGTAGCTGTTTGCTCAATTTATTGGTAAAGTGTATATATAGCTGTGTTCGCTCATCTTATGGGTACAGTGAACATGTAGCCATTTGGTTTGTTCATGGGCACAGTTAACATGTAGTGTTTGCTCATTTCATGGGCACAGTACCACGTAACTGTTTGCTCATTTCATTGATACAGTGCATATTTAGCTGTTTGCTCATTACATTGCTAAAGTATGCATGTTGCTGTTTGCTCTGTCTCAGAGTCAGATCTAATGTCACTCTGGGTATAATAGTCGAGAGAAAGTATGTCAATATTATATTTAAATCAAAAGAATTTAGAAAATATCACAATTATGATATTATTTTTATTTGTCTATTTGATTTTTGCCTTTGAAACTCCAAAATGCACCAAATTAGCTCATTAATTTTTGGATTTGCACTTTCAGGTTTCAAGTTTGAACAAACATGGAGGACAGAACAATTTACTTTGATTTACTTCCTGGAAGACGCTCCAGCACAGGGAATCTTTATGATGTAGTTTAGTGAAGCTGAGGAAACCACCTTTTGGTTTACAAATTACAATGGAGCACCAATTTGCATTGGGACTGCCTGTACAGCTGTCAGCTGTACAATGATTTCCATGATGGTGCTATATTATATAATGTGTCTACTGTACAAATGCAAGGGACAGGAAAATGCACTGTCTGATCACCTTCACAATGACAATACTACAGTATTAAAGACCAAGTAAACAAAAGGGGGAAGAAAGTCCTGAAGCATCTCTGGTTATACAGATAGTTGAATGATTGTGTTGACGAATAATTGTTGCTTGTAACCTACAAGTTGTAAGAGCATGCATGTGTGTCTGTTAAAAAATGAAACATTTATTTAAAATGAAAATTATACATATCCTTGGGTGCGAGGCAATCTTCTATAGTTGTCATCTTATCAAAACTATGCAATGGGGGCTTCAGTTCATTCAACAATTCTAATCCTATGTACAGTTGAACAAAATGAAGCTCAAATAAGCTCATCCTGAATTATTTGAGCAAAATGAAGCAACATTACAATTGTGAAAAGTTATCATGTCTGTTATAATTGCTCAGTCACAATCACATTTTATTTAGATTATTAAATGTAGGAGTTCACTTGCAGATTGTGGAGAAATAGCAGGACTATGATTAAATGCTATGGCACCTTTAGGAAGTGTATGGTTATCAGTTGGTTTTCTCTTATCGCTACAGTCATGTCATCCAGAAGAGCCAGATATTTGCATTTTCTTCATTCTGGGGCTCGTTTTATGCATGCTAAGAACTATAGTTGTCTCACAAGCAACTAAGTTATTCACTGTTAAATAAAAAATAGTAAAACCAAAGTAAATAGGCCAATATTACGTTGGCTACCGAAATGTACTCCAAATATGCCTATTGCATTTTTAAAAGGATGTTTTATCAGATTATAATGACTTATGTGACTTAGAACTTTAACTTTTGTAATTTGGTTTAATTGCATATTTATTTGTATATTTATTTTATAAAAATCCATGTTTTATAGACATCCATGTTTTGTTTTATATTTCAGAATATTACACAAATTAATGTATATTTATTTTATAAATTAAATTTTATGTAAGACATATATAAAATATCCCCGGGATCAACACTCGTTCAGTATAAAATAGTACTCTGGGCGGAGGTTCGCTGGGGGTCTTGAAAAAATGAATTTTCCTCTTCCACCCTCCCAAATTTAGAGGTGTATGATTTATGACTTAAACATCATGTATTTTATTTAATGTATATATGTTTATCATAGGGCGGTTTATATATTGCCTTGCATTGTAAACAACTTACATTGGCAATATGAATAATTTAATATGTTTTGTAAGAAGATGTGTTTTGTAATAAGATTTATTAATTAAAATAAATCCGCTCATTTTAAGCCCAACATCCATGTTTTGTAATATTTCAGAATATTACACATTAATAAACATTTAGTAATCTGATTATTATGTAAGATGAATAAATGACTGATATAAACTTGGTACCATTATATGATCAATAGATTGTTAAAGGAAATTAATAATGTTGTAAGCAAGTTTTGGTTAGAAAGTTCACAATTTTACTGTGGTGTTAGTTTGTAAACAGTCATTTGTGGTCTGAATTGGTCATACTTTCAGAAATAGATGGTTTCAATTTTTTATTTGCTTAGAGTATATTATAATACTGTACTGTTCACATGATATATAGAGACAGGTTTTTATTTGGAGGTGTTCACCAAGACACTTATTTGCTGTATACAGAAATCTGTGGTGTTATATTTATATCTTATATTTATATCATGACTGTGAGGATCAATAAAAATAACTCAATAACCATTACAGAGACAAAGGAGTGTTCACAGTATATTCATGATATATAGAGACAGGTTTCCACTTAAAAGTGTTCACCAAGACACATATTTAGTATTTACTGTATATAGAGAAATCTGTGGCATTATATTTATATGTTTTATTTATAATTATAATCATGACTGTGCTCAAGAAAAATAACTCCATAAGCATTACAGAGACAAAGGAGCGTTCACTGTATAGCCATGATATATTGAGATAGGTTTTCACTTAGAGGTGTTCACCAAGACACATATTTGTTGTATACAGAGAAATGTGTGGCGTTATATTTATATGTTTTATTTATAATTATAATCATGACTGTGAGGATCAAGAAAAATAACTCCATAAGCATTACAGCATTCCAGAGACAAAGGAGTGTTCACTGTATAGCCAATATATATAGAGATAGGTTTTCACTTAGAGGTGGTTACTAAGACACATATTTGCTATTGACACAGAAATCTGTGGCGTTATATTCATCTGTTTATATATAATCATGACTGAGGATCAAGAAAAAATAACTCCATAAGCATTACAGAGACAAAAGAGTGTTCACTATATATATAACCATGATATATCCATGATATACAGAGACAGGTTTTCACATAGAAGTGTTTACCAAGACACATATTTGCTGTATACACAAATATTTGTGGTGCTATATTTATATGAGGCTAAACAAAAAAGGATTCCATAAACATTACTAAGGGGTGTTCATTGTATCCATGATATACAGATTCTAACACATAGAAGTGTTCACTAAGACGCATATTTGCTGTATACACTTTAGATCACATGTAAATTGTATTGACAAAGACTATTAATAAATATAAATCGATTAACCATAAATAAAATCTTTTGTTATTGAGGGCCTTTACTGAAGTTTTACAGAATGATTAAAATAACTTCAAAGATTTATCAACGAATGCATAAAGAACGTGTAAAGAATCCATAAGGAAAGCAGCAGTCTGTCAGGAATATGTAAAGAAAAAGTAGAGAATCTTTACAAAAACTCTATTGAATCAGTAAAGTTTGAAACTTATATTTACAGAATAAATGCAGTATCATTACAGATTCTGTAAACTCGTTTCTTTATCGAAACATTGCCGTGATCAAGTCCGAACAGTTTCATTACAGTTTTGACAGTAAAGAATCTGTATGGATTTTTTATGGAAATTGTGATGGAAAAAATTGCCTGTGTAGTATTACTTACAGTATGGGTATGTTAATGAATTGTGACAACATCTTCCTATAGTACGTATTCTTTAATGTACACTAGTGTATGGTGCCATCAGCGCCTAAATCTTAGACATGGCTTACGTGAGAAGTAAAAGTACTTAATGAATATTTCGTTTTTCTTATGAAATTTTAAAATTTACTAGTATTAATATTTTACAAAATTAATAGCCATCTTTAATGCGTTTGTTCTCCTAGATTCTAGTGTATCTGATGAAAGCTGCCAAGGAGTACCTTCCAGAAGGAACCATCGAACACTCATACCCTTGTTCTAATGCTATTGGGGACAAGAAATCTACCAGGTACGTAGGCTACAAACAGGTATATGTTTTTGTCACCACCACAAGCGGTGACATGTTGTTATGCTCTCCAGTTTTTTTCGGCGGTCTTTATAACAAAAAGGCATGTGGTGACATTTTGCCTGTTAATGCCTTGTTATTTTTGTTGTGTTCTTACTGTATTCATAGTAAGAATTTCACTCCCTTATTGTCCTCCCAGTACGTTCTTAATGCCTAGGCCACATTTGCTCCGATTCATCGGTCAATTTGAAGCTTTAAATCAGTTTTGAACAAAATACTGCAATCGGCCGGGCGACGAACGATGAATCGGAGCAAATGTGACCTAGGCATAACTGAATCACATAGCTCCTTATACAGTTAAGCACTATACTAGCAGACTACGTTCTCTCAAGTTAAAAACGTGTTGCTTAATCTCCCTAATTTACCCATTTTTGCATGTTCCAGGTATAACTTATTGGAAAACCGAGGAGTATCAGTGGTTGCCTCAGTTTCAATTCCTGGTGACGTTATCAAAGAGACATTGAATGGAGACCCTGCTTCCATGATCAAATATTGGTCTCACTATTGTCGCATTCAAAACCGAGCGGGGGCATTGGGGAATAGTCTCAATACGTCTACATCACTGGCGGCCATGTTCCTGGCGTTCGGACAGGATGTTGCGTGCACATACGAATCAAGTACGTCATACATGGAGATCAACGCCAATTCGTTTGGGGGACTAGATGTACAGTACCAACTTCCTTGTCTAGTTGCTGGGACAATAGGCGGTGGCACTGGCCTTCCCACCCAGAATGATTGTCTGGAAATAGTTGACTGTAAGGGGGATGGCAAGAAAATGAAACTGGCAGAAGTGATCACTGGTTTTGCGTTAGCGTTAGAATTAGCAACATTAGCAGACGTGGCATCGAACAGGCCTTTAAATCATAGAATTTGATTCGGGTTATATCTTTAGTATACTAGTCATGAGCATGAAGATATATATTCTCTTAAGAGATATGGAAACTCATCTTAGTGCATATATGAGAACCGGCGGGATGGGGAAACATCTTAGATGAACCTTTAGATACAAATAATTTGACTTTTTAGATTTCATCATTATTAGATTAGACATTAAAATAGGCTCAAATCATTTAATCAAACTGCTATCTACGCACCGTACTTTTTATGTTAACTTGTTTTGTGTATTTGTATAAGTTCAATGCCATCTAATATTTTTGCCAAACATTGGTATCTAGTTTTCATTTTCATTTAATTCTAATTAGCTCTTTGTTTAAAATTCCTGTTCTATAATTAATAATAAAAAAGTGACGCTGAAAAATAGAAGGATATGCTGGAAAGAGTCCCGTGACTCAGAATCTCATTTCATTCATATCCTTATATAGACAGTACTAGTCGTACTTGTGTATATTTACACTATAATCTGAAATAAATACGGTATATATTGACTCAATTAATCAACTAATATAAAGAATATATCATATATTTTTACTGATAATTTAATAATATAAAATGTCAATTTTGTACTGCTAGACATCTTAATAAGTGTTGCACTTTGATATACAGGTACTCCCCTCTAAAGGCATGAAAACTGGTTGTCCCAAAAAACTGTTCACTTGTCATTATGATGCATGTCGTCTTTGCGGATGGATAATAACCCTTAGAAACGCTTATGGTCTTTGAGACTGGATTTCTAAAACTATTTTTGATGTTTATAGTACTGGCCATAAATGTTCAATTCATTCTTCAATATGTATTGTAATGACATGAATGACTTCAGTATGAATGAAATGTCCCTTGGTGTTCTGGTGTTGTGATATACGTAGGTACCTTTACATGAATTATGGGCGAGTGAGTATTTAGATATTGTTTATTATGGTTTGGGAGTTGGACTTTTGACTGTTGTACTCTTATACGTTTTTCTTGCTTGGTGTGTTTTGTATAAACCACACGTCCCTCAATAGATTTGTCAACCGGGAGTCACGAGTATACCAAATACAGGGTGGGCAAATAAAAATGGGACACCCACATACATGTATATTCTAAATTTATACTCCCAAGTCTTTAATATATTTTATGTAATGTACGAACAGAATAAATATCACAGCCTACATGAACCCTTTTTCTTAGTCAATATTTTTATATATTGAGTGAACTTATACATCTATGATGGCCAAAAATGTCGTTATCCCCAATTTCTTAATAAGCTATTGATTTCGAAAATATCAATTGTGCAACTGTTTCCAAAAATAACAAGGATTAACAATCGAAAATGATATCTGTATTTATATAAAAACGTTTAATAAAAATTTGGTATGAAAAGAAAATAGTATCAAATAGAATATGTAATGATTATTAGTTAGATGCGACCTCTGTTTATGGTTCGCATGACTTTAATTATTGGCTAAGTGATGAAGATGAAAAACTTGCATTGTATTAAAATTAGAGTGATTATAACTCAAATCTGATTAAGTATTGGAAAACATTGTTCGAGAAATTATTTGTCATTAGGAAGACCGGTCAGGTATGACCTTTTACTAAAAATCAAACCACTGGCTGTTTTAGAGTTCGTCTGCATATATCCTCCTAAGGATTTACCCATTCCTCAAGCTGGAGCAAGATTTTTAATCTTTCATATGTCTCTACATACGCTTAAGTACAAAACGAATGTGTTCACGTGAGGTATTATGTTAAGTCGATATTTAAATACTATACATCATATTAACATAGTCATGATATATGTGGCATAACTATTCACTCACATCACTATTATATATTGCTTTTAATTAGAAGTTATCCAGTTATACTTTGAATTTGCATCTTGCCTGGAGTCTCATACTCGTTTACAAGTTTGATTTTCAAAAATACCTAATATTATCATCCGAAATATGGAGTCTCGCATGTTTTAACCTTTTATACAAATACAGGAGGCAAATGTTGACGTTTTTTGGCACACCGTGTATATTTATAGATATATAGAGAGTGGACGTTTGTCAACATGGCAATTTCATCTTATTTTTTCAAAAACTCCATCATAAGCTAAGTCATTAGTCTATAAATATTGAATAGCTGCGTCGCGTAAGTTTTGATCATAAGCCATCACATCATATATGCTTGGGTATTTACAGGGCATTATCATTGGTAAATCTTTCTGAACGGCCTTACAATCATTCGGAAAGGCCCTTCCCATTGTTCATCCCCCATTCATTGTCCACACTCGTTTTGCATCCATTAGCAGGATCTGGCTGGTTACCATCATTTGGAACATTCTGATTGTCATCCAACAAAGTGTCAAGGCTTGGACACTAACCATCGCAAGCTAGAGCCTTCGCGAGGTAGTTAACCGTATATCGATTCTCGGTTTTAGTAAGGTAAACGGCACTTTTGATGGAGCTGCAACACAAAATAAACAATGGTTATGTACTACATGTATGTACAACAGTTTTTCAATGGAAAATTTATTCCCCACTGAACTACGTAATGACTTATTCTATCCGTGCTACTATATTGTAGGGCTGTTTAAAAAAGTGTCTTTATTTCGAAATTTTGAAACACATTTTGACACACCGATTTCCATTGGTTTTATTTTTGTCTTATATTCATGAACTATCGTAGCCTATCGATGAGAAAAAGTACTTAAAAACAGGTGTTTTTTGATAAAGTCAATAGAGTTCAAGGTCTGATATTTATTATGTTATAAGACAGAAATTCAAACATGAGCGGGGGATGTATTGGATATTTTAGTTGTAGCCCTAATAGGGTTGAATATGAGTATTTTGGTTAATTGACAGATTTCGCAACTCACTTATAAAGCATGGATAAAGTATGAAGCGTTTGATTACGTGATCATTTATTGCGCAGCTCTATACATCCATAATGCCTGGGTCACATTTGCTCCGATCCATCGGCCGGGCAATTGAGTGTTTTGTTAAATATTGCATTCAATTTTGAACAAAATACTCAATCGGCTGGGCGCCGTAGTAAAATTCGGAGCCAGTGTGACCAAGGCATTAGTGTGATATTCTTATAAATCGTCGTCTATTACGTTAATATTTCACACTTATGGACGTATAGAGCTGTGTAATGAATGATGGCGTAATCAAACGTTTTATAAGTTATACGTTATTCGGGAATAATAAACATGCTATAAGTGAGTTGCAAAATCTCTTTAATATGAATCGTTTACTTATAGCATAGGCACAAACATGTTTCGCACAAATCCTATTTTGGGATCCACAGTCTCTATTGTCCCACATTTGATTAATTATCTCAATTTTCATCTGATTTCCGTACCACCTGTAAATAGGGATCGCTACGTGTAAGATATAATTCCCATTTAGAAAACATTTAAGAGGACTATGCGATGCTTACTTTTCTTGAAGCCAGGATTTGACTTGGGCGGTTGACTTATCTGGATAGTGACTGAGGTAGTCAGCTACAATTCCCGCCTGGAAACAATAGAGCTTTATGTGTTACATAATTAATATTCCATCGTCAGTGATGAAGCATTTAGTGAACAATAAAAACAATGATTATCAATAACATAATGGAGCTAAATTGTATAGAGATATTTTAATTGCATTGTCTTATAGACATATTTTGTTCCTTGGTTGTCGTTTTCTTTTTTTAGCGCAAAAAGCTCGGTTATCGGGTACGGCATCCCTATTTGAAATGGCATATTAGGCTATTCAAAGTAACGTAGTCCTCTACCAGATATGTACACCCCCCACTACCCCCTACTACCCCCTCAATAAGTCCAGCAACCAGATGCTCCCTTCTAGATCGAGTGTTTTGTTTATGTTTTGCGATTTAAAAAATCATATAATTGTAATAGTTTAGGAACATTATAAAAGGGTCAAACATTAACCCTTAAACGGTTAGGAGGCAGATCTGAGCTAGACAATTAAAGTTACTGAAATACCCAATTTGCAACTGTCAGAAGTTTTGACTTGAAACGAAACCCCTTAGTTCTTAGAAAATGAATTTCTTCATTAAAATTGATTCAATATAATTATAAATTAGCTCATAATATTGGGAATTTAATAACTTTAAATTCCAGTTATACCTAATAAAAGCTCTCATGATTGTTCGTTTCCGAGATCATAGGGGGGCAGATCTGCCTTACCGTCGGTGTAATTCTCTATACCGTTATGTTTGGGTTAACATGAGGTATCAATCGAAGACTTTCGGTTGCGAACTTATGGATCGGAGTGTATATAAGGTACTTGTTTTTAGACTACATACCACGTGTGGACTAGCCATTGAGGTTCCACTCAGGGCAACAGCCCGATTACCAGGTATTGCACTAAGAATCTGCTCGCCTGGGGCTATGATATCTACACTCTTGCCATAATTGGAGAATGAGCATAAATTATCCGTCCAATCAGAAGCAGCCACAGTAAATCTAGATAAAATATTTTCAAAGTAAATCGAAGAAAAAATATATGCATATGTACCTTGCCATTGAATTGATAGTGTTTAATAAATACAAGCATGTAAATCATCAGAGGCGCAGCCTTGATCTAAATAAAGCTTGGATCCAAACGAATCTACCAGATCAGTATATTTTTAAGAAATTGATCGGGACAATGGTAAATTCCAGTTTATTGAAGTCTGAAGATAAAATAATCCGTCGAAAAGTTAACAATCTGTAATCATCGAGAAGGTGAATTATCCAAAAGATCCATGAGCCTATAGTACTCCAAATATATGTAATACTCCGCAACGAATATATTCACTTGGGGTATATGACAGCGTCCATGCAGTATATGGCATACATGTATACTCACTAATGCCTTGGTCTCATTTGCTACGATTTTCACTACGGCGCCCGGCTGATTGAGTATTTTGTTCAAATGGATCAGAGCAAATGTGACCCAGGCATCACCAATGAAAACGTTATACGGAGGTACGCAGCTACGTTCGTGAAGCTTATGAATGACATTTTAACCAAATCGACAGTTGACAAAGACTTGAAACAAAACTTGAAATCACAAATATTGATGTTACTCAAGGGGCGAGGAGGAAAATTCTCAATAAATGGTGTATAGTTGGTTTGGCAGCATTTTCAGTTAGGGGAGAGTCTTGGATGAAATTTCCACCTAGGTGATAGCTTCACAGAGTGGTAGGAAGTTCTTTTTTTTGAGGAGTTAGCCCCCCACCCCCCAAAAACATCCCACCCTGGGGAAAAAATTGTTCACAGTAAATAACCTTAGATATTTTGATGTTTGTAAGTGACATACATAGATATTATATATATGAATCATTTGCAGTATAATTGATGCTGATTGCTCCTAAGGAGATTGAATATTAGTACAAAGTGTGTACCCCAGGGGGCAAATTCGTGACTCATTTTCTTACTATTTTGATCATAACTTTTTAATTAGACACTGTAAGAGGTTGAAAAAACTCATGGGAAGTGCCCAATAGCAGGGCTAGTAAACCTGAAAGATGCAAAGCCATTGAAAGGGTAGGAGCTGAGAAAAAAATTGTTGATTTTTCGAAAAATTTGACATTTTTGACAGCTGGATTTTGTGTATGACTATAGTTGACCCCTATAGTTTCTAGATCCTTCCCTCTATAATGATATTTATGGTTTTATAGTGTGGAACTTAGATGTAAAACATAATTTAGATGGGTTTTAAGGAAGTTAAAGGTTTTAAACAAGTCCAAAATTTGAAAAATTGTAAATATAAGGTTTCAAATTTACATATTCCAGGTATAGCCATGGATGACCCCTATAGTTTCTAGATCCATCCCTCTATGATGATATTTATGGCTTTGCCATGTGGAACTAATATGTAAAACACAATTTAGATGGGTTTTAAGAAAGTTTAAGGTTTTAAACAAGTCCAAATTTGAAAAATTGTGAATATAAGGTTTTAAATTTATGAATTTCAGGTATAGCCACGGCTGACCCTTATGGTTTTTACATCCATACCTCTATGATTAAATATACCGTTTTAGAGTGTGGGACTAAGATTTAACATATCCAAAATGAATTTTAAGGAAGTTTAAGGTTTTAAACAAGTCCGAAATTTGAAGAATTGTAAATGTTAGGTTTCAAATTTATGAATTTCAGGTATAGCCAAAGATGACCCTTATGGTTTTTACATCTATACCTCAGGGATGAAATATATAGTTTTAAGAGTATTTAACTAAAATGTAAAAGATACCTAAGATGAGTTTGAAGGAAGTTCAAGGTATTAAACAAGTGCAAAATTTAAAAAATTGATCTCAAAATTAGTCTCAAATTCACGTTATTCAGGTACAGCCTTGAATGAGCCCTGATAATTGAAGGTTATGAGTATTATAGTATCAACTATAAGATCATAGCTTAGAGACCAGGTGTAGAATTTATACCTGTTGCAGCAGTTAGTCTGCTGCATATAGATGGAGTGAAAAGTCGTGAACAACAGTAAAATCTCTCTAATCTGAATGCTACTGGTATTTGAACCAGCTAAAAGCATTCTAATTAGGAGTGTTTGAATTTTGAGGTTTTTACATCTACAATACATGGATGCATTCTCAATGAAAAATATTAATAATATTTATACTGACCACATAAAAAGCTTAATAGCATTCCAAAATTCAATTCAAAAGTTTTGATATCATAACAATTCAGTGTTAAACTGACAATATTTGAGCAATTTTGTAAGAAATATGTGATATTTGGTAAAAAGAGTTCAAGTTAGACAGGTTAATTTTTCAAATATGAGTGTTCACTGTTCGAAGTAAGAGGTATTCAGATTTCAATTTTTTAAACATAGGAGTCGATGGGAGGAAAAATTGGACTGGGAAAAGTGTTCAGATTGGTGGGTGTTCAGATTAGTCAGGTGTTGGGATGATTGGTAGGTATTCACAATAGTCAGATTTTGGGATATACAGGTTTCACTGATGATATATCATCATGATGATGAACTAGAACTACTGTACTAGGTGCATTTGATAATTTTTACCACAATGTTAATACTATGTCAGGAAAAGAAAGCACCCATGACACTTTGCTTGTACAACTTGAAAATCAACAACACTTTAAGATTTGATAAAGGTGTCTACCAAATGAGTAATCCACATAAATTCAAATACAAGCACTTGGCATGATATTCCCTATGATGCTATTTATAGATTTTTAGTCAATGTTATTGATCAGCTTATTGGTTTCATTACTTTCTCTAGAATCTAAAATTGACCTTGGGTTTATGAGAGTAGTAAATTGGAATGCAGTTATATGGAGTATTGAATTGGCTGGAATTGGACACACGTTGCCTAGCTATGTGTGAGTAAACTATGATCTTATATGGATACAAACAGTTCGTTCAGAACTTAAAAAGGGGTTTGAAATGGAGATCGATGAAACCATACCACAAATTGATAAAACTTTCGTGATCGATGCAATGGCTATGACAAAAGGAAAATTAAGATTAACTTATATGTTGAAATTTGGAGAGTTTTGGAAAGCTATATTTGACTACTCCATCAAATCTAGTAAAGGAGCCCAAAGAATAGATTTCATATTAGACTCCTAGTAGTCTCCATCAGTAAAGGATTCTGAAAGAATGCGAATTTTCAAAGATTACAAAGAAATTTAATAAAGCAGCATTCTAAAAGTGTGCCAAATGTCAAGATTGTTTTAAGTGGAACTATTGGGGAGAACTCAAATATCTGTGAAAATGATAACTGAAATCCCCTGTTAAATTCCACTCTTGAAGAGGCTGATTTTAAACTTATTCACTCTGTTTTACATTCAGCAGGAGAACATGTGGGACTGCAGTAATTTGCATCAAATGACACTGATTTTCTAATTTTATGACTATCATTTCAATAAATGTAAAAAATTCTTCAACTGCTAGAAAAATGTCATCTGCAAAGTCAGTATGTAAACATTTTCTACAATGTCTGTTTGTTTGAAACATATTGATCATAGATATCACCATATATACTTTTTTGATCTACATGAAGATTTTAGTGTGACAAGACCCTTTTATCCTGGAGATCCTAATCTCATTGCACTAACAGGAGTTTCTAGGCCCAGCGGGGTATGATCCTTATAATCCTTATTTTCCCAAATAATTACCGTTGCCTGATGACAAGTTGTTTTATTGGGAGTGTAGTGATTATAATTTGATAATTTATAATAATATTTTGTATTAGGAGATGATCATTGCTTAATTACAGTATGGGCATAACAAAATATAGAGAAATTATGTTTCTTTTAATTAACCGTGTCTTTATGTATTTTGACAATGTAAAACATTACATTGATAATAAAATATCATCAAATTATAATTAATTAGTTATAATCCATTTAATCAATCAATTACTACATTGTATACGATATCCCTAAGAGCAGTTACACTTTAGGGGGGGGGATTTATTAACCTCTCACCCCCTTAGGAACTCTAGGGTAAGGTCCTCAACTCTAATGATTTTTCTTTTAACAATATTTGTAAAATGGATCAAACCTGACCACAATATTTTCAACATCTAATTTCTAAGCTAAAAAGTCATACATTCAAAAAGAGAGACATCCAAGCAATACCTGAAATCTTAGAGGAGGACTGAAAGTATCGCAACAGATTTAGGACAGTCACATGTTGGATTTTTGCTATTTTCTGAGGATTTGAGGAGGTGCATATGTTAGGCCAATGCATTTCCTCCAGGAAAAGCACTCATAGAGATGATAAAATAATTTCTATTTGAGACAGGGTGCAAACAACCAACCCACATGCATCAATATGCATTCCATCAGGGGTTTAAAAGATATCAAATATGGGTGACCAAAATTAAGCTGAAAGTAATGGAGCACATATAAGTTTTCCATATGGGAAAATAACAGGAAAATATTGTTTTCTGCTTTATCTAAAAGAAATTTATTATTCCTTTTTATGGGTTAACTATGTCTCAAAACGCAACATATCGATGCAACAAAAATTGAAAAAGCAGGGGTAAAAGGGCTTGAAAATCAGGACAACATTTCCCAAAAAACATGTGGCTGGAATGTTTGCACCTTCGCTGTCTCAAAGTCCAAACTATTTTATCATCTCTAAGAGTTCTTTTCCCGTAGGTAATGCAATGGCCTATCATATGCACCTGCTTAAATCCTCAGGAAACAGACAAAATCTAACATATGACTGTCTGAAATATGTTGCGATACTTTCCATGCTCCTTTGAGACCTGATATTTCTCAATTTTTCAAACATTGCACTTGTTAAAATTCTTAAACTTCCTTAAAATTCATCTTCGGTATGTTTTACTTCTTAGTTTTACACTCTAAAAATATATGTTTCATCATAGAGGTATAGATGATTTTGGACTTGTTTAAAATCTTTAATTTCCTTAAAACCCATCTAAATTATGTTCTACATCTTTAGTTCCATACTACAAAACCATAAATGTCACCAAAGAGGGATTGATTTAGAAACTATAGGGGTCAGCCATGGCTATACCTGGAATTCGTAAATTTGAAACCTTATATTTACAATTTTTGGACTTGTTTAAAACCTTTAACTTCCTTAAAACCCATCTAAACTATGTTTTACATATTAGTTCCACACTATAAAACCATAAATATCATCATAGAGGGATGGATCTAGAACCTTTAGGGGTCAGCCATGGTTATACCTGGAATTCGTAAATTTGAAACCTTATATTTACAATTTTTCAAATTTTGGACTTGTTTAAAACCTTTAACTTCCTTAAAACCCATCTAAATTATGTTTTACATCTTAGTTCCACACTTTAAAACCATAAATATCATCATAGAGGGATGGATCTAGAAACTATAGGGGTCAGCCATGGCTATACCTGGAATTCGTAAATTTGAAACCTTATATTTACAATTTTTCAAATTTTGGACTTGTTTAAAACCTTTAACTTCCTTAAAACCCATCTAAATTATGTTATACATCTTAGTTCCACACTATAAAATCATAAATATCATCATAGAGGGATGGATCTAGAAACTATAGGGGTCAGCCATGGCTATACCTGGAATTCGTAAATTTGAAACCTTATATTTACAATTTTTCAAATTTTGGACTTGTTTAAAACCTTTAACTTCCTTAAAACCCATCTAAATTATGTTTTACATCTTAGTTTCACACTATAAAACCATAAATATCATTATAGAGGGATGGATCTAGAAATTATAAGGGTCAGCTATAGTCATACACAAAATCCAGCTGTCAAAAATGTCAAATTTTTCGAAAAATCAACAATTTTTTTCTCAGCTCCTACCTCTTCAATGGCTTTGCATCTTTCAGGGTTACTAACCCTGCTATTGGACACTTCACATGAATTTTTCCAACCTCTTACAGTGTCTAATTGAAGACTTAGAATCAAAATAGTAAGAAAATGAGTCACGAATTTGCCCCCTGGGGTACATACTTTGTACTAATTTTCAAATTCTTTAGGAGTTATCAGCATCAATTATACTGCAAGTGATTCATATATATAATATCTATGTATGTCACTTACAAACATCAAAATATCTAAGGTTATTTAGTGTGAACAATTTTTTCCCCAGGGTGGGGTGTTTTTGGGGGGTGGGGGGCTAACTCCTCAAAAAAAGAACTTCCTACCACTCTGTGAAGCTATCACCTAGGTGGAAATTTCATCCAAGACTCTCCCCTAACTGAAAATGCTGCCAAACCAACTATACACCATTTATTGAGAATTTTCCTCCCCGCCCCTAGAGTATGTACGATGTATTGATGTTCTTGTATTGTTGTATTGGCAAGATCACGATTAACATACTTTTGATACTTTCAAAAGTATCACTCGGCAATCACACGTTATAATCTTACTCAATAAATCCAGGATTCATATAGTATTATCTACACAGATTTAAAATTCTGGTGAGGCAGTTCCCTCATGTCTGCCTCGTGCCTGGCTACGCGCATGTAAATGTATAAAATATGGATAATAATACTTACACGCCTGTCGCCCTGCTAGGTGAATAGTAACTGGCAGGTCTGTGAGAGTTCCCTGCTGCAACAACCACCGGGACATTCTACAATATGGGATTTACTTGATAATCTGAGGTCTAATCTGAGGCAGCACGTGTGTACAGTCACGTGAGTATACGTAGACAGTCACATGGGTTCGACGTGATTTGTCACGTGTGTAATGTGTAGCCACATTGCGTTATACGTGTGCTATCGCATGTGTCAGACGTTATAAGTCATCGGTGAAATATAATTGCAGTCGCATTTGTCAGACGTCACAAGTCACGCCATGAGTCACACCGGTATATTGGCATTAATCAGAAATAAAGCACAATTTACAGAATGGTTTTTATTTGTTAAAAGATAAGTTGTGTTGGCTACGAAGGTAATTTATGTCGGAATGAAAAAGAATTTGATGAATAGGTCGTTTTTTATATTTACCTCAGATGCCAAGGCATTAACCCACGCGTCTTCTGTTTTACTTCCACGTCCACCAAGGGACATACTGAAAAAAGATCAGTTTCTTTTTGTTATTTTGCTTACCTCTGAAAGCAATAAAGTGGAGGCAACTAGGTACATAAATTATATTTTTTGCTTGTTGATGAGACATATATAACGCAACTAAGACATCATTGTCATAAGCAGGCGGGTCATTGCTGAAAGGAATTGATCGAAGGTATCCATCCACTCCATACGTTTGGCAACGGGATAGCTTTTTTTAAGTGTGTTTAAGATTGAATGTTAATGCTGTTCATAAATTACAAAAAGTCGAAACGTTGCACTTACTTTATTACCGACCGCCTCGAACTGCGTTTCGTTTGCTGCCTAACCCATTGTAGACCACGGAGGATGGATGATGTAGTCCCACCACCATTATCCCCGAGTACCTTAACGGCAAAAATACGTGCTTTCTTAGCGATGCCGTAAGTTTTACCAGCCACAGTCGCTAAAATATGTACATGTACAGCAAAATCAAGAAACGTTCAATATCAAGTTCGTAAGTATTTTAACGTGTGACATATTGGGAGAAGCAAATTCTTCTCTTCTTCATCCTAGAATTTAATTATCCCGGAAATTAAACATCTGCAATGAGGCAAGATTACACTGAACGACTTAAAACAGCGAGTGGCCCAATCTGCTTGTGGTGCAACTATGTATCAAATTTATTGTTTTTTAAAATACAAATGACGTGAAACTTATTCCTTTTACCTGCGACGTGAGTCCCGTGACCATCAACATCGTGGGAGTCACTGCCTGGCGCATACACAGTGGTAGTACCCTGTAATGAGATTAGTTATGAAGAAATTGCCGTACATATTATATGACAAAACGTTTTAGAACTTTCGAATTAACACTGCTACCCTTTACTGTCCAAAGGAGGCTCTAATAAATAAGTCAGGTTCATGGCGTCAAAATGCAAGTGGCATTTTTACAAAAATTAAAAATATTCATAGAAATCTTTAAAATCAATAATATATTAATCGTTTTTTGATAGGTTTTTATTTTCATTAACAAAATACCAAGAAGTACTGTTTACGTGCAAAATGCCAAGAAGTCTTCAAAATTAGCAATAAATTAATCCTTTTTAGATAGGGAACATTGCTACAGCCTGCATAAAGTCTCTGACATCATAAATTCACCAGTCAATATGTTTAGATTTCACAATTCCAGTTATGTACACTTTACTGTTCGATATTAACTTACGTGATATGCCCGTCCTTCGAATTCAGGATGGTTACGATCAATGCCCCTAAAATAAAACATTGGTTCATTATTTAGCATGCTCTCCAAATATTGATATGCCGTTACATTACCCCCACCTTATAAAGATGTCAGTCCCGTAGCGTGCGCACGATAAAGTGTATGAACGAATTACCAGAGAATTGTAATCTAACATTAGAGTATTATAAATGTGCTCACGTATCCAACACGTAAATGTCGACTCCTTCCTTTGGCTCCTTTATTGTCATGTAACCATCTCTGTTTTTGGTCAACTGGTCTACTCTATCGAGGCCCTGAAACGTGTATGTGAATGGCAATTAGTATTAAAGGGCTAATATCTGTAGTATCTCACTCATATTTTTGATTCGTGATGAAATGTAAGTTACGTAATATATTTCTCCGGAACGACTCTTTCAAGCTTCAGTAATTATTTTGAAAAACGTTCATGTCCAAGTCTATCCATTGTGTAAGTTATACGTAATTATTATCTTATTTGATATTTTGGGTAGAAGTAACATCACCAGCTATTGCTTATTGCAATAACTACAATAATTTCAGTTACTATATACCCAGAAATGTATATATACCAAAACTCAAAACATCACCACAATTGATATCTACTGCATATACAGATTATCAAATACGTCATCGAAATTAGCATACCTATGCACAACACTAAAATTAACAAAAAGCGTTTTTACAAAATATCCTCTTTGTAAGCAATACATGAGTCGCACATACCCATACATTTCTCACATCATAACGTGTACACTTGAAGTTGTTTGTTGGAGGGGGATTTGAAGTGGTTGTTTCTAATTGAGGTGTAATTGTTGTTGATGTTGTAAGTTTTGGTGTTGTAAGTTTAGGAGTCGTGGTTTTCCCATCCAGGTGCCGAACAGTGCTTGGACTAACAGGGCGATTTGTAGTCCTATCTGTATTTGGTACGTCTTTACAATGTTTGAACACTTTATACTTATACGTCGTTTTTTCAGCATTGCGCGCGGCAATATGTTCATATGCCTGGTGGCTCGGATCGTCCGGAACGTATGATCTGATTTCTTCTGCTTTAGACGGCGCTGTTAAATCTTCTTCCGATTCTTCTGCATCACCAATCGGTGATTCAATGATGGGCGATTTAGTCATAACAAGATCTGACTCGATAAATTGAACGCTTGGATCGCATCTCAATTCATCAATTGTCCTGAAATCAGAAATACAAATATAAAAAAGACTAAAATTACTCACCCATACGTTAGTGACGTCATAACGAACGCAGTTTACGGGACAATCTAGGTTACTGGCAGGTTGTGTAGTTGGTTTGATAGTCGTTGTCGTACGTCGCGGTCTTCTCCTTCGGGTCTTGGAGACAACTTGGTCTGATTCAATTATCAAAACGTTTGGATCGCAACGAAGGTCATCAATTGTCCTAGAATAAATATGAATATCGTGCGTCTCAAAGAGGTACTTAGAGACCTTGGATAAATCGGAGACACAATAAACCCTAGAACCATACCCCTTAGATGTTGGTTGGCGTGAAAGAATTTGTGGTCTCCAGGATTATCTTAACTTTTGATATAACATGAAAACATTGAGTACTCACTTGGAATCTGTGTTCACAACGAATGAGTTGAGGGCGTATGTGTCGTTTATTTCCAAACTGACCAAGTCATCAACCCGCCTATTTGGTAGAGGGTCAATAGATCCTGAAAGCGCGTGCGCAAGAACCTCGTCTTTAGCTGCAATGCTCACAGTTTCACCAAAAGATGTCACCTTAGATCTTGCTGCAATTATTAAGGTAATTGTAGAGTAACGTGTTTCTATATATAACATGTTCAAAGCATTGTCAAAGGTTTTATGCTACCAGCCTGGTTTGGGGGTCGAAAGTACCAGTATGTAGAAGCCATGGCGTTTTATCCCTGATACAGCAATAAAGTATTTTATAAAGAACCTTACGTGCTCCAGTGTTATATAGATAACGCCACTGTAATATATAGAGATGAATTGTGCATTTAAAATTATAGTTTTTTACCTATATTGTTCATATCCTGCATGGGCAGCCAATGACCCCATTATTGAACTTGTACAGATTTAAAATACAACAACGTCGTGATTAAAAACGTTACAAAAATTCACTTTTTGCTGATCGACTTATGCACTTACTGATATGTTTTAAACCACTGACAAAATTCGATTCAATGTGAAACAATGCATGGCTTTAGAATGTAGATCACCAATTTGATAGTCATAGTAGAAATATTAATAATTCTTTCTATGAACTTGACTACTGTGCGAATTGTACACCGGTGACACAAATAAAATTGATCCTCTAAAATAACTAAATATAGAAGGAAACTCTAATTTCCCTCAATTCATCCCTTACAAAGCCATTGATTGTAAAGTTTTGTCACTGTATGTAGAATATATATCTTACAATATATGTATAAAAGCAAACCAGAAACGACTCAAATAACACCTCAAATAATGACATATAGAGAGGAATCCAGATTTCTATATGATTTCATGTACATTTACGCAGTGAACACGCATTCACAAATCCAACAAAATGTGCATAATAAATTAAAAGGTACTACCAAAAGTAGAGAGTTGTATTTTTGTCAGCCTGTGTAATGATTTTTAAAACTTAAACTGACAATGATTTGTTCATGTATATTACGTACATACGGCAGCAGAAATGGATGGATTCAACATAACAATGTATTCGTCCTTCACTTCAGAAGCCTCTGGACCGCTCGACTTGGGGGCAAGTTCTAATGGAGCTGGAAATAAAAAAGGTTTTGCAGGTGGCAGAATGCATGGACACCCCTAGCCCTAGTAAGTTTGGCACGCAAGAGTGGCATATCATACAAACGTCCTTTGTGCGTTTTATTTTTCATTCTAATGGTATTGGGTTTTCCTTGAAAATGGTCATTCTGAACTCAAAATGTCACATTTGCAAAAGCTGTAATATTTTCTGCCCTGAGCTAGTATGACCCTAAACGATTTCACTTGATATAATGACTCTCAGTGTTTAACTATAATGCAGTGCCGTAAACCAACTCCTAACTTAATATCAACTACTCATTACATTACAAAAAATGTTGGCTCACAATTGCCTTTCAGTTTAGTATTACACTGAACATGCATGTGTACTTAGCAAACTAGCATTATAAAATCAAATTATAAGTACAACGTATTTCTATATTCGCGTGGTGATATGATGTTAAAACAATAAATCACACATATTTGGTTGGTGTCAAAAATGCTAGGTTTTTCTTACTACTTCAAATGCCCTCTGGCTCTTAAGTTTCCCTCTAAAAATCCCAGCAGCCTGCGATTTGCAAAACCAATAGACGTTGATAAAAATTGTCCTTAAACTTCCCTTGCGCTTTCTTATTTTGAATAAGACATATATTCATTGGTATTCAATTATGGTTATCAAAATATATATTTACCCTTTTTGTCCCGCGCACCGTCGCATATTTTCTTACGTCGCCTCACAGCACATATCGTTAATCCAATGCAAAATGCACAAAGTATCGTCATTGAAAACAATCTTGGTATGTTCATCGTTGTTAGTTCTTCAAAAAACTTGCGGATCCTGTGTTTAAATGAAAGCGTTAACCCATTTGTATTTATATACGCTACTTATCTACGCTTATATGGGGTTTCTGGAGTTATCAAGTCATTTTGTTGTTGTTTATTATCTCAAGATTGACGTAGACGTTGGTTGTTTTTTCGTCTTTTTCAAGAATTTATATGCGTTTTGTCCTATATATTCTTAATAGTGCCAAAGTGATGGTTCAATAACCAGTACAAATTATTAGCATGGTTGTAAACATGATGTACAAAGGTCCGAATCCATCACATAAAAAATGTATAAACCAATGAAAACTAATACATATAATCACGTGACGTTTAGATGCTGCAAAAAAGATAACATTTAACACTTGGATTTTGGCAGTTGTCGTGCTTGAGTAACAAACGCGAGTTGAATCACCTGAGGGTCGTGATATAAATATTTGGATGTTTTTATCAATTTTGTCACGTTCGTCCCGAGAAATGCACTTACGATGGTCATCCAGGGTTCATGGTTCTTTGAATATATTCATTCCTGTTGACCAAAGTAAGTGATGTACAGCGCAGGGCTCAGTCATAATTACCTGCATCAATATCCACTTTCCTGGAATGAACATAACAAAATGTAATGTGACCGTATATATTCATCCAAGATATTTTTGATAAGAAGAAATTGCACAAAATGAGTTACCGTATATTTGCGGTTTTGCCGTGTTTTGCCGTGTCTAATTCTTGAGTATGATTTCAATAGAGGAGTTTCGATATACTCTCCCCTCCATAAGTTCGGCAACCTTAGCTACCCCATTGAACTACGTGTTAAAGCCTCTTTACGTTTCAATTTTTATTAACTTAACCTGCGATGAAAATGCTTATAATATTGATGAAAAACGTAGCTTGACTTTATTTCCAATACCTCCAAATTTTCTCATTTTTATCCTCAATTACAAGAGGTCGAGAATTGATGATAAATTTGATGAATTTTTATAATTTTTTCATAATCTTTAATTGTAATTCCCGTGTAAACCAAAGGGAAATGGTGGGTTCGGGGCAAATCAGAAATCAGGTTATATGTTCAGTAACAGATTCAGCAAAAAATATTTTTATATAGAAAATTGAATTGTTTAACTTTTTTGTACACTTATTGTTTAATTTACTTGATGAATACTAAAGTTACAGAGCTTCAAAGTCATTTTTGAAAATCATTTTTCGCCTCCTGTGTTATTTCAATGGGAGAGGTTTAATGAAAATAATTTTGACTTAAGAGACCTATCACTACCTGATCATGAAGAAACGTATCGATTTTTCGTTAAATAAAGTTAGCACATTCAATTACCTATTACCTAACTTGTATTTTTGCAAGGATGGACGGATATTCTGTCAAATGACTTGCGGCAAACATACCATTTCTCATTGCTTAACATGGGAATGTCGATTTTTAAAAGTACCTCTATTCCTCTATTCCATTATTCTGCTATTTAGGAACTATACAATTGATTAGGTTTATTTAGATCACTTCGAACCTTCACTTTTGCACTATTGAAAATATATAAGATAAATCGCATACCCTCCGTAAAGAAAAAAAGGTGCATGGTCCTGTATCTGTAACATTTTGAAAATTTAGTATGATATAACTAAACTCTTGTAGGCACATGGCGTAAATATTGTGAATAACTGGTGAAGACTTGGAAAATCGATGAAAATTAAGTTAGCAATGGTGAAATACATTGTCTCACAAACTCACTTATGTGACTTTTTCCATTAATTACGTCATGGTGAGGAATTACAATTTGCTATTATATAGTACTTACATTTTCCTCTGTGACTAGTATATCATTTTTTCTATATAATATGTTATATTCTTCATACCCATTGTAAAGCCCGTCCCAAACTGGTCATAACTGACAGGTTTGAAATGAAAATTGACACACTGACAGAACATTATGGAAATGCCAAAACCCGCTTAGAACATGATTTTTAGACAATTTTACGCCTCAAATAGCAGTGAAATTAAGGATAGGATGTAACAATTTTGTTCAATAAAAAAATGTATATATCACATCTGACATAATTTTTGGTATGCATAAGCTAAGTATAGGATGTAACATATTTATGGGTCATTGAGAAAGATTAAGGGTTATAATCATCTTACAATTTCCAGTTTATTGTAATATATGGTACCCCTATCCCTAATTTTGAGAGACCTCTGAATCTGAAGGATATTACCTCAAATTTTATCAGAAATTGTTGTAATTAATCGGACATTTATTATGTAACTGATATTTTCACAAAGCTTTATAGGATTGAAAACTTTTTAAAATGGAGTGTTCTGACCACATTGCTGAGTATGGGATTTCTCACATTTATGACGTCAATTTATGGTAAAAAGTCACACTCACGATTTTGGGAGTCGTTTTATTCAATCCTTTCTAATTATTTTTTATCATATTTACGAAAATCTTTGAAATTTACTCCATTTAGCCAAAATATACATACATTATACCTCTATATGTTTGGTCTGATAATAACGAAAAATAAAAAAGATATAATTGGTAAAAGACAATTCACCTTTGATTTCTTTACAGGAGGGTATACGTTTTGAAAACACAACAAATGACAAACAAATTTTAAAGAGACTTGAGAAAATAATAATTTTATTAATGATACCATTTTTATGATAGAAATAAGAAACAGTGGCCTACAATCTGAATGTAGCATACAATTTGAAACGACGGAACGCCATCTCATTCGCTAGGATGTAGCATGCGCGTGTACCAGTGTTGCACTGACTCTTAAGTTGTTTATAAAAAAGCACTTTTTGAACTTAAATTGTTTATTTGATCTAGATAATCAGCAAATACCAACTGATCTCGATTTCTACAACAATATCACGGACTTTTTCATAACCTCGATTTAAAACCTTTTGTTAAGATCTACTTTTTATACAGAGTTCCATAAAAAATAACACCCAGTACAATGCTTGAGATTGAACTGCAACAATTCTTTTAGTGCGCAAATATTGACGTAGCATTCAATTATTTCATAAAACACTACTAAGATGCGAGGTGTCATGTTTAAATGTTTCACGTGTTTATTGTCCCCATAGGGATACCGTAAACATGTTATATGACTTCTACCGGTGACGTCCTCCAAGTATAGCCAAAATGAATATCATAATTTATTTCGCAGTACGAATCATAAAACAGAGTTTATATTTATATTTTATGAATGAGGTTGCGATTGTAAATTAAAATCAATAGAATTCGTCTATTCTGATTCAGAATATGTTTTATTAAGAACGATATAACAATATTGGCAGACTATGTTCGTCAAGTGGCACATATTTGCTTAGTGTTCTTTGTATTCAATACAAAATAAAAACGTATTATTCGTCTGAAATTGAAAACCACCATAGATGCCCCATTTTACGACTACACCTCAAAGTTTAAACTGCATATTCAATTAATCGCGTGAGGTATATAAGATAAATTAAAATGGCCAACACATAAATGTTATTGCTACTTGGATATGTTTCAACATATGGATTAATGACATAGACAATTTGTTGAAGGACAGTCTAAAATGGTATGTATAGTATAATGGTGAACCTTATTTAAGTGTTTAAATGATACTATGGTTGTCATAATATGGTTATCGACCTCTTCTGTATTTATAGAAAAATTAATAAGCTGTTCTCTATCGTTGATTGTCAGATAAGAGCAGACTGTTATGTTTCAAAAAAAACAATCAATTTATTCAGAAGACGGAGTTCGCATAGCTATAATTAGTTATATTATATTTTGAAGCATGTTATTAACAGTATTCCCTTTTTAAATGCCTAGCCGCGATCTAGTTAGACGAGTCAAAAATTAATAGAAGGGGCCAATTACGTTGATAAACAAATAACAAACAAGAATGAGTTTTGTTTGGCGATATTACTATTTCTAAGTACTAATTGAAATAAATGGTTATACCATAACTAATTGACTAACTACCTAAAGATTATATAATAAGTGTATATGTAGTTATGTAATTAAAAAACAACCGCGCACGTGTTCCACTATGAACAGTGCTCCAGAAGCAGTCAAGAAAAGGTATTTTACTACCTCCTGGTTCCATGTCCAGAGATTTATCTGCCAAAAACTTGTTTGCAACGCGTTGGTGAGGCCAATGAAGTATACCTACATCCATGGTGAGGCACTTAACTCACCAGCTTTAGGCATGGATATGCCAATGTAGATCGGACTGCACAATTTTACTAATTCGACTTGTTTTTTAAGGTGTGGTCTAAATTACAAAATGCGTGCCAAATTTAGAATACTATCTCATCAGGACGATGGTAAGAGCAAAAAAAATATTTTGACGAAAATAATCAAGTGTAAATCTATTTCGATTCGAATGTTAATCTTTTGATAAATGATTTCGGGATAACACTAATATAAAATGAAACCCTAATCCGAAAGCCGACGGATAGACACATATCAGGGGGTACAAGAGTTCGTATGGGAACGGAGGATCGTCATAGCCAGAAACGTATCGAATAACAACGTTGCATATTGTACAGTAAAGATTAACGCTTTTTTGGTGTGATGTTGCGTAGAGTGATGGTTGCTGACCCCGCGTTTTGACATTTTGTTTTTGTTAGATCTTGTAAGACAATTACGGAAACGTCCCGTTGTATAAACGCTATAGGCGTTATATGAAACAATTGGCACATATAACTTACCCCCAATTGCGTTCATAAGTACTTAAAGGTACATTATTGATAACTCAATGACCAATAGCTTAAGTGGGAGGGAACAACCCTCAGTGAATTGATAGTTAATATGCCAATGGCAACTCCTTCAAGAATAATGGCACTTGAGTTTTAAAATGTTTTAAGCCTCTAATAAATAACATCGTCTAGAAGAATGGGCCGTCAGGTGTTTGGTTGATGTATTGATTTTATTATTAGATCCCAAAAAATTTACAGAAAAATGTTTGAAATCAGTTATGTCTTTTCAATTCCATATACTTAGGTGGTTCAAAAAGTTTTACAGTTGATGCCATAACTTCAAGGAAAATAAGACTTTTGCAATGAAACTTGGTACACATATGTGTTATACATTTATACATTATATGTTAAAATTTGGGACGTAATTCCGGGTTGAACATGGTACCCACCACTCTGGTTACCATAGCAACTATATCTCAAGAACCAATCAAAGTTGAGGTCCCAAATTTTACCATATAATGTATAAATATATAACACATATGTGTACCAAGTTTCATTGCAAAAGTCTTATTTTCCTTGAAGTTATGGCATCAACTGCAAAACTTTTTGAACCACCTAAGTAGAAGTATTACCTGATTGTATTCATTTGAACTTTAATTTTTATTGAAAGGAACATGAATTTCCAGAAATTATGAATTTATAAACATTAGTTATTTATTACACGTACGTTTCTCGAATACTTGATTCGATCAAAAAATAACATTATTGCCAAAAAGTCGGTTAATCCAATCAAATTGTAAAACAATTAAAATATAAACAATTATATACTAGAGGTTTGATCAATAAGCCTATTTTGTATAAAGTCATATCATTCATCATATACAATAAAACTTGTAAATGGAACACCTCTTGTACCTCTTAGGAGGTGTTCCACTTGCAGAGGTTCATTTAACATTAGGTCAGTTGGTCGTTGAACTGAAAAATGTTCCACTTACAGAGGTGCTCCACTGGATAGGTTAACTGCAATATGCTCCTAGATAAGTGTCGAATCAACATAAATTAACTAATTTATTTTATTGTCGACCACAAAGGTGGTTAAACTCAGAAGTGAATACAAAATCGGATTGCAAAGTTCGTCGATTTCAAAATCTCGATTGGATCGTGACTAGATGCATGATTGATTTGATTATTGCATTGGTAGTTTCGAAGTTAGAAAATAGATTGTGTGCTTTTTAAAGAACTAATGTTAAAATGTCTCTGTTCTTTTACCCAAATCAGACATAAACATATAGATTTCGTAATTGTAACGCATAAAAGAGATCTTTGAATCATAAATAATGTTTTTCAAATTGCTGTAAATATTTTCGGTTTCTTGTACATATCAATTCTAATTGTATTCTCCAGGTAGGCATTCCTTATAATTAACACTAATAATACGAAACTAAATCTTTATTTCCTCCCCGATGTGAGCAATAGGAAGAACCTGTCATTTTGATGGCAGTATTAATTGTTTGACAGTGTTCAACTCATTCCTTAAAGCAATTGTTAACTTCCGATATGACAATGAAAGGCATAACGACGCACTTAAACTGTAACGATGCAACGGTATAAATATTTCTAAACTCATATCTAATGTTTACAAAGCACTTGCCAAATATCAGGACACATTGTAAAAAATGAACATTATCCGTGGGCAGGGTTCAAGATATCATCCAATCCCTCCCTTCTTAGCCCTGCGTTAAGAGGATAAAAATACCGAGAGGGCTTAGGCGCCAGCACGTTCAGGCTAGGCGATTGGGCGCCGTAACCATGAGGTTGCGAGTTCGAGACGCGGTGTGCTCCGTGCGTTTATTCATTTAACCACTCGATTCTCTTCTCGCTTTTGAAAACGTAAATTTCTAAAATTCAACAGAAAATAAAAAATAAACTACATAGCAATTTTGAGATATAAACTGATATACCAAGAGTAAGTTGGAGTTATGAAAATAACATAACTTTAAACAAACTTAAGAAAATACAGGTGCTACACGCAGCAATCATACAGACAAGCAATAAAAATATTCACATCCCTATACAAGTTCGTTATTGAAAGAATATCCGTTTGTATCATTATAAGGTGTTGATTCCCTCAATGAGAAAATCAAAGTCAAATAACAAGGAAACAATATCCTATCTGGAATCAACAGTATCGTTAACTTAAATTGCTGTTGTGATGTTTTTTGAAGATGAACTCGGGGCAGATCTATTCTACTTTCTACCACACCACAAATAAAGTCAGAGAGTAGACATTCAAAAACCCACTAGTTATGTTGACTTTAAACTTGTATTCATTGAAAGTTGTGTCTCGGGATTTTAAGATTGTTAGTTATGTGAAAGTTACCGTGATTAAATTACGATGTCTTTTGATTCTCCTTTGAGAGCTTTTTAAATAACGATCTATGTGGGTTTGGATGACTTGCTTATTTGTACACGAATGTACAAGGAGACACTCAGGGAAACAAAGAAAAACAACATCAAACGGTGAACCCACAATAGATACGTTCGTCGATATATAAATATTTCTTAAAATATAGACCTGTCTTTTAGAAGAAGACGTAATTCCTTAAGATAAATAAAAATCAAGAACTTTGAAAGAAATCCTTTTTTGAAAATTAAATCGTGATTTAAGAAACACATTACCGTATGCTATTTTTGAGGTTATATGTACAGGTACAGATATTTAAACCTCATTGGCATACGTACTTGATAACTTAGAAAGGCACAAACGAGAGAAAATGTTGGTCCGGATTAACTCCCACATCATTCTCGATAATGTAGTTAGTAAAGATTCGGGAACCTAAATACAAAATCAATGTCCCCATTTATAATATTGGCATTCCCATATAGTAAACTGGCTGGCTGATATTTTTAAAAAATTGTTGTATGTTCGGAACTTGAGCGGTTAAGTATTGTTAAATGAAAGTTCAATGAACTGTCACCGCGACCGCGAAAAATAGAAATGGTATTTGAGGGTAAATGCCTGTTCACATTCATTTATAATAGGCACATGTATGTAACTTGGTCCAAGGGCAATAAACTTTGAAACAGAAAATTTACCATTTTTTATTTCAGTATGGCTATTTCAACCTGATAATAAAGAGATTCATCATCGAAAAGTTTGGAGAGGAAAAATGGAACAACATTATGTAAGAGATGTTTGATCCTTATAAAGACAAATAAAATCAAGGGATAACCTAATACTTTTGAAGGAACCATTATTAAAGCATACCTTAAACTTCTAAAGCATTCCATTATGTAATTAATACGTATTGTACAAACTGTGAACAAAATTATTTCAAAACAGAAATGTTTGATCTGCCGATCCTTTCTTGAGGCCAATCTATGTATTCATTTTATAAATTTATCGTACAGGAATACATTGGGTATATCTTTGTTCCAGCAACACAAGTAAATGTGCCAAATCGTATGATGAGTTCGCAGTCTACGATGACGAAGTCACGACAAAGATCATCAAAGCCGCATCGAATGCTGTTGGTAAGTCGGAAAACATGCGTACCTAGAATTCCCCTTCTCTAAATATAGTTTAACAAGCTCTGGCTTTTTAATCTATTCGACTCTTTTGCGACAAAAATGTGATTATCATCCAATTTCAATTTCAATTTTATTTATTATACCATCACCCAAATAAAGGGTATTAGGCAAAAGTACATACAGTAAATAAGTATTTAACAATTAAGTATTTCATAACAAACATATTTACAATTGCTTCCCAGCCTCATTTAGAAACTTACATAATGCTAACAATACTTTACTATCAGATTGTAACAGCTTGGCATATTTAAAAGTACTAATGTTTTTACAAAAATATTGGGGTAAGTATTGTTTTCTAATGCTTTTAACAGACTTACATTCTAATATAAAATGAAATTCATCTCCTAATGAATTGTTATTACATAGTTCACAAAATCTTCTATTTCTTTCTACATTTCTATACCTACCCCTCTCAATAGGTATTTTTGTGTTGGACATTCTGTATTTTGATAAAATGACTCTATATTTTGAGGCAGTGAAAATAAGTAGTCTTCAAACTTGAATTCTGTTTTAAAAATTCTATAATTAAAACCTATATTACTATTACTTACATCATTTTCCCACAATTGCCTGAACTGGTCTTCTAGCCTTAATTTTACCATTTTAACAAATTTTGAAAAATGCGAACTACTAGGATTTAACCAAATGTTTGTCATTCCAAGATTATCTAATGACTTCTTGACATAATTCAGCCAGTCAGACTTCACAAGATTTTTATCAAAATAACTTCTATATATTTTGTACATCTTTGCTGAGAGTGTTTTTTCATTGTTAGAGCTTAATCTATACCAATATTTTAATATACATAAATCAAATTTTACCCTTAATGGCATTCTCCCTAACTCACCATAAACCATAAAGGTTGGTGTTGATGCTATGACTTTAAGGATATACTTTAAAAACTTTAAATGTAATTTTTCTATTTTTGCATTGTTGATAAAGCCCCACACCTCAGCCCCATATAACAAAATGGGGGCAACAAGCGTATCAAAAAGATGTAATTGTGTCTTAATTGGTAACGAATATCTATTACCCTGGCTAAGTATAGCAAAAATGGCCTTTTCTGCCTGGCTATATACATTTTTAATATTTTGATTGAATCCACCCTTTTGATCAATAATAACTCCAAGATATTTAAAAACAGACACATTTTCCAGTTTAATTCCATCCAAAACTACATTTTGAATACCTTTTCTACCTGTTTTACTATTACTAAAAACCATAACCTTGGTTTTATCTAAGTTGATGTGGATTTTCCATTTTTTACAATATCGTGATAATTCAGAAAAGGCCTTTTGCAAATTGGTCATAGAATTAGCAAATATCACAGTATCATCTGCGTATAATAAAACAAGCAACTTTAAAAGTACATTTAGTTGTGCGTCATCCATAAGGGGAATAGGTTCACAACTATTGTTAAGTAAAAAGGCTTCTACATCATTTATAAACAAAGCATAGAGCAAAGGGGAGAGATTTTCTCCCTGACATAGCCATAAAGATGAGCTAAAAAAATCAGACTTTTTAACATTATCATGAGATACACAACTCTTAATATTATTATACATATTCTGGATTACAGTTAAAAACCTTCCTTCGATTCCATAACATTTAATTAGTTTGTGCCATAGGCCAGCTCTCCACACAGAGTCAAACGCAACCGAATAATCTACGAATCCACAATAAAGTTTTTGCTTCTTAGTCAAAAGAATATCAATCAAGCATTTCAAAACAAAGATGTGATCAGTTGTGGAATGAAACTTCCGAAATCCACACTGATTGATATTTAACAATTCCATTGAATTTACGAAGTCAGTCAGTCTTACATTCAACACATGAGTGAATAATTTAGCACAACAGCTTAACAATGTTATACCTCTATAATTTTTGGGATCGTTCAGATTACCCTTTTTCTTGAAAATCGGTTTAATAATTCCTTTCAACCAGTCACTAGGCATAACTCCACAGGTTAACACTTTATTAAACAATTTCACCCATATGTCAATCAATAATGATTTGCTGTACTTAATATACTCATTTAATATATTATCCATACCTGAAGACTTGCCATTCTTTAAGGATTTGATAGCTGAATAAATTTCATCAGCTGTGATGTCACAATTAAGAAGTTTAATATTCAAGTCATAAGCAAAGCCTGTCTCATACTGAGAAGGCATGTCTTCTGGTATCTCATGTGATGCATCAGATGAGTACAAGCTTTCAAAATGATCCCTTAAGAGATCAAGGTTGACTTCATTGAATTCTTTTTTTGACTTTGGATTTAAAATTTTCCAATACCTTTTACTATCATTCTTTTTGAGATTCAATAATTTTTTGTTAAATTGCCTCTTGTACTCTTTCTGTGCTTTGATGCGTTGCTTTTTGTATTGTTTGTTTTTACGTACCATGTCTTGCTTATCTAGTTCACTTTTAGTCCTAAGATACCTATTTTTAGCATTATTATATGATCTCCTTTTTAGATGACATGTTTTATCAAACCATTTATTAACATTTTTACCATTTTTAAAAACGTCTTGTTTACATGTTTTTACTGATAACCCTGATTTATCAGCAGCAGACAAAATACATTCATTTAGCTTTACATTTAAATCTTCAACAGATGTTGATGGATCATCTAACAATACATTTAGTTGCTTTATAACTTCAGTATCTAAATTTGTTTGAAAATCATCAGCCTTATCGTTAGACCATATATATTTAAAATGATTGTCATTTGCCACAAATGAGATATTCTGATCATCACAGATTAAAGTTTGATTCTTACATGCCATAGACAAGTTAATGAAGCAATGAACGTCAGAATAATCTTGGTTAAATTGTTCTATCTCAACATTTTTCAGATCTGGTGTGCATATTAGACCTGTTGATAATATAATATAGTCTGTTACAGAACCCTTTCCTTTAAAACATGTAATATTTTCACTATTCTTTCCAAATCTCCCATTAGCAATAAATAAATTATTTGCTTTACACATTTGTATCAGTCTATTCCCAAAATTATTTACCCTGTGTGAGTCATGTGAAACTCGTTTCACTTTAACATTGTAATTCTCAAGCTGATCTATTGCATTAAAAAATTCTACCATTTTGTCATCAATGCAATGCGTCATATACTTGTCAATTTTAGCATAATCTTCCATTGAACCTGTATGTGAATTGAAATCCCCCAAGAGGCAGAGTTCTTCATTTTCATTTTGCAAACTAAGCATCTCTGATTCAATTTTATCAAAACAGTTATAGTCAGAGTACAGTGATCCTTCAGGTGGGATATATACACCTCCTAATAGCATTGGATGACCACATAATTGACTATCAATCCTCAACCATAGGACACAATCACATTTGTTTTCAATATATTTGATATGTTTCTTAAATTGTTGTTTTACAGCTACAAGAATCCCTCCAGATTTTTTAACAGACATCTTCTTTCTAATTTTGAAAAATGTTATATATCCAAGTTCTTTTAAATCCCTTGAAATATTTATCTCATCAACTTTATCCAGTTTTGTTTCAGTTAAGGTAAGGATATCATACTCTGAAATTTTGACTCTGAAGTCTGGATTGGATAATTTCGATTTTAATCCACAAACATTTATATGGCCAAACTTTCTAAGAGGGAGAGACTGGGAGGATTCCTATCTCATTGTGTGAGTCCCTCTACCACCTCTAGCTCCACCTCTGGCAGTAGATGCACCACCTCTAGCTCCACCTCTTGCAATAGGGGCATTTGCGCCACCCCTTCCACTTCTTCCTCTAATCACTGTGTCAGCATCCTCATTGATGTCATCATCATCCCAGTTGTTTCTGCTCCAGTCATCTCTGTTCCAAGTATGTCTTCGTTCTCGACCTGCAGGTGTCAGACGACCACTACCTGTGAATGTGTATTGGTTACCATTGGGTATGTTTGAGAGGATTTCACGGCAATTTATTTCAATGAGCCTTTCTGCATGTGACTTAGCACCATGAATGTATATATTCTTAAATTTCTCAGTCTGTCTTAGCTTCATTTTACTCTGGAGTATAGCGATTTTATCATCCCTTGTGGCTACCTGAACTTTGACAACACCTGGACGACCATTCCTTGATTTGGTTCTCTCTACATCTGTTATAATTTTGTGGTCCATTTTTAGACCTTCCTGCAGCAATACAGAGATTTTGCCCCTCAGATTCTCATTTTCAGAGGCTGGTACATTAGTTACTATGATAGAATTCTGAGGATCAAACCTCTGTGATGTCGCAGGGACTGCTCTAACCTCCGTTTGTTGTTTTTCAACTGTTTCAATCCTCTTGTGGTTATGTCCCCAAGCTTCTTATTCATATCTAGGTCGAACCGCTGTATACCGTGTTTTATGGCATTAATTTCAGAATCAACCTTGGCAGTGATCATCGCAAATGTAGCTTCAATGGATTTTCTTGCAGATTCAATTTCTCCCTTGATCACTTCACGGATATCTGCCAGATTTAACTGATTTTCATTTTTCCCAGTGTTAGTGATTTCTGTTTCACCATTCACTTGCTTAGAGTTTTCAGTATCACTACAAGGCTCACTTTCGTTATCAGTTTCCATTGTGTCTTTAGAAATGTTTGACTCACTGTCGTCTTTGTTTGTTTTATTCTTGTTTTTCTTTTTCATCTGTTTCTTTTTCTGAGTCTTACGATTTTGGCTTTTTGGGGATGTCATTCTGACTGTTCTTTCCTATTTTAATCAATTAGAGTCATAACATGTTGTGCTTGTAACGTATAGTACAACATACATAGATAATCCGCAAGGTATAGAAGCAGCAATAATTATTATGTTTCATTCATTCCAAGGGGTCTTGCCATTTGTTTATAGCAACTGATGACTTTGTTTTATAGCAACAGCACAGTGATAATAGCAATGGCACTTTGTTTATAGCAACAAAGGAATCTTCTGAACCATTTGTTTTTAGCAACCAGCAGCTCTATTTTGTAGCAACTGAACTTCCCTATAGCGACAGGAGTATGTTTGTAGCAACTGGAGGTTGTTGTTCTTAGCTACGTTCAGTGTTTTATGGCAACGAGGGTGCAAAGTTCAAAGTTTTAGGAGAGTTTTGCTGGGGGTGAAAAGTTCACTCCTTACTGGAAGTGGAAGACTCAACCACAAAATCCAACATATCCAATCAATTGTGCTTGAGCACTGATTATTTATTGTTTCAGCTTGTCCTTCAATACTTTATCAGAAGAATTGAATCCATATCTGCCTCACAGTCCACAATCAAAATTTTAGGAAAAGCTAGACCTACGCTGCGGCCCACACTCAACACTGGAGTCCTAGTCTGTAGGCCCAGATAAAAAACAAATAAAAATTAATCTGCTATTACGAGATGAACCTTACAAAACGTATAGGTCTTGTTATAAGTTATAACCGTCTATATTGTAGACATCAAGCGCGACGCCCTGTTGGAAATGGTAGGGGAGTACTATCTCGACCACATAATGAATACCGGACACGAGAAGATGCTGCGACGTCTTGGTGGCAACTTATTGGCGTTCTTGGAAAATCTAGATTCTCTCCATACTTACAAATTGTCGGATTATCCTGAGATGAACGCGCCATCCTTCAGATGTCAGGATGATTCGAAAGAAGATAGAATAACACTACATTATTATTCGTTCAGGCGAGGTCTACATCCTCTTTGTCAGGGTATGTAGATTCAAGAAAGGTTTTTGATACTGTCATATAATTTGTTCATTTTAAGGTATAGCTGGAAAATAACAATTTTGGAAAAAATTGCTAATCCTGCACATGTTATTTTCTTGTACAAAATATAAGTATGAAGGCATGTGTGTATTTCCTTCCTTTTTTCAGGAAAGTATAATTACATTGTCTACATTTAGTAAACCTGGAAACAGGTCAATTGTAGCTCCTGTGTCGTCTGGAAACTTCAAAAGAAAACTTGGAAAATAGAAAGCGTTAAATATCAGAATTTCCTGGAGTTCCCATTGAAATCTTACCAGATTTACTAAAAGAAAACAATGTAATGATACTTTCCTGAAAAAAGCAAGAAATTAACACATGCCTTCATACTTTATTTTGTACCAGAAAATAACATGTGCATGTATAGCAATTTTTTCCCAAAATGTTATTTTCCAGATGAACCTTAACCATTAAACACTTCAGAACCAGAATCATATTATAAGGAGCATGATAAAAATTGCTGTCCAGTATATTCTCATACTAATATTTTCCAGGGATTATAAAATCCGTGGCAAAGATGTTTTACAAACAAGAAATAAAACTCGAGGTATTGTCCAATACACTGGAAAACGTTGGCACGTCTAAAGGTGCAAGGGAGCATATCGTATTTGATATCAAGGTGATGAGCAATAAACCAAGACCTGAAATGCCACCACCAACGTACGTTGCACAGACACAAAAGCATGGAGAGAAAAACATAAGCCCACAGGTAAGAGAACTGAATGTGGAAAGTTTCTGAGATGTACAATCAGTTTATTTCTGACATACACAGCTCTACAAGTTTGTTAATCGAGAATTCCAGTTGTTTGAATCTCGACTTATGAAAGAGGTCGAACATTTTTGATAAAGTTCAAATTGGTAAATATAAAGAGGTTTTAACACTTGGATATTTGATTTTACTTTTGGGGCTAAAAACACATACAATATATTAAAATACCAGTTATTGGTAAGCAACAAACACAATAATTTTACATCATCATTCTACGCTTTTTAAATGCTAAACCGATACCCGCATTTTTAATATTTTCTGTGTAATATTTTGAACATTCCAATGATCTCAATAAACGCTTCAACGTTTCAGGACATCGATACAGCTGCCGCCCATGCCAAAGAGCAGCCGATTCAAATCAGCAAAGGCGGGGTTCTTGCCGCAAAGTGGCGGGCGTCTGGTCAAATTGCAGCAATATACGGCGGATTTACTCCAACGTATCCTGAGAAAATGGCGATTGACGCAAAGACATTTTGTAATGTATTCCCGTATCACGTGATATTTGACGAGAGTTTGCACATCCGGGGGAGTGGGATTAGCATGCAGCAATTAATGCCCGAAATAAGAGACACTGGAGCAAGTATATCAACGTTCTTTAAACAAATATATCCTCATCATATGGACTTCACTTTTGAGAATATCAAGAAATATATAAATACTCCCTTCCATATGGAGACAAAGCACGCAAAAATGAACGACAAGTGGGGAAACAAACCTATGGTTATTTTGAGAGGTAAGAACATTTTACCATAGTATTGCAATTTATATACCCTTTCAGAGATATAAGGGAACATGGGGCAAAACGGCCCTATGGGGCAAAGTGGCCCATCGAAATATCTTTTGAATTATAAAAAGATGGTTCTTCAAAAGACACATAATCGAATTTTGAAATTATAGAGTAAAACGAAATTGTTTAGAATCAGTGGAATCGCCTTATCGAATCAAATATAACGATGGGAGAATTGCAGTTTTTTCAAGACAGTCTCTCGGTCCCTGTATGTCTTCTTATCAATAAATATTTTTCAATTCAGGTCAGATGGTTCATTTAGCTCAAGATGGCTACGTCGTTTATCTTGCGTCACCTTATGTCAGATGTTTACAAGATCTCGAAGACAGAAAAATGCATATCTCTGAGATAGCTATACATGACGTAACTCGAGATTTGTTGATGTGGGAAGATGAACTAAGGTATAATAGAAACTAGCGGCAGAAAATGTGTGCATAGAACTAGAGTGTGATTAAGTGTGCTATCAATGAGTATGCTTCACGGACTCCATTTTTGGATCAGTGATCATGTGACCATGTTTTATTGATTTATTTGGCTAGATAGCCAATGGATACATCACATGACCAAAATTTGTACGTTCATTGGCCAGGAAAAGTAACATGATACTTGGTCTATTGGTCGCATGCAAACTATTGATTAAACACTAAGTTCATGATATATTATTATATTATATTGTAAAAGTGTTGTGTGGTCAAAAGACTTGAAGAGTGTCGCACAGTGTGTACCTTTTCCGTTTGGATTTTAACTTTTCTGTTTGGTGTGAAACGGTTAAATATTTACAATTATATTATGAATTGCACTCTGTTAGTTGATGATTAAACTTTGCTGTATTATAGATAATTCAAATGTACGGTATACTTACATTTTCTTTTCTGATATATTTTCTATTATCTCCCTACATTTTCTTACAGTTTTCAAACACCGACACCACCCTGTCTCTTCTATTGCGTGTGCTTTTGAATTCACTTTAGTTTCGTTTCTTAAATAGTTTGCATTTTGTGTGGACACTGTGTGCTAACAATTTCAGATGTATTAACCCCACGTTACGCTTTATGAGTAGGAGGGAACAATCTCAAGTTTCTGTCCCTGAAAGGTAAGTGAAGTGGACGTCGTATGATATATTCATTCGACAACATAAAATAGAATTCATAAAAGCATTAATTTATAGAATGTAACCAGGTCCAAACTAAAATAATATCAATTAAGCAGTTATTTTTTCCTTTTCTGGAGCATTTGTATAACCAGGGTTCTCATGACGTCTTATTGTCATTCTTTATTCGATGGAAACGTTCAGATAAAATCTTGGCAACACAGAGTCTCGTAAAGGGGAATATTAACACTTGTTAATGGGAGAAAATGGTAAATCTCGTTTCTGGACAGGACAAAATTAAACTAGACTGAACTGATCTGGAATGTCCTACCTTTAATTAGACCTCCTTGTAATGACAAATTATATTCCTATAGAACAAAGTGAATTATTTACAGGCGAAAGAGTGGTGGGTCCGCAAGGGGAAATCGTGGAGTAAGGAGAGATCGGGGTGGTCAAGAGGGACAAGGTGTAGGTGGTGAGGCCGACGTCTTAGTTGACGGTGATGGCATCGACCAAGCTGCTTATGACGAACTACTTATAAAATACAGGTTAGTTGACATTTTCTCTGTAAGCTTTAAATTATATTCAAGAGTCAAGCTTTTATTTTATTTCCGAACAAATAAATGAAACAATGAAAATTTTATAAATGATAAGAAGTTGTTTGATAAATTAGACTGAGGAATATGCAACCTTTATGTAACGTCATTCATAGATCAGAGATAAAGAAAGTATACAATACAACACTGTTTAATTAAATGAAATGATGCTATTGTCAGCTCATGTGTTTATAGGCGTTGTATAAAAAAAACTCCTACCTCATACCCACCTACCCACGTACGTGGGACATGATTCAGTCTTTGAAGGGTTCAATTTTAAAGATCTTAGTTTATTACCCTACTATCACACCACTACGTTCTCGAAAACGGGCTTCAACGGTGTACGAACGGACTGGACGTACTTAGAACCGGTTGGGGTCTATTTACAAACTTCATAGAACGTACTCGAACGGGTAGGTCCTCTAGATTGACACCAAGCAAGTTGCCACTGCGTTCTTCAAAACTGGTTTTAAACTGTGTGCGAACGGAATGAACGTAGCTACAATGTTCTACGGTCTGTTTACAAACTTCATGGACTTTCCCGGACGGGGAATGTGATTTAGAATTTTAAATCGATTCAAAATTCGATGGCGACCATACCTTTCTGTAATCAGGTCATGATGACCTTTTAGACTAATCGACGCATTATACGACGTTGCACACCGACGTGATGCGACCTGAACGAACTGCGAATGAGATGAACGTATTGAAGACTGTTTATGAACGAAGTAGCTAATTATTTTAGACATATTTCCCGACCACAGCCAGATTGAGCCCGTTTTACGACGTTTTCGTAGGACTGGCAAGAACGGGTAAGAACTAGTTTGGTGTAATAGGGGGGTTAAATCTTAGTTTATGATGAATTATAGATGCATTTGTAAGGACCCTTGATAGCAAGTTGCTACTACATCCCAGCTGGGTTCGATTCCCACTCGGGGCATCGAATTTGGCACACTTTCTTTCAATTTCTTTCAATCTGGCTTGTTAGACCTATGCTCGCAGTCATTAGTTATTTATTCCCCTGGGGCGCCCTCGGGTCATTACACATTAAAATGCATCCATATGCCATTTATGGATCTGTCATCTGTCTAGTCATAAAATAAAGCCGGAATTGAAGAAATGTTAATCATTTGAGCTATTTTGAGATTTAATCATCTTTAAAATTGAACCCTTCAACGACTGTATCATGTTCCACGTAGGTGGGTAGGTGGGTATGAGGTAGGAGGTTTTTGTAAAAAGCCGTGCTTATAACAGGATGTGTAAAACGATTCAGAGCTCAGTGTCCCGATTAGATGTTCTAATAGTCAGTATCAAGGTCTGTAAACTATATTCAGAATCACCATAAACATGTCGAGAAGCTGATTATATCGCATTTCAATTGACTATCGTCTGTTTTAATTATATAAACTGATTTATATGTTCTAGAAAATGCCAAGGTGATTATGAGCGAGAACGAGAAAATGCGTTAAGAATGAAATACGCCCTGTTGCCAAAGTCCGTAGCTGACACGATGATTAAATCTGAGAGAGCCCCAGAACCAGGTAAAGAAGAAGCAAACATATTTTTATTCCCTCAATTGAAATATTGAATGCATGCTGAATAACCAAAGTACGGTAAATAATTTGACTTTCGATAGCTCAATTTATTGTCAGTTTATAGTGTTTTGGGGTTGACATGACACCACGGTGTCAAAACATTAATCTGAGGGAGAGGTTGACGGAATACAAGGAATATGTTAAATCAGTGTTTGAGTTGACAAAAGTTTCACATAGGGCGGGCCTTATACGACAAATTGCACTTGAAGGTCCCCGTGCCTGACATTATTTTTAGTCATTGAGTAAAAACTTCTTGTTTTAGGTGAGTTCAAGAGTTGTACTATTCTTTTCTGTGATGTGGTGATGTTTTCGAAGATCTCAAAGCAATGCAAGCCGAAGAAGATCATGGATCTGCTCACTGACCTACACGTCCGATACGACAAAATTTGTGACATCCACAACGTCATAAGGGTACGTGGTCGTTCAATAAGTTAATATGTTTTATCGCATTCGAGAGACTAGATGTTTCAAGTTTGAAGGTGCTCATCTCGATTTGTCTTCAGTATAATCTTAAACAAATGTGAGTAATTTGAACCTTAGCTTGTTGTGATCATACTGTTTCTTGATGACACAAAATGTCGCTGCTTCGTTATACAGGCCCAACAAATTGGTGAATGGTACGAAAATTGTGATGAGTATATTTTGATAATTCTAGGTGGAAACAATAGGAGATGCTTATATGTGTATATCCGGTGCACCAGATGATTGTAAAACGCACGCAGAACGCATCGCTAATGCAGCGCTTGGAATAAACCTGACGTCGCAAGAGGTTAAATCGCCAATAACATACGATGACGATGACGATGGTTTTATAAAGGTATAGTTTTCTGGACAATAGCAGAAGAACAAAATAACAACATATTTATTACTTTGCATTGTTTTACGTGTATTACGCATATATAGCGCCATATTTTATTACGCATATTCGAATTCTGTAATTTTTACAATGTTAGCTTATTTTGCTATGTGCTGACATCCTATAGAGGGTAGTAAGGTAGAGTCCAGTTAGTTATATGTGACCTCTAATCACATCTAGTCATTTTGTCACCACAGTGACAGTTGTTACATTTTGCAATGGAGTTTTCTGTAACCAATGTGCAGGTATGAAATTTTATCACGTTATCAATTCCTTGTTATGTTCAGGTTCGAATTGGTGTCCATACGGGTACTGCTTTAGCCGGGGTAGTTGGAAGCAGAATCCCCCGGTACACAATCATGGGGAACACTGCAAACATGGCGTCTAAAATGGAAAGCCACGGTTTACCAAACAGAATACAGATCAGTCACGACGTAAATAAGTGAGTATCAATAAACCAGGCCGCTGACACATTGAAGATATAATCATATTTATGTACACACTTTATACGTTACGTTTTGTGACAGAAGCGACCACTCGGCTACGCAAGTACTTCAACTAGACTGCTCTGAGAAAACATATGACATATATGGAATGTGCCATTGAAAATATCAAGATGACACAATATACATACTTGGCTTATGTTTTAAATGTTGAAGTGAACTTGTTTGAAATTTATATTATTTGTTTAAAAAACTATAGGTACATTTCAACGAGGATTCTTTGGCGATATTCTTTTGACGGGTATTTACCGATTTGGTTAAAATATTACCAATCTGTAATATTCATGATCATCTCTAGATGAATCATTTATATTCAAATGAGTTAACCATAATTGTACTGATACAATCAGTCTATGCCAGTCTAAAGAATCCACTGTGTGCCAATTCTTGTGTATCGCAAAGCAATCTACATAATGGCAACCTAACAAAGTGGAGTTCAGATGTAAATAATGAACATTTCATCTCTGAAAGTAGTGTAATTTGAATATGAGGATCATTTCGACGTTATGTCATATCTTAATCATATTAATACTGCAACTACAATTAAGGTAAATTGATATCAATTTTACATTTTAGGCTATTAAAGAGGAAGGGGTTCATCATCATAGACCGAGGCGAAATAGAGGTTAGAGGAGGGGGCAAAGTTTACACTTATTTTCTAGAGGGTAACAAGAGGAAGACTGAAGAAGAATTGCTTGGTAAGTAATAATGTAAAAAGGGCATACAACCAATGAAATCAGTTTAATCTCGCTTAAAAAGACAAGTGACAGTTTTTGATAGTTCCACCATTCAAAAATATACAAATGTACATGTACTCTTCGTTTTGTTATTGTGCATTCATTTGGTACTGTAAAACAATTTATTAATTTGTGTTGCTGCCTACAGTACTGATCTAACCTTATTTACAAATCCTACTCCATCAATGTTCAATATATATTTGCACCTGGATTGTCATATGTCGTACACTATTTAACCCAAGACTTATACATATGAAGACACACATTCACACAAGAAGTTGTGAAAACAAAAAAAATATTTGACCAAGGATAGCCTATTTGGGATGACTGTCATGCACTTTGTTATGATATAAAAATCAATATAGTATACCTTCGATCGCTTTTATCTTCCAAAATTCACACCCATACAAATTTACATTGGTTCTTCAGGGCGTAGTAGAAACATCGAGGGAATAAAGTTAGAGGACAAAGATAGAAGTCCCTCACCGGTTCCGTCGAACGATTCCGGTGGGCAACGAAGGAGGTCGGTGACTCCGAGGAACAAGGTTCACCCGAGAACAGACGATTACTACAATGATGGAGAGTGTAAGCAAAATGTTATAATTATTCTGTGGCGTCATTGCGTCCAACGATTTAAGGGTCTATACAATTTACAAGGTACTTACTACTTTCCCATAATTTCTGTCCATGGCGAAGTGGAGAATTTGCACATTTGTGTGTGTGAGCCTGGATTCTTAGTATTTCTTACTGGAAAGTCGAAAGACATCTTGATCTACAGATGGTCGGATCAGATGATCGTTTTTATTTTGACCTTTAATTAATCTTCTTTATAGCCCACAGATTGTCAACTTCTGGCCAAATGAGATATTCGGATTCCCCTGCTGCTCCCAGAGTCAACGTCACTTCAACGCGAGATAATGCGAGATCTGGGAGATCACCGAGACCAAGGGCTCGACAAGATTCAGACAGAAATTATGATGATAACCAGGATGTGATAATCGTCGATCGACGTAGAGATGATCGGCGCGTCAGACCAAATTCCGACTCAACAGATCGACATTACGGAAACGGCCGAGGGAACATGAGACCGGTTCAAGAGGAGCATCGAACGGTCGTTAGAGTCAACGAGAACGACGACGGCTGGGCACATCCCTCCGACAAACGACGTAATTCTCCACCGGAACGACACACCAGAGTGATACATGAATACGAAGATTCGTATCCCCAACGAGGTACAGTATAGCTGGCTTTAATTATTTTACCCACAGGTTTTCAAGTTTTTCAATATGAGATTTTCTGAGATGAGATATACTCAAATTGTACATTTGAATAGTAATATGACGTGTCTTTTTACAGGTGGGCGTTATGATGATCGGGATTACGACGATTATCCCAGTGGGCGTGGTCGACCCCAATATCATAACCATGGTTACAATGATGACTATGATGACAGATCACGTGATAGAGATCGCGATCGTTACTATGACGATAGACGGAAGTAAAACTGAGAGGAATGAAATAACAATGACAATTTTTACATATCTTTATACACATCCGTCCAAAGTGTTGGCACATATCAACAAATTACAATTTGTACAGATCTTTAGTTTTATTCAAATTCTTAGTGTAGGCACAGAATTTGTACAGATCTTTAATCTTTTTCATATCCGTCCAAAGTGTATGAACAGAATATAGATATCTGTTATTTTGTTCAAATCCGTCCATAGATTAGATTTACACAAGTTAAAGATTTGGGTAGGATTTACAAATATTTTAATTAAATCTAGTTGTAAATATATAAATAGATAGAACTAATTTGCACTCTTAGTAAATTAACTACATTAATTTATTTGCAATATTTATGTACGTATAAGTCTGGAGTGAATTGAGAATACAGTCTAAATATGACAGAAAGGAGACGCCCCATAAGTGTCAACAGAGTACCTGATTTGATCATGCACACGGTAACCCATTTAATAGTCTGAAACCCCTCGGCCAGCAGTATTGCATACAACTCTCTTAGTGTCTCAATTGATTGAAACAGTTTCATTTTTGTAGTAGGCATTTACGAATTGCTGGGCGGTTGGAATCGGAGGTCGGTGTTACGCTAGGCCCTGATCATTTACAACAAGCGTACTATTCAAATTAAAAATCAATTAAATAGACTTGGAAATGTTTTCTTTTATTCTTACTCAAACATGTCATGAGGGATTGTTTGGTTCAAAAACTATTTCATATTTATTTGATTTTAGTTGTGCAAAATACGACGCTTGCATTGTCAGAAGAGCTGGTGGCGCAGATTTGCGACAAGTAACCCTATGAGTAAAAGTATATTGATATAGACATAACTGTAATATTTATTAATACACTACTTAGCTATTATACAGATATAGTATAATAAAGATTAATAACTTATTTCACTGTTTAGGAAACCTTTTTTGTCATTTTTAAATCGATTGATGCGTGTAATAATTGGTCTGTCCCCTCAGTTTTATGCGATTACGCGCCCGCAGCATAATTCCGCATATTTTACCTTGGCCCGCATAATCCACACACAAGCGCATAAAGTTGCATAAAAGACAAAAATCCCCACTTACTTGCAATAAATGCCAACTCGGCCATTGATTTATAGATTAACCTGGAATGAATATGTGTTACTGGAACAGTTCCTTATCAAAATAATGACAAAAATAAAATAAATCATAGTTCTACGTTCAAAACTTTTTAGCGGAAGCTCAGCGATGGGGATGTATTTTGCTGACAACGATCCGGATCCGGCAGTTTATCTCACTGCACCTATGCCGTGAAAGTATTATTAAGCACGGAAGCCATCATTTCATCCAATTTCTTGTGATAAATCGATCGCACATTTTTGCATAATTCAACAAATGAAAATTTTAAAAATTCGATCGCATAATTTGAGATTTTTTTCCATGAAACTGAGGGGACAGATTGGTGTCAGGCGCATGCGCAGTACTAGTACTAGTGGAATTAATTCAGATACTTAGATCCATTAATAGAGTAAGTATAGATACAAACCGTCAGCCCCTGCAACTATTCACCATATGGTCGTTCCCATTCTCCTCAATTATATCTCTGTACGACTGACTAAGTAGCCAGAGTATCTCAAAATAGTAAAAGGAAGATGACACTGAGTAGATCCATTTATATTAGTGTTCATTGTCACAGACTTTATTACAATTTTTTGTTATAGACGTTTCGAATGCAAACTGCATCCATGATCACTAAATTTAAATTGAAAACAGTTGAAATCATATAAGGATTCACGTGTTGAATTATTGTTGTTCAAAAAATTGTAATAAAGTCTGTGACAATGAACACTAGTAAATGGATTTGATATAACCAGACTATAAACTTATTTAATGTGACACTGAATAGAGTTGTCAGGGCGTTCTATGGTAGTCTTGATTTTTTTGCCCTGTTGCTTTATTCTTCCTGAAGCTTTCATATCATAATGAGCATATATCTGGATCAAATTATTCTCTCAAACTGTCCTGACAGTAAGCTTAGAATCGATAAAGTTAACTTTGCAATGGTTAGGCTCCATAATAATCATAGAGCCACGGGTCATATAGGGGTTCACGTGTTGAATTGTTGTTGTTCATTAAAAATTATTTTTTGTTTTGTATTCAAACATACTACATATATGTGTGTCTCGGCAATTCAGCTTAGAACATTGTATTTCAACTTGTGTTAATTATTTATCGGTCTAATATGCAGGAAATGATTTTACAGCGTATTTTAATTTTTTCATAAAAAACTTACTGGGCAGTCGTGTACAAAATAGCCCCACCAACGGGTCATCCTGTAGATTTTCCATCCTCAGTGCCCAACACAAATCAGTTGAAGAGACACGATTTTCAGGACAAATATTCCAATAACACATTTACCCAAATGCCGAAAAACTAATCAGTTTTAGATTTAGAGTTTTAGAAACAAAGAAATTGATCCGTAAAACGATTTGCCTGAAAACGCGTAGACAAGACTTTGAAGACAAGCTTTTAAGATGGAAAATCCAAAATAGCCACCTTAACATTTACCCAGAATGCCCCAAACTAATCAGTTTGAGATTATTATACAGGGAATCATCCCTGAAAGTTTGAAATCGATACGTCAAATGGTTCACCTGATGAAAACGGTGCAGACAAGATTTTTGGACGGAAAATCCAAAATGGCCACCTTAACATTAACCCAGAACGTAATGTTGAAGAAAGTTATCTGATTAATAAGCAAATGAAAAGTGAAAATTTCAAAAGTCAAATGCATTCTAAAGTGTGAGGCTATAATATTCCCTTGTACTCTTACCTTACCTTCTTCTAAGGCCACTGTATCAAGTATTGGCTAGAGATGTTACACGGTAAACACGATACAAAAATATGTCATATTCCGCAACAAATATGGCATATTCACTTGCGGTGTATGACAGATTCACCTGCGGTATATGGCATACACACTAACCAATGAGAACGTGAAACGGAAGTACGCATTTGTCAATTGCATCGATTGAACGAACAAGTAAAACGTTATAAATTATTGTAAAGATTACTGAATCAACAGTACTGTGTATCGAATATATTAACTTAGCAGAAGTAGCAGTGAACCAATCTCGCGTAATAAACTTACTCAATCAATCCAGGATTCATATATTAGTACTCGACGCACTAACTATTGGTAATCCAGCGTAGTTTTGCATTTAGAGTCGATTCTCGCAACCAATCAAATCAAGGCTTTCTGTATCACGTTTTCACCTGCGGTATATGTCATATTCACCTGCGGTATATGGCATATTCCGCAAGTGAGTATGACATATTCCGCAGGTGAGTATCGGGTATTCACTGAAATCAATGTATCGCATATTCACTGCGGAATATCGCATACTCACCTGCAGAATATGTCATATACCGCAGGTGAGTATGGCATATTCACCCATATCACAAATACCGCGCAACCATGAATGTATGCCATATACCGCGTAACAAGAGATTCGAGTAACTCTTACCCACCTTCTTGCAATCGCGATATAAAATACCTGAGTTATGATTAAGAAAAAACACTTAAGATCCGCAACTCCGTTACCTTGTATATCACCCACGATTTCGAATTATTTAAACTTGGCCAATTGTCTTGGTAGGTAATTACCATTTGGTTATTCGATACGTCTCTTTAATTCAGGTTTGATCAATCAGGAATCCTTCAACAATGAGTAGTAACTAAATCAAGAATCCTATTAGTATAGTCTCAAGAACTCTTCGAAAACATTAGATAAAAGTTAAGATTCTATTAAACTGTGATGGTTTCTTGATACTATAGTTGTAAATATCAATGTGGTTAAAGAACGGTTAGTGTTACATGGTGTCCCTGGCATATGCATGGTTTTGATCTCAACCAATCTTTGCACATTTGTTGCTTATGAATTTATGCGTTATTCTCCATCTTTTTTGTGGACAGTGTTCGGCCGTTGAAGTTCGGAGTTCGGGGGTTGGCGTTCGGGGCAAACGAGGCAATAGCCTCACCAATATTAACCTCGTCAAATTATCAAGATCACCTCCCCCCCCACCCTAATGTAATACAATCAAATAATGCCATATTCAGAACTCCGATCATACAAGGTTTCTGTATTTGAATTGTCTTACTTCATTTCACAAGATGTGGGACTCATATTAGACAATATACATTTATTCAAATTCGAGATAATTACGTTTGCTATATCGTCTATATATTATAGCCCTAATGGTACTAATTTCGATCGGTTGACCATTTCGCAAGGCTACAATGCTACATTAGTTTACCCGTTTTCAAGAGTTCATTGCAGTTTGATAATTTTCAAGCGGTACGGAAAATTTCGACTCGATACCTACTTCCTGTCGGCCATTTTGAAGTCAAATGCTAAAATCTTTGTCTGTAAGCGTGTCTGTAAAATGGCGTCACAGTTAGTTTTAAAACGTTAATGTCTTCTTTAGCTCAGTTCATTCTACATCTGATTAGGGTTTGGACACGTTGGCTCAGTCATGATCATTGCAGGCATTTTGAATGTTTTAAGAAAAGTTAACGAGCGATAATCCTTTGCATCATATTAACAAGGTGTTTAAAGTGAGTTGTCATAATTAAACTATTTAGTAGCGTCATGAATAATTTCGGATGTTCTGTATTGTAAAAACCCACAGTCACTCTTCACAGTAGTTGCATGCGATAATTTTTTAACAGATCGACAAAATCGTGACTTCGCTTTTTTACTGTCGGTAATTTCGGTGTTTCCGTCGAAAAATGTAAAAAAGTCTTGTCTATGAGTTTTCAGGCAAATCGTTTTACGGATCAATTTCACATTTTCAGAGATGATTCCTAATGCATGATAATCTGAAATTGATAAGGTTTCCACCGTTCTAGGTAAGTTTTTTTAGGTGGCCATTTTGGATTTTCTGTCCTAAAATCTCGTCTGTAAAATCTTGTCTACGCGTTCCCAGGCGAACCATTTGACAGATCAATTTCAAATTTTTAGGGATGATTCTTTGTAGATATATCTACAACATTTTTGTTCTACGGATCATCTTTAAATTTTCAGGGAATCCGGAACTTGTTAGGTTTTGAGCATTCTTGGTAAATGTTTAGGCAGCCATTTTGGATTTTTCTTTTCTAAAATCTTGTCTGTAATGTCTTGTCTACCAGTTTTCAGGCAAACCATGTCACGGATCGATTTTGAATTTTCAATGATCATTTGTGAATCTACGCCCGACGTACGGTAGCTGTAGAGAAAATGTGACTGTGACTTAAACGAACATATAGCATAGACTATAACGGTAGTAGAGTTAATGAGTACAAGTGTACAACTACACGTAATGGCCGTGGATAACTGAATATGATCCTGCCAGCCGAGTCACGTGGTAAAGTAGCCTGTTACACCACGCTCTCAAGGAGGATTGGCTCCCAGGATCGAAACTCGATATTTTCCAACAATGAAAACGTCGAAATGTCGTTATTTTCTGAAATTAAAACCGACTATAAATTCAAAATAAACAGTTCAAAAGATTCGAACCAATATCTCGATCATTTCTTGTGAGTTTTGGAATTTTTCGTTTGGAAATAAGACCAAAATTCACGATTTAAATGTTGAAGTGAACAAAATGGCGGCTGTTTGAATTCGAATTTTGTATTACGACATACCCATATATGGGACAGAATATCGGTGGTGCACTCTGGGAGCCAATCCTCCTTGCCACGCTCTGGATCTGTCAGTTTACCTCGTACTTTATTGCAATTAAATGCAGATCATAATTGTTCAGTCTTTTGTAGAATGAATGTGTATATCAGAATTTTCGGCGGACAGGCCAGTGCCACTTTGTAGGCATATTTTAAACCCTGGTAAAGTGAGGCATTAAATATAGTTTTAAAATCTTGACATTTCAGGTGTCAGGCAAAACAAAATTGAAATGCCAAGTGTCTTTCTCGATTATTCCAAATATTACTTTTTTGACTCCGTTTTTCTTCAGGTTTCCAATTAATAATACATCCAGAAAATTCGATTCGGGAGACACACTGATTCGGGAGACAAACTGATGTTTTATTCAATTAAGATCAATAAAGATATAATCAAAAAATTAATGTGAAATTAAAAGAACATGGATACCTCAATAAACAATATGAAGTCAGAAAGTTAACTAGAGCAGGATGTTAATATACGATCCTAATACGCATATCAACCAAGCTTTCCCCGTTTAGAGCAGCCAGCACAACACTGGTCCATACAAAGAATTTATAAGTACAAAACAGTGAAATAATCCCAACAAAATAATCTAGAAATATAGAGTAAGCGGTTTCCTAAAGCAGTTTTAAGAATATCGACAACTTAATTATGATGAAATTCTTGGTTTCTGAACAAAGTATACCCTTATTATGGTCTAACTCATTACAATTAATACAACAAGGTGTCCATTCATCGATTCACAAATTAAATGAAAGGTAATTCTGTCGATAAATTGGCGCAATTGGTAGTACGTCATTTTTACGAACGCATTTACGGCGATCGCCTAAGTGGCCACGTCAGTTCTTCGTCATTTCGTCTTTAAGTTACTGTGAAATTCACGATCAATAGAAGGCGTATTCTTAATAGAATTGCAATAGGTAACTAGGGTTATTTCTTCTAATCACATCTGAAAAGCGGAATAAAGATTTATAAGGAATCTGGTTAAGGATCCTGTGGGTGTTTTGTACGTGCTGTGGTGCATGATGCGCGTGAATGGCAATATAGGTTCCTGTACTTTTGTCCAAATTTTAATATTTTTCAATTTAAAACTTATCAACGTTTTGAAATGACTTGTCCAGGACAGAATGTGCCAGCGAAGAATATGATTCATCTGGTTTTCGGTTTTGTAAATATACGTACGGACTCAATATTCTTTTCCGGTAAATGAAGACACATCGTGTACATGCTTGGATAGACTTGTTAATTAGGTTAAATACTCAGTGCAGTTAATACAAGAAATCCTTATAAATATAGTATGATCATGTTTATAAGTTTATCTACATATATCCGCCCAGAAAAAATGCACTCAAAATTTTCAGGGCCCCAATACTGGGCCTTTTAGGACCTAATTTTTAATTTAACCCAAATAATCAAGAAAATGGGCCTTAAATTTTCAAAATGTGTGCCAAAGTTTTGATTTCAGGGGCCGAACATTTTTTCAGACTTGAAATTTGGGCTCGCACCCTTGTTTGTTTTCAGATCCGCCCCTGCAAAGTATTATGTTGTTTTAAACACCCCGACATATTGGTAGTTCTTGAGAATATACACAAGTTAAACATAAGCTACATGCGCATCAACGCAAATATTTAACTGGGCAAAATCGAATGTGTGTAAATCTTTAAAGTTTTTATTAACATTCTTTAAGTTTATCGCGTGGATATTCAATATTGATCGACATAAACTATTTTGGACAGCTTCTATTAAATGACTTGCACTATTGCTATTAAATTATGAGCGTGTGAGGTTTTCCAAAAATATAGTGTCGAGAGCAAGACTCATTACAATACTTAACACTTAATAATCCAAGAGTTACAAAGTGATTAATTGTAGCTTTGTAGATTCTATCGCTAAGTCAATGATGCGAGATCGTAAGACCATTTAAAGGGTCATTTTCTGGTGGATTACTTTACCGATAATACAGTTTGTTCTTCAATTGTTGAGTTAATTATTGGGTCATATCACCTGCGTAATTTACTATAGTAATTTTGTAATTGGAAACAGACTAAATGTTTGATCTCGGTTATTAGTGGTTAATCTAATTGTCATTGCGCCAAACGATTGAGCGCATGCGCAGAACTAATCAAAGAGTGAACAATTTGGATATATGCTCAGCGTTCGTTCTCAACGCCCTTTATTCAACATCTATAGTCTGGGATCATGAGGCCAATAATAAGCAACTGTTGGACTTTATTTGCAATCGCTGCTTTTTTCTTTACGATTGTTTGCCCTGAAAGTGCCGCTAACACGGACACTGGAAATGATCTCACAAAATCGACAAAGACAAAAAGAGACGTCGCAGATGCCGCCAGGAACAACCAAGAGTTGGAATATGGACTTTATAAACTTTTGTCGGACCCCGTTGGAGAAAAGGGTGATCCGCTTATATCAACATTATTAAATCTTATTCGAGATGAAATTAAAAATGGAAATGGCGGCAAATTCATTGACTCAATGAAACGAGGCAGTGACCCGAGTTTCAATCCTACAGGCTGGAAGCGCAAACGCTCTGTCGACGATTTCAACCATTACGTTGGCCTTGAAATTGCTTTACAAAATATTCAAAACATTTTAGACCAGTATAGTAATTCCGATAGCATGATGGAAAGACCAATCCGAGCAAAACCAGCATTCAATCCAACTGGATGGCGGAAAAGGCGCGATTTACGACTACCAGAGAATTATGGCTTGCTCTCTGGTTTACGGCGGTATTTAAAACCACGGCCGATGACGAGGGGTGGGGACAAGCCAAACGTAAATCCAACCGGATGGTAATGACAATTATATGATCTTGCCTTGCATCTTGCGTCTACCCTGCCTGTATACAACTTCAATTTTGTGAAATCCTGAATGCTCAACATCTAACTCTTGTATCTGTCTTTTTCTGACTTGCATATTTAGAAACGACTCTATTTCAATCTCCCATTGCACGTCTTGTATTCAACATCAGATTTTGATCAAACAGAACAATGAAGAGACTTTCTGCAGAGATATGCATTATTTTCGAATTCTCTGTTGACTATCTGCATCTTGCGACATTGCATCATATTTGCATGTTCAGCGTTGTGTATTGAAGTATTTGCCGTTACAATTACTACCTTTATGATTATGAAATATTTGGCCATTTAAAAGTTATTCATCTGTTCAATGGAAAATATTATCTCGGTGACTGGGCATTTTTCTCTAAAATATATAATCTAAAATTGTAAACTCTAAGAGAGTTATGAAAGATTGAGACTATCCAAAAAACAAGAAAAACTGTTTTGGCCAGGGTAAGCCATGTCGATGGTTTTGAATGACCATGTACGACACCACTGAACAGATATCTATAGTTTGCCAGGTTCTTCCTTGAAACAATCAAGAAAACAATTGCAGTGCAACAATTAATAAAATAAGAAATTGCAAGTTTTACGATGCACATTCTATATTTTCGTTATGTTCGAGAAAATGCTTTTTGTGGACTTTAAGAATAGAATGATGGTCAGAGCCTTCTATATTAGGTAGATGAACTTCTCTTTTAAATTAGCAAATCAAAATATTGGAAAGCGAATCTTTTAAAAGGGCTATTAACTCTATAAGGAGTGAGCGGGGAGTGAGGTGTACGTGAGTTTAATCAGGTTCCACAAGGATTGTGGGAAGGTACAGTACTTATTTTCATAACAATGACTTATTAGTATTGATACGACAAGAGGTGACTACCCAGTTGTCCCTGTTCTGTGGAAAGCCTATGGTTCTATAAAGTAGGGACTGTTGACGGGTACTCAAGATTATCAAAATGGCAGTGTTTCGAAAATTTAAAAAAAATCTCTAATACTCGAGGATTTGTGTCTTAACAATGCTTCTGAATGTTGTACTAGTATTTAGAGTTTACCAATTTAAATTCTAATGATTTTTGAATATCTAGTTACTTCCATAACGTATATAGCGTATTCAATGTGAAATGTCAAGTGTCCGACACTAGTTCTGTAGACAAAGCTCTTTTTCAAATTAAGAGAAGCAAAATTAAATTACTGGAAAGGATGATATTTGAGAGATGCTTCAAAAAATTTACTCTCTCTCTCTCTCTGCTGCAAGTTTGATCGTTCTCAATTTTTTAATGATGCTACGCTGTAAAAAGTATTTTTCTGGTTTAGGCTATAATCATTATCAAGAGCGAGGTTTAGTTTTATGATTAATATGTTTTAAAGTACTTTGAGGAGGTTAGACACGGGATGTGGCCACTGCGGGCAGATTCATCATTGCATCAACAACTATCCATCCAATGAAATGTGAATATTCAATTAAGCCTACGTTCGTAGCATTTTTTAATAAATATAAAAATATCCACAGGAAACTCAAGTCATGGGTGTCATACTACATGTACCTTGAGATTTATCACCCAGAGTCTATAAGTATAACTACTGTGGTTGAGTAACCCAGTGCGCAGATTAAAATATTTTTCACTTGCTGTCCGACAGTCGAAAAATCAATTTTTAGAAAAAGTTCAAATGGCTCAATCGAATCATTTGGTCTACTTACTCATAATTACATGTAATTAATAATCTCAAGTATGATGGTCAGGTTTACAAAATATAATGACTTGTCATGTTATGTAATTTTTTGAATCATCCACCATTTTGAAATCTAGAGGATTAGGAAGAAGAAAATGTAATTTGACATCATTCTACTCAGCTCTCTGACGAAAGGTAGGAGGTGTAGATAAGTCATGGACCAAATGTATTATATATGGGGGTAAAACTTAAGAATATGGCCAAATGAGATTTTTTTAAATGGATTTTTCGACTGTCGGACAGCAAATGAAAAATAGTAGAGGTAAAGTTAAAGCTCATTATCAGAAACGAAATCGAACAAATGCAAATGATAGTAGGTTGGACTCTCTTTTATAGAATCAATATCAGACTATTCAAAAGTGTAACGCCATATTGACGATGATCCTTCTTCATGGCGATAACTCTTCAGATTTCCCCCTAACGCTTCTAGGATGCGCGCTTGAATAAACACCTACAGCTCTAAACATCCTAAAATAAAGTACCTTAAAAGCTGAATCTCACCTTGGAAAGTGAAATTGTCGCAATTATTTCATCCCATGCCTTTCCGATTGTTCCAAAAATGCTGTCAAGGAATGCTTTTTTTGATTTTTCCTTTATATGCTTCTCTTCTAAATCACATAATATCCTTCCATTGAGCGGTTATGAGGCGTGATTGAGGGATATTGAGTACTCAAAACATCATGAACATGTTTTTTGTTATTTTTATCACCTGTATCAATTTCAGGACATTATGATACGGACGTCTCAAGGGTCGCACGGCCTTTTATATGAACGAGCGTGGGTTGTATAATTCTCCGATTTAGAATATATATGCATCGTTTAATCCGATAACATCATCATTTCTAAGATTAAGTTATCCCTTGAGACGAATCTTAAAAATATTTCATTTTCAATTGAGGTTGTCTTATGCAACAATGACAATGAACCCTTTCAAGGTTTTCATTTGATGAAGACCATAGGGAACGTAGAGTAACTTAACACAATACCCAAAACAAGATAAGAAATACAATATTTGATAGAGAGACCCAAAGCTACTAAAATTCCCATCACTTAAGATTGCAGTCATTTTAAGGAGCTAATTGAATAATCCGATGGCCGTCGAAACTTAAAGGATAAAATATTATTTGATGATAATGTTAAACCTTGAATCAAAGAAGTTGAGATGCTACTAATAAAACTTGACAATAACAATAACAAACGCATACAGTTTACAAAATGCGTTCCAAGATATATAAACGGAATTACAATAGACAAAATGTAATCAAATATTCCATTACCTCACAAAGGACACAGTCAGATTTGGGATGCTTAGTTATGTTGTCAGTTTTATTTGATCTTGTGCTACTTATACAGCTAGTTCCCAGGGGCGAGCACTTAGCACCGCTTAGATAGCCAGCAGTTATCACTATCAATATAGAATTCAATGTAATGTTAGTTATTCAATGTAATTCATTACAGAAGGAATAATTAACTCTTTAGTAGCGATTCACGTCCCTTTAAAATGACTACGTTTGAGTAGATATGTGATGGCGGTTAATAAGTATTGCATTTATATGTTGTTTTAGGATTTTCTACCTTATCAATTACAAATGATCGTTTTATAACAAAGTATAGCAATACACCCCTGTCATATGTTTCGCTGCCAGGAGTCCAATTCGGACAGTGTCTAAAGCCTGTTTTATTAAATTAGCCCCTAAGCCTAAATAAATTTGGTTCGGAATTTATGACTGTGAACCTCTTTAAACACAATGAGGCTTTAAACACATAACGTTAAAGTTGGCCAATGGAAAATTTTGCGTTGCCAAACTTTTGGAGGAAAGTGTAAATTAGGTGAAACTATGCAACTTAGCATTTCAAGGGATAAATGTGTTCCATTAAGTTCTATTATTGTTGCCATACCACTTACACGGTCACTGTGATTCAACTGCAGGGTGGCAAAGAAATGATCTCTCAAGTTATATTCATAAAAAGTTTTGTAATATGTTTCAAAAGAAATGCATCATTCCTTCAATCGTCCCCAATTTTTATATATTCAATCTGGATACAAAATGGTTGAATCACTACCTATCAAAACTAGTTAATAACTTGGATTGTTAGTTAGTTTATTGTTTTCATAATGTCGATAATTGATTCATTCTGAAATGTAATGGATTGCTCCAACTGGTTTTTGTTCTATATCGTATATCAAAAATAGGAATTAAATCCAATTAGAGTCCACGTGTGCACAATATAAAATAAATTAATCATTAGTCCGAACTACAGTTATTGTATGTCCTCAATGGTCAGCTCTTAAACCCAAGATACAAATAATTTGAAAACTATGGTCTCTTTTTTAATTAAAATATATTCGTGATGAGGTAATACATCTGAATTATAAACGGTATTAATGACATCGTTTGTTAACATTTATTTCATTTAAAGGACCACTATTCTTTGTAAATCGCCAAACATTTACAAGAGCTAATCCAAGTTGAGCCCGTAATGGGCATGTGATCCTAATTTAGAGGAGTATACATTTACATATTCACCACCACCCTGTTTGAGAAACATACACCCACTACCACTCTCACTTAAAGCAGCTAGTTCTAGATTAATAGATGGCTACTTTCTCAGAGTGAGAGAGAAACAAAGCAAACTGAAATTCGTAAATGTCAATTAACTGTACCTTACGAATCAACTACGGGATATTTTGGGATGTGTGAAGATTTCATGAAAGAATATTAAAAACATTTGAAATGAAATCATTTTCCGTGAACTTATTGAACGACCTGGTATATACTATTTACAGTTACTACAATGTGATTGTTTGCACAATTCCTTTTTTGTTTATGCGATACACAACTGTTATATGGTCAGACAGCCGGCGGACAATTGCAGCCATTTTGCATGCATCGAGGGGTCGCATCAAGGCATTTCTATGGACAGCAAGCGCATGCGCGTACAATTCGAAGCAAGAATGATTGGCTCCCAGTGTCCCAATTCGAATCTTAAATCTACAAGCAATTTTTGGCAGTGCTGATTTCTACGGAAAAGAACGCACAAATGAACTGCAAAGAAAATAGTCAATATCCCATGCCAATGACCTTATCCGATATCACTACGACTACAAATTCAAAGTCTGCGATCCAAACAATTTAAACTTGATCTTGATCACTTAATCTTGTGTGTTTTAAAATTCTTTGCTAGGAAATAAGACCAAATTCTGATAGTTAAAATATGGCGACAGTTTGATTTTAAATTTTGTAATCACAACATGACTCAATACTTGGCAGAATATCGAGTTGGAACCCTGGGAGCCAATCTTCCTTGACTTTGGAGTACATTCCAAGTTTAAAATGAACTCACAAATTCGCTTGGAGAAAATGATCATACGTGAATAATTAGCATAAGAATCTTTTACGCATGTTAAATGGATTATGCATGAGCATCGTACTTATATTTTGCAGATGAGAGAATGCCTGGCGACGAATATTCTAGCAATCAGACGACAGTTCCTTGTTCCATAATACAAATGAATGGGCTAATATGTGCATCGTGGCATGGACCTACCGTACTAAAATCCTTTAAATTCTAGTTTTAAATCAAACTTTCAGTACACTATCTAGAATGGCTATGTGACCCTTGTATGTACCCATGAGCATGTTTATTCCAAAATAATTAAAAATTAAAATGAATAATATGGGTAATAGATAGGCCTACTCCTCATTTGCATGTAGTGAAGTATGGTAAAATATACTAAAAAGATTGATTCGATTCAAATGAATGTGCAGATCATAGAATGAATTGATTTTGCAGTTATGAATAAATTCATAAATTAGAATTCTGATCTCATGAAATTATTTTGTTCACAAAAGTTGTTGATTGTTAGAATGATTCGAGAAAGAATAATATGTTCAATGTTTTATGTTGGCAACCAGGAATCGTGATAAGGACTATTTCGTGAGTTTGTGGCTTTAATCCACTCAATTGGGGAGGACGAGTGTAAACCAAAACAGCCTAGTGACGTCACGACAAGGGGTGAATCAACAGAACATTGCGATAGATTGCTGAGAACCGGTTACTGTTCTTATCCCGCAGTAAGAAACTACAGGCAGGTCTACCAGTTTGGCGTTTGGCGTTGGAATTATATAAAAGAGATTGGTCACCACCCGCCATTATATTGTTGATCATCATCATTTACATGCAGTTTTGCCCCAGTTTTGCCTCAAGTTGCTGTCACCCCCTCCCCCATTATACGTCTCTTTTCCTGGAGAAGATTGAGAGGGGAGCGAGTTCAGAGATTCGATGCAAGACAAATTATTATCAACACATCGAGTGAAATTAGAGGACATACAGGACATTGACCAGTATTTTATGAATTGTTTATTTTCCTTTATATTCTCAAGCATGTCGTATGAGAAGACAAAATACATTAAGAAGTTGTAACGGTTCAAATCATCTCCATTTGTGCTTTTGTTACTCAACTTCATATTGGTAAGTTTCAATTCATACACAATGTGTAGTTTTAACATGTTAAGTCGAAAATATTCTACAGGTATAGCCTAATCATCTGAGTCAGGACAATGACGAAAATGGGCCGCGTAACTAGAAAATGGGTAGTGTGATTTCTGGCACAACTTTGAGGAAAAGAAGTTTTGGATGAAATGTATTCACAATGCAACTAGTTAATCACTAAAATGTACTTTTGAGCTAGAAAAATGAATTATTAATGTGATTAATTTTTTAAGACAGGCGAATTATTCCTTGAAAAGTACCAATAACGATTATGCCAGCCGATATATTTATATAGATAATTAGTAATCACATGATATATAATCAGCGCTTCATTCTAGATAGTAGGTACACTACACTTTACACCCAATATAAGATTAATTAAAGGGTTCTTTGTATGATATTCCGTTTGAATGTGCAATGTCTCCTCTCCCACCTCCTTATCAGTCTAAGACATTGTCGATTCAAGCATCCAGTTATTTTATCGAAATTGTGTTATTTTCACAAAGAAAACACCAATGAGATTATAGAAAATTCGATTTTATCTCGAGCGTCTTCCACTCGATAAACAATAGGCAAGTGAAACTGGATTACAGTATCAAAAACCAATTTGAATCTTCTATGAGATGCTTGACGATGTTATATTAGCGTTTTTCTAGAATATCCGCTAAACGGAATAATCTTATCTTCGCTCTTTACATGCGGATAAAAGAATTATTGCTTTAAGAAAGTATTACTTTCTACACAATTTGACCAGATCAAAAACCTGCACTATTCTGACCATTTGTAGCATATTGAGCTTTAATATTTTAAACATTTTAGCCAAGAATTACACTGTATATTGAGCCTAAAATGTGTGATATTAAATGTACAATCATAAAGCTACTGTAGGACTATTTTCTACAAAAGCAGACACCTTCTTTGAGTTGATAATGTATTTGTAATTAAATGTAGTTTAATTAAAATGTCGGTCACATTGGCGAACCGTCGGTTCATTTCACGCAGCAATGTCACCACGACAAGTCTCCGACATTTTTGTGGACGGTGTTCAGCGGTTCGTGTTCGGGGTTGGGCGGTCGTCGTCCAGAGTCTGTAAAGATCGCAGATAGTGCAATTAGCATGTTAATGTTTTGTACAAAGAATTATGAAAGCCTTTTGTTAAAATTTCGAACAAATTTGAAGATCATCTAAAATGTGAAATTGAGCCATGAGTGAAAAGATAAAATACATTATATTAAGGATATACCAATGTAACCTCCGAAAAAATTGATCATTTTCAATCTCAACGATGTAGAGATTCAAAAAAATGTAATAAAAAGGTAGGTCAACGGGTTAGTTTCCCATAAGAAGCTTCTGAAAATGGGTATGGAGTTATCATTTGCACATTTGAGGTACCATTGATTTCACAGCAAAAACACGTATTTTCCTCTATTCCTTCGATAAAATGATGATTTAGAGAGAATTGACGATTTTTGTCGAGCTTAGATAAAATTCCTTCATATATAATTACGTACCCTATCCCAACGGTATTTGATAACGTTTTTCCATTAAAAATAAAACATTTTCATTTTAGCATTTTGACACGTTTTGAATCGAAATGAGTGGTATCGATATGGTGAACTTTTTGAACGCGCGTTTCTCTTAAACCAGTCATCAAAACATTCTGTAAATTTTACACATCGTCAATTAAATGGTCAACTTTGAATGGTAACATTATAATTTGAAATATATATTTAATACGCTATAGACTATAATAAAAACTCATGCAAATTCTCTAACAAAGTGTTATATGACGTCATGATAAAACAACACTGAAAATGAGGAGCTCTTAGTTGCTCTACAAGTGATATTCCACGAAGCCCAAATGACTAGTGGAATATCATATTGTGAGAGTCACAGTTTCAACTGTTATATTTCCCACTCACACTAATGAAATAACAAACTATTGATAACCATAACAATGTAATCCCGGCCGGTTATATATAAAAGTTAAATTACAATGGACTAAGTTGTGACTGGTGAATATCATATATTCAACGGAAGTCGTGTGACTAATGGATTGATAATAAATTGTCAGATTTACAGATTCTGGAAAGTATAGAGAATAAAAAAGATAAAGAAATAAGAATGATTTTCGTGGAATAAAACAGTGAATGTCAGCAAATGTAGTCGCATGACAGAGTACCCTTTGCATTCGTTCGACTTCACTTCTTTAAAGAGAGCTTTGTCTCCGGTAGTTTATAACTACATGTAGTCTCTGCGCGCAGAGTAATGACAGAGTTGTAATCCAAATCCTGATTGGGTAGTAAGTTTTGTATTCCATATTCTACAGGGTGGTCAAAAAAAGGAAACCCTTACACCATTTTCTTAATATCTTTGTCATTTTAAGAAATAACTTTACACATTTGTACATCATTCAATTTCCTACATGCCTACCTTATTTCATGACCATCAGATCGATAGTCACAGTGTTACAGCAATTTAAAGAACATTCCTGGTGGCCACAATTGCGCTGTAGAGAAACTTGCACATGTCGTCCAAAATGTCCTTACATTTGAGTCAGTGACAACTGTACAGATTTGCCAACTGCACGATGATGGCCAAACCTGCAGCAGGTTGTTCAAAGTGCTGCCAAATTGTCTGATGGTCATGAAATATGGTAAGGTGGTAGGAAATTGAATGATTTACAAATGTGTAAAATATCATGGAGTAATATCTTAAAATGACAAAGATATGAGGAAAATGCAGGGTTTCCGTTTTTTGACCACTCTGTATTTTGATATGCTAGATCTAAAAAATACATTTTATCTAAGTCATCGTTTGAGATAAAGCCAAACAATCACAAAGGGTAGTTTCGGGCTTGACATGCGATGGAGTAGAATTGGGGTGGTATATCCTCATGTTCAGAAATTGTAATACTCCCTGCTTGACAAAACTTATTACATATACCTCATCTACATCTTTCACGTTTGTACAAATAGCGATTAAATATTCCTACTAATTATTAGTTGATTATTAACTTATAAATATTCTACGTATATAGAAAAGAGAAAATTCAGTGAACTACTATTTTGTACTTTTAAAAAGTAGGTCACTGAATTTTCGGATTGTTCATACATCGTAGAAGATCATTAAACATCAACTAATATTTTAGGTGCATTTATGTTATCTTTGCGCAAAACTGAAAGATGTAGACCATACATGGAATGAGTTATGCATACGGAACTACCTTAAGGTACTCTGCCCTATTGCACGCGTGATACAAAGAATACAAGTTCTTCAGATCCCATACAAGTCATGTTAATTCCTGGATTACATATCATTTTGCCAATAAAGCTAACAGGAAATGATATTGGAGTATAATGTGGAGTCATCCAGACAAATGTAAAACTAACTTTCTACGTATTTTCGAACTACTTGGCTATATTGACACAGGAGCTTATAAAATGTTATAACGATTTGTAAAACACAGGGCTGTTGATGATTAAATATGCAGATAATGGGCAAAGTGACGATTTATTCGTTCCTTAATTAATTGCAACGTAAAGGCTTATATGAACTGGCGTGGGGGTCGTCTAAAAGGAGTGAAGCTAACATAATTAAGAGGGTGTCGTACTGGATGTGATTTACAACCTGGGTACAAGTGGTCGATTGCAAGTAAATCGTGGCAGTTAAGGAAGAGTTTGGCATAAAAGGATGTGATTGCATTAAAGCATTACTTACTGCTGCAACTCATACAATATCCGCATTATGTTCATTATTACCCTAAATCTAGATCTAATATTAGACTATATTGTGATACACTGTATTATCAATCGGTCGATTTATTGGGACTTGCGCGTGTTAAAAATATTTCAAAACATTTTCACTTATATTTTGTTTTATTCAGTGTAGACATATGTTCCTGAAATCTGACTTCGTTACTAACGTCTTCATTCCAGGTTACACTTTATTTCAAACGAAATATAAGAGTATTACAAATGTCCAATGGTTTCTACTATGATTAGATTGGACATCCAATGCAAATGGCCGTTTGGTTCAATGTGCCAAGTAAAACTAGTTCCAGAGGAACACTATAAAAGTCATGCCTATTTTTGGTCGCTCATTCTAGTCCGGTTTTCAAATTCATCGATACAATTTTCTAGTGTCTTTGATACACGCAAAACAAAGATAGGTTCTGTCCCTCTGTATGTTCTTGTCCTCGAGACATAATAGTACGAAACATTTTATCTAAATAACGATTCCGTGTATTCAATCCTCAAAACATGTTAAGTATTTCGCCCTGGATCATTTCATCGATACTGTCGGAAAATCCCCTTCGACTAAAATAAAATGTTAGTGATGAACAAACTTTTAGCGAAAATTGATGAAAATTCACAACTTTGTTTTTGTTGTTTACAGGTCTCTAGAGCTGAATTCCTATTAGCAGGCAAATCAGAAATCAGATCAATTCGCCCTGGGAAGCAGTTTTGAATTTAAAGTACGACGAATCCTTTTAGTTGGATGAAAATAGCAGAACATTGTCAGATTGGATGATGAATTTTAAAAATTCAAGCAGAAGATTTCCAGGGAATACGTGTACGGTTCATAAAGACATGCAAGAAATTAAAATTCATTAGGATGTCGTTTCAATCGAAATTACTTTCCGGTACTTGTGTAACTTATAATATAAACAAATCTTATACAGTTCCGTTTTCCCCTTTATTCGCGTCATCTCTAACCTAAAGTTAATTATGTCATCATTTATCCTTAACTTGAACAATCAATGCAAAGGACTGCGTAGATTCATTGTTTCCAGTCGTTGCTTCATGTACTACATGGAAATGCATAGTGTATTTTCGTTCGAAAAAACAGTGTAATTTTGTTTTGTAGTCTGTAAACGTTTCAGTAGTTTTTCCTAAGTTTCCTAATACTCTAAGAGCGAGGAGGAAAATTCTTAATAAATGGAGTATAGTTGGTTTGGCAGCATTTTCAGTTAGAGGGAAGTCTTGGATGAAAATTCTACCTAGGTGATAGCTACACATAGTGGTACATAATTCTATTTTTTCAGGGGTTAGCCCCCCTACCCCCAAAAACACCCCACCCCCGGAAAATAATTTTTTCATTCTCAATAATTTTAGATATCTTGATGTTTGTAAGTTACATACATAGACATTATATATATGAATCATTTGCAAAATAAATAATGCCAATCACTCCTACAGAATTTGGAAAATACTACAAAGTATGTACCCTAGGGGGCAAATTCGTGACCCATTTTCTTACTTTTTAGAGCCTCACTTTTCAATCAGACACTGGAAGACATTGAAAAATTTCATGTGAAGTGCCCAGTAGCAGGGCTATAAGCCCTGAAAGATTAAAACTAATTAAATCAGTAGTAGCCGAGAAAAAAATTGTTGATTTTTTGAAAATTTTGACATTTTTGAGAGGGGTGATTTTGTGTATGACTATAGCTGATGCCTATGGTTTCCAGATCTATCCCTCTTTGATGATAAATATGGTTTTGAAGTATGGAACTAAGATGTAAAAAATAATTAAAATTGGTTTTAAGGACGTTTCATGTTTTAAACAAGTTCAAAATTCCAAGAACTGTACAATATCAGGTCTGAATTTACAAATTTTAGGAAAGACCTTGGATGAGCCTTAGATTTTTTACATCTGTCCCCCTTTGATGATATTTATGGTTTTGTAGTATGGAACTAAGATGTACAAAATAATTTAGATGGGTTTTAAGAAGGTTTAGGAATTTTAACAAGTTCAAAATTTGAAGAATTGTACAATATCAGGTCTGAATTTACGAATTTCAGGTAAGACCTTGGATGAGCCTTATATGTTTTATATTTGTCCCTCTTTGATGATATGTATGGTTTTGTAGTGTGAAACTAATTAGTAAAAAATAATTAAGATGAATTTGAAGAAAGTTTAAGGATCTTAAATGAGTCCAAAATTTGAAGAATTGTACAATATCAGGTCTGAATTTATGAATTTCAGGTATGACCTTGGATGACCCTTATGTCATTAAATCCTTCCCTCTTTGATGGTATTTATGGGTTTATAGTGTGGAACTAAGAAGGCTTAAGGATTTTTAACAAGTTCAAAATTTGAAGAATTGTACAATATCAGGTCTGAATTTACGAATTTCAGGTAAGACCTTGGATGGCTCTTATGTTTTTACATCTGTCACTCTTTGATGATATGTATTGTTTTGTAGTGTGGAACTAAGATGTAAAAAATGGTTTATGGTTTTGAAGAGTGTTTAGGGATTGCAATGAGTCCAAAATTTGAAGAATTGTACAATATCAGCTCTGAATTCTCCTTGGACGACCCTTTTGTTTTTTACATCTGTTCTTCTTTGATGATATTTATGGTTTTATAGTGTAAACTTAGATGTAAAATATAATTTAGATGAATTTTAAGAGATTTAAGGATTTTAACAAGTTCCAAATTTGAAAAATTGTACAATATCAGGTCTGAATTTACGAATTTCAGGTAAGACCTTGGATGGCTCTTATGTTTTACATCTGTCTATCTTTGATGATATGTATTGTTTTGTAATGTGGAACTAAGATGTTAAAAATGATTCAGATGGTTTTGAAGAGTGTTAAGGGATTTTAATGAGTCCAAAATTTAAAGAATTATACAATATCAGGTCTGAATTTTCGAATTATAGGTATGACCCTGGACGACTCTTTTATTTTTTACATCTGTCCCTCTTTAATGACAGTTATAGTTTTATGGTATGGACCTAAGATGTAAAATATAATTTAGATGAATTCTAAGAAGGTTTAAGGATTCTAACAAGTTCAAAATTTGAAGAATTGTACAATATCAGGTCTGAATTTGCAAATTTTAGATAAGACCTTGGATGAGCCTTATATTTTTTTACACATATCCCTCTTTGATGATATGTATGGTTTTGTAGTGTGGAACTAAGATGTAGGAAATAATTTAGATGCATTTTAAGAAGGTTTAAGGATTTTAATTTGAAGAATTGTTCAATATCAGGTCTGCAATGAATGAATTTCAGGTATAACCTTGTTTAGCCCATATGATTTTAACACCTACCCCCTTTTCATAATTTGAATAGTTGTGTGGAAATATGTATAATTTACATCGATTTTAAAGAAGCTTAACATTTTAAACAAGTTCAAAATCTTGGCGTATTGTACAATATCAGATCTGAAATTAATGAATTTAAAGTATAACCTTGCTTGGCCCTTATATTTTTAACATCTATCCTTTTTTGATGATATATATGATTTAGTAGTGTGGAGCTCATATATAAAACATAATCAAGATGGGTTTTAAAGAAGTTTAAGGTTTTAAATAAGTTCAAATTTTCACAAATTGTACAATATCAGAGCTGATATTAATGAATTTTAGGTATTGTGTTTTTACATTTATCCCTTTTTGATGTCATATAATTATGCTTTAGTAGTCTCTAGTTGAAAGCCCGTGGTTGAACCAAGATGTAAAACAAAATTTAGACAGGTTTTAAAGAAGTTTAAGGTTTTAAACAAGTTCAAATTTTGACGAATTGTACAATATCAGAGCTGATATTAATGAATATTGGGTATTTAGGTGAGCCTTATTTTTTTACATCTATCCCTTTTTGATGACATATATGCTTTAGTAGTGTTGAACTAAGATGTTAAACAAAATTTAGACAGGTTTTAAAGAAGCTTAAGGTTTAAACAATATAAAAAATTGAAGCATTGTATAATAACAGGTCTGGAATTTATTAATTTTAGGTATAACTGTGAATGGCCCTTCTTCTTTTTTTACATATATCTCTCTATGATAACATATATGGTTTTGTAGTATGAAACTAAGATGTAAAACATAATTTAGATGGGTTTTAAGGAGGTTTAAGGTTTTAAACCTGTTCAAAACTTGACAAATTGTACAATATCATATCTTCTGACATTAACGAATTTCAGGTATGTATCTCTCTATGATGATAGATATGGTTTAGTAGTATGGAACTTAGATGTAAAACATAATTCAAATGGGTGAATAATGTTTAAATTCTCCCAAAATAATAAGAATGGTAACCATTCTTATGGAAAAATAATACATTATTGTAGAAATCTTTAGTTTTCCTGAAATAAAGGGTGCACTTTTGGGGATTATTAGCAAATAGACATGAAAAGGAATGACATAAGCCAGAAATATTCAAAAAGGTCCATGTGCAGTATGGCAAGTGATTTTAGACGGTCATATATTTCACCATGAGTACTTTCTGGGCATAAATACAGTGGTTTTTATTTTAAAAAATATGTTTTCTTTCAAGTGAAGTCCCCATGAAAATTATAAATTGGGACCCCATGTCAAAATGTTTAGAGCCAACCAAGGTTATACTTGAAATGTAGTGTTAATTGCCGAATTAATATTGTACAATGCGCCAAGATTTTGAACATGTGTAAATCCTTAAACCCTCTTAAAATCCATCTTAATTGTTTTTTACATCTTAGTTCTACACTACAAAACCATACATATCTTCAAAGAGGGACAAATGTAAACAATATATGGCTCACCAAAGGTCTTACCTGAAATTCGTAAATTCAGACCGGATATTATACAATTTTTCAAATTTTGAACTTCTTAAAATCCTTAAAGTCCTTAAACATTCTTAAAATTCATCTAAATTATATTTTACATTTTAGTTCGTTACTATGAAAGCAGAAATATCATTAAAGAGGGACAGATATAAAAACATAAGGGTCATCCAAGGTCATAAATTCAGACCTGATATTGTACAATTCTTCAAATTTTGGACTCATTTAAAATCCTTAAACTTTCTTCAAATCCATCTTAATTATTTTTTACTAATTAGTTTCACACTACAAAACCATAAATATCATCAAAGAGGGACAGATGTGAAAAATATATGGCTCATCAAAGGTCTTACCTGAAATTCGTAAATTCAGACCTGATATTGTACAATTCTTCAAATTTTGAACTTGTTAAAATCCTTAAACCTTCTTAAAAACCATCTAAATTATTTTGTACATCTTAGTTCCATACTACAAAGCCATTAATATCATCAAAGGGGGACAGATGTAAAACATCTAAGGCTCATCCAAGGTTTTACCTAAAATTTGTAAATTCAGACCTGATATTGTACAATTCTTTGAATTTTGAACTTTTTTATTCATTAAACTTCCTTAAAACCCATTTTAATTATTTTTTACATCTTAGTTCCATACTTCAAAACCATATTTATCATCAAAGAGGGATAGATCTGGAAACCATAGGCATCAACTATAGTCATACACAAGATCACCCCTCTCAAAAATGTCAAATTTTTCAAAAAATCAACAATTTTTTTCTCGGCTCCTACTGATTCAATTAGTTTGAACCTTTCAGGGCTTATAGCCCTGCTACTGGGCACTTCACATGAAATTTTTCAATGTCTTTCAGTGTCTGATTGAAAAGTGAGGCTCTAAATAGTAAGAAAATGGATCACGAATTTGCCCCCTGGGGTACATACTTTGTACTATTTTTCAAATTCTGGAGGAGTAATTGGCATTATTTATTTTGCAAATGATTCATATATATAATGTCTATGTATGTAACTTAAAAACATCAAGATATCTAAAATTATTGAAGATGAAAAAATTATTTTCCGGGGGCAGGGTGTTTTTGGGGGGTGGGGGGCTAACCCCTGAAAAAAAAGAATTATGTACCACTCTGTGAAGCTATCACCTAGGTAGAATTTTCATCCAAGACTTCCCTCTAACTGAAAATGCTGCCAAACCAACTATACTCAATTTATTAAGAATTTTCCTCCTCGCTCTTAGAGTATAACGTATACCATAATGTCATTTCTTCCAACAAATGAATAAATACACAGCTTTCTAAGATCTAAATAAATTATACAATTTATGAATTAGATCAATTATCACACAAAGTTTGTTAAAATAAATCATTTATTGTCTCTTAAACATAGAAGTCACACTACATGACCGTTAACAAGTATTTCTAAAACAACAGTAACAAGTAACATACATTAACAGTTCAAGCTAGAATTTATGCAAATGATGGTGATGTCAATCGTCCTCTCCTCGCATCTTTGACGTCATTGGATGATGAGATAGCCTCATATTCTGATCTTTGTTGCGTATTTCTACAGAATGGTAACATGAAGTAAAGTACAGCACCTAAAGTTTGTGTTGCTCCAGCAACGTAGAATGGTGCGTCTATGCTACCAGTAGCGTCAATAATCCAACCTTTAACAAATCAAATTATGACTTTATTTAGTCTGGATTATAATATCCGGGCTGTAAACGAAGATTATGTCCCAGTGTAAATGGAGTTGATGTCTCATGAATAAACTCCCTCTCTTCATTGTTTCATACATTATAAGATCGGGGTAAGTAAGAGGGACAATTATTAACGGAGGACAATCATAATTGGCATACCGTAAAGGAAAAATAGTCCCATGCGGATCGTTTGGTCCTCCCTTCCCACGGCGCTTACAATAGTAAATCAAGAGTGAGTTGTTATTGGGACACACAATGATTGGTAAGGACGCAAATTAGATTGGCACCACTATGTATTTACCTTATGACAAGCAACCACAAAATTAGCCAGTATAATTCTAAGATTACATCAAGGACGTCCTTGATTACATTAAACACCCAATTGTTATAGCATCCTGTTTCATAATCGCGAAGCTGATGAATTACAGAACTAAATATCTATTTCTGGCGCGAACGTTTGAAACCAAGTAATTTAAGTATATATTACGTCAACATTGACACTTACAAGTATCCAACTGACAAGCGTCGATAAGTGACTTACCGCATAAAGGGGACGATGTTAAGAAGGCAATGGATGAAGTTGCTAGAGTGAGTCCTACAGATTTCTCCACTAGATCCATTCCAAAAAGGTCTACCAATATAACAGGAAACAGCGATGCGAAACTTCCTTAAATAAAACATACATACAACGGTTATATAAGGTTGCTATAATATGACAACATTTTCAGGTCGTGACACAAAAATCAACAGAAGTCAACATGCTTGGCAGCATACTTCTTGTAAAATTGTATATGAATGTTAAATAAAGACAACTAAAACAAAACAAACGAAAATACCTAGGGTAAAACTTTATTAATTCAAAAAGTGAAATATCCTGTATGTATTTCTGATCACATTGATTTACACTACACTATAAGTCAATCAGATTAGTGGATACTGGCAACGACTAAAAACAACAGTTGTATCTGTCAATTTTTATTAAAAGGTATGCAATGTCTCGATATCATCGTAAATATAGAAAATATCTGTAAGAAACAGAGGAACGAGAGGTAGAAGTAGTCGAGAATAATCCCATGGACATTTGGCTAGATGATCACATTTCAATCGCATTCAATTTTCATATATTGAAAATGTGACCATATATGGAGCTCCATTTCATCCATCATGTGCTAAATGCAACTTAGGTATGCAATAAACAAAAGTGACGTTATCCTACAGCCAACAAGATAACTGCAATTTGATGGTTGTGATGGAATCAAGAATTGTTTCTCAACTCACTAACTGCCACCTTTATGTATGAAAATACTGCAATGCCACATATGTATTAGTGGACTTCCAAACAAATATTGGGAAAGTATTGCTTGGAAAAGGTCATTCTTGATATATTTAAAAGACGTCTGTAGCCATCAAATCGAGATTCAATATTGCCATTTAATCTCAAAGCGAACATCGCGAAACCCGCGCCCTTTATTTTGAACTTTCCAAACAAGCAGAAGACAAGAGGGAGAGGGTCTTAACCAGAATGCTTTTGCTCTGTATTTACGATATCTTACCAGACAGGGTTCCAAACCAGACGGCGTAGATCACCATAGGTATGTATGATGTAGCGAATGGGTTCAACAGGGACGCAACGCCACTAAGAAGCAGCGTTATCCCGCCGACATAAAAGCGAACCTTTTCGTTGTAATCCGTAAACCAACCGATTCCTAAGCGGCTGACGAGATTGGACATACCGATGATTGAGACCAGTAATGATGCTCTAAATGAAGACTCTCCTACAAATGAAACAAAGTCTACAGTTAATGCAAAAACGCCATCTCTCCTTGCTCTTGGTGAGATGTTGATATGAGAGAAATTCAAGTTAGTGCAATTATTTAAGCAACAAATATATAATGCAAAGGTAGACAAATGCTTTAAATGAAATGTGGTTCCGGAGGTTTTGATCCCTTTCTATCTCATCTTACATAAATCAATGGAGTGTGTGGACATGGACCGAAATTACATTCTGTTTGAAGGTTTATACTCAACCATAAAATAGCAATATAAGTTGGACCATAATTCGTGGCTAACATTATTTCATAACACCTGTAATGAATATAATCCTTTTTGCATTATAATTGATGTATCAATACAGCTGAATAGATATATGGTAGACCGTTAGAGTACATCAAGTAAAGAAATTGCGGTGAATCTAAACTAATTTTTACAAACATATTCAGTACTCTTATATTCAGTAGTCATTTCATATAAAATCCAACTTCGATGTGAGTGTTTCGTTACCTAATTCAATTGCACGATCTGGCGTATAGGCAAATGGTGCGTGATATCCGAAGCAAAACAGCATAAAGGCAAAACAGAAAAGTACAAAACATGGGTTCCTGAACGGTGATAGGTCAATCGCGTCCTTCAAGATAATGTGGATCACTTCTGCACAGTTGGAACATCCATTACAGAACCAAGACCTCTCTTTTTTCTTATTTTCTTTTGTTGAATCGTTCTCATTTTCATCGATCGTCAGCTTATGTTTGTCTATTCGTACCGTCTGTGTCGGTAAAGGGAGTAGAAGAGCACCAAAAACGATACCAAGCAACATTAGAGCGCCCTCTATTAGAAGCGTGATACGCCAATGATAGTGTTGAAGAAGCCACCTGGTGACAACACCGAACACTAACATTCCCGCTCCTGAGCCACCCACCGAGATGCCTGTTGCAAAGCTCCGTCGACGTTCAAAATAATACTGCACACTCACTATTGCCGCTATATACATCAGACCATTTCCGATTCCTGAGAAACGATATAACATCATAGACGCATCGCTATTCTTCAAATCCATGATATATGACAATTTATCCCCGACAGACAGTAAAATTTGTTGCGATAATTTTTTTTCCTTATTATTAAGTGCTTAAGCGGACATGCATTCAAAGTTGATATTGTGTGATGAATCTTTCAAAACATCGACAAATGTCGACAAATATGTGAATAAATGAAAGAAAATAACCTGTTAAGATCCCATACGTTAGATACAATACTGCAATGTGATTTGCTGATGCGCTCAATGTCATGCCAAATGCACTTATTAGAGCACCAATCACAGCGACTGGTCTGCAACCTACACGCTTTATGATCGGACCACCAAATATACCTAGAAATATAAAAAATATCACACATAGATACATGTAGACCTGACCAACCAATCAGAACACAGTATTTCAAATAATCTACATTCTTGAAATTACAACCAAGCGGGGCTATTTTCAGACTTAAGTGATTTTAAGATTGCATCTATTTCATTATTTCAAGTTGGCCGTCCTCTTCACTCCCGCTTTCTGTATGACTGTTCAACCGAATAATCGTTTTTTTCTTAAAATAGAACATCTTTAGAAGCATATGAAATAATATTAGATTCAGAGGGAGAATATACGCACATGGAACAGCCATCTAGAAACCGGATATAAATTTGCCATGTCAAAATGGACTGCCTGATGTTGAAATCTATTTATTTTCATAAAACCGTTTTTGAGTCCATTTCACTGTTTAACTGCGTCAGTAAAAGCTAAAAAATAAGAAATCAAAATATCATTTTGCAATAATATATGGAAAAATATATTCCTATTGTACATGAATGACATTTGAACATCTTGGATTGCTTCTAGTTTGGCTTATAAAGTGTGTGGCCTCTTATATCTGGATGCTTCTCTGCCATGTTATTTTCAATAAGATTTACATGGCTGAAATTCTTCAAATTACAAGACGGCACAGGCTTATTGCACAAAAAACTAAAAAATCTGAAATATACAAATGTCATTCATGTACATTATGAATATACTTTTCCATATATTATTGCACAATGTTCTCCCAATTTCTTATTTTTGCCGTTCTACTGACGCAATGAAGTTGTGAAATGGACTCTACCATGTGTGAAAAAATGGATTTAGTGCCGGACTCAGTTCTTTGTTTGTAAAAAATATTACTCGGGATTTTCTAAACCCCTACTTTCTGTATTGGTTTAAGGAAGGAACAGTCTACTTCTGATATATTTAAAGATGTAAGCCCCGGACAGTGCAATTTATGCACCATTCAAAAGTTTGCGTGAGACCCCCCCCCCACCCCCCCCCCCCCATATATTAAAAATATTGCCCCCAATATATTGTAATGTAATAATATATTGACAATATTGCCCCCAGGGGTAGGATTTTGACGAAGATTGTTGTCCCGGGGGTGGAGACTTTGATTTACATGTGCCCTGGAATGGGGACTTTGACTGAATCTGTTTCGTCCAGTATACACTTTAGGATTCTCGGAATTTGCAAATGATCGGTAGATTCAGTGAACTAAAGATCGCTCATATCGGGAACAGAAGAAAATACAACTCATCTACACGTTGGGTATAATTTCAGGGGTGGAATCGCCGTGAATTACCGCTGGAGAGAGAGAAATTCTAGAATACTACGCAGTGTCTAAATTATTGGTTTGTCGAGTTTGTTTTCGCCCTCCCCCGCCCTTCATTTGATAATGTTTAGATAAAGTGTATAAAAAAGAGAAAATTCAGTGAAAAAATTCAGAAAATTTTCAGAATTTTTTTTCACTGAATTTTCTAATTTTTTATATATTTTACAAAACAAATCTTCTCACAAGTCTTTTCTAGGCACATAAGTGCACTCTTTGTGCAAACCTTGAAGATGTAGACAATGTGGGGTAGGAGTAATTTTTGTGTGAAAAATAACATGTGACTCAATTGAGGAATGCAGAAAATTTCCCAACATGCACCCTGGCCTTAACTTCCATGGCAATTAAATGTATATACGAAATGTTCAATATTTGGGAATAATATAACTGCTGAATAATAATAAAATAATAAGTTACTTTATGAAAAAAAATTAAAAATAATCATGAAAATAACATCAAACCCTCAAGATGCAGATTTACAAGAACGTCATCTTTTGCCACCGAGAGTCCATTAAAATAGTCACAATCAAAACTAAATCAGTGAATCGGGACACTGTCTGTAGCCACACGAATACACTGTACAGAAAAACATATAGTTAGGTTACCACGTACCAGTAAGATACAACAAACACGGTTGCAATGATCCAATCCATGCTGTATCAGATCTCCTCGTTTTGAAGAAATCCAGAAAGTCCACGTATAAGACCCCAAACGAATAAGTTGTCCCAATGGACAGGAGCTGGATCATAAATGATGCAAACACAACCACCCAACCGTATCCGCCATCGGGCGGAGGAGAAATAAAAACATCGTCAGTCGTATAATCTGTCATTTTACCAAGTAAACCACTATTGAAAACAAATATAAAAACCCTGATATTTTAGATTGATATTCATTTGTAAAGAAAACAATGCAAATACACTTGTTTTATAAGACATAAATGTAAGCTAAATTCATCACGTGACCAATATTGGACAATCAGTGGTCTGGGATTTGGTTGCGCGTGGTTCAGCTCATTTATAATTACTGACCCATTTTTATGTTGGTCAGTACTCATCCATGCATAAAGTCCCTTCTACTACCCACAGATCTTACGGGGTTCGTTATTTACAGCATTGAAACTATGCAGTGTCTTAACATTATCCATAGAACCCACGATAACCTAAATCCCCGAAGATAAAATGTGAATAAACTTTACCATTTCTATAGATGTCAAATAAAGCAGCATTTCTGTAATTAACATGCATTCCTCATCAATTATTTGCACCTTTACGTCGCTGAAATCGAATGGCATATTCGTACACTGATCGTGAACTCTGGCACGCATGAACCCTGCCGTGCTGGTAAGCACAACGTCTTCACCTGATTGAATATTCGATAGCTGAATTGGCAACCGGCTTGCAGAGAACAACAGGCGACAGGATGTTTAGCACGGTCATGTACAGGTAATACCATTTTGAAACATCTAAAATATTCGGATTTCCATTTTCAATATTCGATGGAGTGTAGCAAATAATATTTGTAATTTTAATATATGAGAACTAAATGCCAATTGGTGTCATTGGATTTTTTTCAAAAATCTTCGCAGTCATGGTCCATTGATTTGCTCATCGGAATGCATTTGTCCGCTCGGGGATAGAGCAGATGGCGCGAAGAGGATAACTGGGTGGATGTTTTATATATTTGCTACAACATTATATTCAATGTCATTTCTGGTACAAAATAAACTACACATATAATGAGTGCATTTCCTTACTTTTTCAAAAAAGTATTTTCGTCTATACTTTTGGAAAATCTACTTTGAGGCAATTGCCAACTCCAGAAAATACTTGTATTTCATGAAAAAATCAAAATGGCTGCCGTTTCAATTAAATCAAATATCGTCACGTTTGACAACATTTATTATCCACAATTCATTTTAATTTGAAAAATGTTTTGAAACAAAAATGGCTGTCATAAAAAGGGAAATAGATCCCTTACATCAAATTTAAAATTTTACTGTACAGTGTTCCCTGTGACACTTATTTTCTGATGCAAAATTAAGTATGAAGGCATGTGTGTATTTCCTTGCTTTTCTCAGTAAAGTATCACTACATTGTCTGGTAAGGAGTCTCTCGGAAATTCTGAGATTTCACGCTTTCCATTTTTCCAAATTTTATTTTAAAGTTTCCAGACAACATAGGAGCTACCATTGACTTGTTTCCAGGTTTACTAAATGTAGACAATGTAATGATACTTTCCTGAAAAAAGCAAGGAAATGCACACATGCCTTCATACTTGATTTTGTACCAGAAAATAACATGTGCAGGTATAGCAATTTTTTCCCAAAATGTTATTTTTCAGCTGTACCTTAAGGTCAGGGTGCATGATGGGAAATTTTCTGCATTCCTCAATTGAGTCACATGTTATTTTTCAAACAAGAATCACTCCTTCCCCACATTGTCTTTATCTCCCAGGTTTGCACAAAGAGTGCACTTATGTGCCTAGAAAAGACTTGTGAGAAGATTTGTTTAGTAAAATGTATAAAAAACGAGAAAATTCAGTGAAAAAAATTTCTGAAAATTTTCTGAATTTTTTCAATGAATTTTCTTGTTTTTTATACACTTCATCAAAAATTCTTCTCACAAGTCTAGTCTAGGCACATAAGTGCACTCATTGTGGAAAACTGGAAGATATAGTCAATGTGGGGAAGGAGTGATTCTTGTTTGAAAAATAACATGTGACTCAATTGAGGGATGCAGAAAATTTCCCATCATGCACCCTGACCTTAATTGATGAAAATTTGCTAGTTTTCACAAGTCTTTTTTTTTGTTTTTCAGGATAGCTCCCATCGTGGTTTTGATATTTGTTGTATCACTGGCTGCTACAGGTGAGCAAGATAATCTATGTTTGTGTCCTCGACTCCCAACGATCTGAATCAATAAAATTTCTAATTCAGATACGAGACTCGGTAGCTAGTTTGTAAAAAAGATTACCCATATTGGTTCTAAAATACCTGGTTAGGAAAACAAATTAAAGGATATCTACATATCTTACATTATTTCTAGATTTCGACAACTAACTGTATTTACATTACAGACGGTAACAATAGGGTAAAGTAACACGATGACGATTACACTAATCCCTGTCACTTTTTGCTATATCAAAGAAACTATCATATATTGGGATGGCTAGATTGGTGGTGTTATTCGATGAGATTTTTCAGAATTGTTAATCCTACACATTGCTACCTACAACCTATGACATCATCAATCTACCTCATATAGCATAGGTTATTTGATGCACCAAAAAGTGACCGGGTAAATCGGACAGGTCTATTGTTTGCATCTAAAGTGATTTTGTCCGGATTATTTCAGATCTATTTGAAGGAAGTCTGCTATTTTGTATCTTTAGATTTAAGTTTAAGGAACCTGTGGAAGGAAAAAATTTTGAAAAAATTGCTACACCTGCACATGTTATTTTCTGGTACAAAATAAAGTATGAAGGCATGTGTGTATTTCCTTGATTTTTTCAGGTAAGTATTATGTGTTCTTTTAGACTATCTGGTAAGAGGTCAATGGCAATCTAAACTTGTAGAGAACCTTGGAGAAGAAGTTTGGAAAATTGAAAAGGCAGACATTTTCTTGAAATATCAGCATTTCCTGGAGTTACCTTTGACCTCTTTCCAGGTTTACCAAAAGAGGACAATGAAATTATGCTTTCCTAAAAAGGCAAGGAAATACACGTCCTGCCTGCATACTTTATTTTGTGCCAGAAAATAATATGTGCAGGTATAGCAATTTTTTCAAAATGTTTTCCTTTCACCAGTACCTTAAATGTATTATTTAGAAAATATAGTATATCAAATTCTAAATTTTGCCAAGTACGATTTACTATACGAGCTTCTAAGGTTCTTTCAAAAAGGTTTCCGACAAAAAACTTGCCAAAATATTGAATTAAAACAACTGAACGTTGATACCTTATAGGAAAGTACAAGATAATATAGAGATTTCTGTCTCGCAGTCAATCTGAAAATGTGGGATTATAACTACATCGTTCTTATGTTTGCAGGTAGCGCGGCTGTCTTTGGGAATTCTTGCGAGAATGGTGGAAACCCCTGTTCGTCAAATGGTGTCTGTGTTGGGTTGTTCGCAGAACCATTTTGTCTCTGTCAGTCGGGATACGGCGGGGACATCTGTAACACGACAACATCGAATAACACATGTCCTGGCTGCACAATACCGGATATGGGCAACGCATGTGACGCATTCCCCTGCCGTAATAATGCCACGTGTGTTAATTGGTTCGGCGGATTTAAATGTCTCTGCGAAGAGAACTCCCAAGGACAATTTTGTGAGAGCGCTGAATTGTGTTTTTTGTGCGAGAGTTTGCAATTCACCTATGATACATGCCCAATAGATCAGACAAACAAGCTGATTGGCAACCAGCTTCGAGTAAAAGATCGCCATTCAAAAGCCTGGTGCATTCCTGACACAAGGTGAGGTTCACACTCTTTGTCTCTTTGTTATACATAATTTACAAATGAACGTGTCAAATAATTGTATCAACGCATTGATGTGGTTGTCAATGCATCTTCTTCACTAATACTAATTACATTGACGTAACGTCAAAGTACCAAAATGGGGGACCTGTCTAAGTTAGAGTTCGATAAGATTTTTTCACAATAGTAAGAGGGACCAAATGTGAATATTGCGACTTCATTTAAATACCAAAGTTGCAACCGCATTGTTTCGCCTAAACTATACGACTCTTTATAAAACTGAGCCAATTTAAAATCCGCAACTTGTCTTATAAGTAAGTTTAAATCAGGAAAACCAACCTAGCTAAAACACAGGTAGTTCCCCCATTTTGTTACGTTGACGTTGCGTCTGTCTCCCTTGTTGGTAAGTGTTTAGCTGCTCGTATTATGAATACAAACTTGTTCAATTTAGCATGTTTTCATTTTTCTCTTTGGGAAACCTATATCATTTTTCTGGTGTAGTTTTTCACGTTTTCCTTGTTAATAGAAAGGTTAAGTTACACGCTCAAATTCAAACCGTGAACTTGAACGCGCAAGTTCACGCTCTATACACGTGAACTTGAATGCGCAAGTTCACGCTCTAGTACACGTTTAAGAAAATGTTCTGTTAAGCTACCCGTCTGAAACCATGTCCGTGGATGTGGAGGCATATTTATGTTGCAACTGTTACAAAGTATAAGGGTCATGACTCTATGGTGTATTGGTTAGCACTTGGGACTCGTGTCTGTTAGGCTAGGGTTCACATCCAATCGATTGAATACAATTTTGTTTTTATGTCCCCACCAAAAAGTGGTGACATGCTGTTACAGTCTCCGTTTTTGACCAAGGAGGATTGGCTCCCAGGATCGAAACTCGATATTTTCCAACAATGAAAACGTCGAAATGTCGTTATTTTCTGAAATTAAAACCGACTATAAATTCAAAATAAACAGTTCAAAAGATTCGAACCAATATCTCGATCATTTCTTGTGAGTTTTGGAATTTTTCGTTTGGAAATAAGACCAAAATTCACGATTTAAATGTTGAAGTGAACAAAATGGCGGCTGTTTGAATTCGAATTTTGTATTACGACATACCCATATATGGGACAGAATATCGGTGGTGCACTCTGGGAGCCAATCCTCCTTGGTTTTTGACGGCGGTTGGCGATCGACAGTCGGCGTCTGTAACAGATTCTTACAACTTCCAATAGCTTAACAAATACTGTATAGACTGACGTCAAATCATCGACATTTTTACAGAAGTTCAAAGCCGACTTTATATTTCAGATTTGACCTTCAATAACCTTTTCAAGGTGAAAAGGGTATCTTTCAACTTGCTTCAAATTGACCAATTTTTTCAAAATCATCTACAAGTTATCAGATGCAGAAGTTCAAACCTGACTTCAGATTTAACCTTCAATGACCTTTTTAAGGTCAAAAAAAGATTTGACATCCAATGACCTTCTCGGGGTCAAAAAAGGTATTGTTCAACTTGCTTCAAATTGACCAATTTAGTTTTTCAAAATCATCTAAAAGTTCTCAGAAGTTCAAATCTGACTTAAGTTTAATCTCATAATATTGTGAGCTTCTAATTCAACCACTTTCAATTACGTTTATAGTATCACATTTTGCTCACATTAAGGGCGGACGCAATTCCAAAAAATGCCTCGTTCGCAAATCAAATGTAGTGATAAGGCAATAGTAGGCCCTGGTTGTCATTTCATTTCGTTTAGTAAACATAGTATACTAAACCCCGGGTTAAACTAGCCCCGCCTATTTATAATATACGAAATGAAACAAAACCGTAACATTTGAAGTTGTCATTTACCCATTAAAATGTATTCTTTTTCCTATTAAGGATTGGATTACCAATATAACAAGCAAGAGTATCTGTATCAAATATTGACAACTGTACCATCCTAGAACATAGCTAAAATCAACCACGTAATGAGCGACGTAACTGACCTACAGCTGAGACAGTCTGTACGTAAAAACCTGTAACTTTCACGCTTACCAAGAGGAGGGAAAGCCCCAGAGCTTTAGCAATGACTGACATAATAAGTCTCTTGCGTACCACCTTCGTTTGCGCAAATTCTCATCAGTTAATTTTCGAACACAGCGCGTCGTCGTGATGTTCTAATCGATGCAAACATATTCCTTACATATTTCATTATCTTGATGTGAAAAACAAAGCTATGATATTGGTTAATACGTCAGGAATCAACATAATATTATTCGAAGCGTTATTAGAAAATTTTGAATACGCAATTTTTGTTTATCGATTTGGACCAATCAGAGGCGTATGTCATCTCAATACACGTTTACATTATAAGCGTATGTCATCTTTGAACTCTGGTGTTGTTAATCCCCCTCTTACGCTTACCTGTAGAAAGTAAACTAATCTGACGTCATTTTTCTGCGCGCGCATTGGATTTCACGTTCTTGCTTTGTTGAATACGCGTCTGTAAATTGCACCAATATGATAATCTCATGTAAAAACCTGTTAACTTCACGCTGGCCAACAGAAAATAAACAAATCTGACGTCACTTATCTGCGCGTGCATTGAAGTTTACGTTCAAGTTTTGTTAAATATGTTTAGCTTAACCTCTCTATTATCTGTGATTATCGAAATGGTGTGTGTTTTCCAGCTATGGTCTGAATGAAACTCAGTAGTACATGTACATCTACAAAGACGAATTAACTATGGGTAGCCTTTGTGTTTTCCTTGTTAATTAATATTTTTTGATTGCCGATAAGGTTTTTTTTTTGTTTAGGTATGGTCTGAATGAAACGGATAAGTACATTTACGTTGATGACGGATGCAGAGCGACTTTCTGCATTAACTTCACGGTTGATTACTGTGCGCAGACGCCATGTGATCTTGCTATGTATAGGTGTGAAAACGATCTGGAGGGTGCAACACACAGGTGTATACCACTGAACCCTTGCTCATCATCACCCTGCGAAAATAACGCCACCTGTGTAAGTGAGGGCGAGACTGAATTTTCGTGTAATTGTACAGAGTTCTTCACTGGCGACATTTGCGATGTTGGTAAGTCTAATAAACGTGTAGGGTTAAGAGAATGATCCATAGAAAGTTTTACTTTATCCTTTTGTGTCTCAAATATTTTAGCATTTCTCTTCAAAAGGGTGTGTGCATGACTGCATGCATAGACAGTACCTTGTTATTCCTCATAGAGATCTTTATAATTTGATATGCCTAGCTATGCGTGAATACCGAATATACATCCACGTTTAGGTTGTGTTTTTTAATGGATTTTTATTTCAGTTCAAGCAGTACTTTCAATACATATTAAAATTTTGTCATTTTACAATGTCGTGGGTAAGAGGATAGCACACATATACATCTCGCATAATGTAATGTGATTCTAAAATTGAACTCTTGGCAAACATAGCCTAATACAGTTTAGGTTGACGAAGATAAAGTTGTAAGAGTTATCAAATTATACCGCTTACGGACCGCCATTATATGATGTAGCTCCATTTTCATTTCAGAGATCAATCCATGTGACAGCAATCCTTGTCAAAATGGAGCCAATTGCACCAGGCCGACGCCACTCACGATTTCCTGTGACTGCAATTTCAACTCAACTGGAGACTTTTGCGAAATTGGTGAGTGAATTAGAGTACATTTGGGTTACGATTTTTCACCGCAGTCGAATATGGCCGAAGATACTTGTATCGCATCCGAAGATGGTCGAAGACGCGCCTAGAAATTTGATTGGTTCAAAGTACCCCCACTTGGTTGTACATCTTCCCCTGCGACGCATTGCATTGGTGTTCTCCATAGAACGTTTATTACAGAAATAAATTACTCATTACATTTTGAAATTCAGAGTCCCCTATTTGATAACATGAGATAAGTAAATTAATTAAGCTTTAACCCACTCATGACTCTTACATGACTCGGTGATAAGTCAAAACTGCATAATTTTGAAAAACAAAAAATCTATGTCCTGAGACAGTATTTTAATACTTTTAAAACTATTATGGGAACATGAACAATTAGTTATTGTGAAATGGTGCAAAGATTTGCACCATTTCACCTAACTTTCGTATATTTTAGTTGTTTTGTTTAGCTATCATTTTCCAATATACTGTTGCAATATAGTCATTGATTGCTTATTTTTTAAATTCAAAGTAGTTCCAAACATTTAAAATCTTAGTGTACCTACATTTCATTGCAGCAATTGGCCTCGTTGACTAATATAACACCATAACTTAATGTCCCCACATTTCATTGCACCAATTAGTCTCATTACCTAATATAACACCAGCACTTAATGTCCCCACATTTCAGTGCAGCAATTAGCATCATTACCTGATATAACACCATTTCTTAATTTCCCCACATTTCATTGCAGCAATTGGCCTCATTGACTAATATAACACCATTACTTAATGTCCCCACATTTCATTGCAGCAATTGGCCGCATTGACTAATATAACACCATTACTTAATGTCCCCACATTTCATTGCAGCAATTAGCCTCATTTCCTAACATAACACCATTACTTAATGTCCCAACATTTCATTGCAGCAATTAGCATCATTACCTGATGTAACACCATTACTTAATGTCCCAACATTTCGTTGCAGCAATTAGCATCATTACCTGATGTAACACCATTACTTAATGTCCCCACATTTCACTGCAGCAATTAGCCTCATTACCTAGTATAACACCATCACTTAATGTCCCCACATTTCATTGCAGCAATTAGCCTCATTTCCTAACATAACACCATCACTTAATGTCCCCACATTTCATTGCAGCAATTAGCATCATTGCCAAATATAACACCATTACTTAATGTCCCCACATTTCATTGCAGCAATTAGCATCATTGCCAAATATAACACCATTACTTAATGTCCCCACATTTCATTGCAGCAATTAGCATCATTGCCAAATATAACACCATTACTTAATGTCCCCACATTCCATTGCAGCAATTAGCATCATTACCTGATATAACACCATTTCTTAATGTCCCCACATTTCATTGCAGCAATTAGCCTCATTTCCTAACATAACACCATTACTTAATGTCCCCACATTTCATTGCAGCAATTAGCATCATTACCTGATATAACACCATTTCTTAATGTCCCCACATTTCACTGCAGCAATTAGCCTCATTACCTAATATAACACCATCACTTAATATCCCCACATTTCACTGCAGCAATTAGCCTCATTACCTAATATAACACCATTTCTTAATGTCCCCACATTTTATTGCAGCAATTGGCCTCATTGACTAATATAACACCATTTCTTAATGTCCCCACATTTCACTGCAGCAATTAGCCTCATTACCTAATATAACACCATTACTTAATGTCCCCACATTTCATTGCAGCAATTAGCATCATTACCTGATATAACACCATTACTTAATGTCCCAACATTTCATTGCAGCAATTAGCATCACTACCTGATGTAACACCATTACTTAATGTCCCCACATTTCACTGCAGCAATTAGCCTCATTACCTAACATAACACCATTACTTAATGTCCCCACATTTCATTGCAGCAATTAGCATCATTGCCAAATATAACACCATTACTTAATGTCCCCACATTCCATTGCAGCAATTAGCATCATTACCTGATATAACACCATTTCTTAATGTCCCCACATTTCATTGCAGTAATTAGCCTCATTTCCTAACATAACACCATTACTTAATGTCCCCACATTTCATTGCAGCAATTAGCATCATTACCTGATATAACACCATTTCTTAATGTCCCCACATTTCACTGCAGCAATTAGCCTCATTACCTAATATAACACCATCACTTAATATCCCCACATTTCACTGCAGCAATTAGCCTCATTACCTAATATAACACCATTTCTTAATGTCCCCACATTTTATTGCAGCAATTGGCCTCATTGACTAATATAACACCATTTCTTAATGTCCCCACATTTCATAGCAGCAATTAGCCTCATTACCTAATATAACACCATTACTTAATGTCCCCACATTTCATTGCAGCAATTAGCATCATTACCTGATATAACACCATTACTTAATGTCCCAACATTTCATTGCAGCAATTAGCATCACTACCTGATGTAACACCATTACTTAATGTCCCCACATTTCACTGCAGCAATTAGCCTCATTACCTAACATAACACCATCACTTAATGTCTCCACATTTCATTGCAGCAATTAGCATCATTGCCAAATATAACACCATTACATAATGTCCTCGCATTTTATTGCAGCAATTGGCCTCATTGAATAATATAACACCATTACTTAATGTCCCCACATTTCATTGCAGCAATTGGCTTCATTGACTAACATAACACTATTACTTAATGTCCCCACATTTCATTGCAGCAATTAGCATCACCTAATATAACACCATTACTTAATGTCCCCACATTTCATTGCAGCAATTAGTATCATTGCCTAATATAACACCATTACTTAATGTCCCCACATTTCAATGCAGCAATTAGCATCATTACCTGATATAACACTATTACTGAATGTCCCCACATTTCATTGCAGCAATTAGCATCAATGCCTAATATAAAACCATTACTTAATGTCCCCATATGTCATTGCAGCAATTAGCATCAATGCATAATATAACACCATTACTTAATGTCCCCACATTTCATTGCAGCAATTAGCATCAATGCCTAATATAACACCATTACTTAATGTCCCCATATGTCATTGCAGCAATTGGTATTGGGTTGAGTTTTGATAATTTCATGGAAGACAATCCCCTTGTAGAAGTTGTGTTCCTGGATTCTGAGCTTGAAGGGTCCTATTTTGTAGTGAATGCGACGTTAACTGGGGGTGACGGTAAATATGGATTTGTTTACATCTATATTTTATTTTGTTGTAGTGTTTTGTATTGTATTTTATCCTATGACAAGTGAGGTTTCAGGTACATAACAGCGGGATATAAAATCGATATCTTGGAGGAGCGGGACATATATAATCTCCCGCTGTATATCTCCCGCACCAATATTCCCGGGAAAATGTTTTCTCTCTGTGTAGAAACAGTCAAAATTCGTTAGAATATCTCGCTATAGCGAAACTACCAAAATGGAAGCAGACGGCGGTAGATATTCCTCGACCAAAACTTCGAAGTTAAGTTAAAATCTTTTCAATTTATCAGTTCAGGGAATAATAATCAGAGTCTCATAGATAAAAGTCACTTGTCATAGGATAAATTAGTTATGTGATGCTCGATTTTGGATATGGGGTATATCCAAAACCTCCCATAACATAACCCTCATGTATTTTGGTGTATTGTATTTATTGTAATTGCATATTTATTTAACTCTGGTCAATAGAGGGTTACAATAATAAAGTCACATAAATAAAAATATAAATATATAATATATAAATAAAATTTCAAATAAAACTACAAAATGATATTCTAAATAAGTGAACAGTGCTGTATAGAGACCGGCCGAAGGGATGAGTTGGGATATTTATTTTTATGTGAAATATGTTTTTTATTACTGTTCGAGTTATATTAATTTAATAAGTAAATGCACCTTTTCGTGAGTTTTGATGCAGAATTTATTTTCTGCCGACACATGTGGGAGTCAAAATAAATGTCCAAACAAATACTGGTTATCATGAAAACCACACAGATGGTAGCATGTATGAAATACAAAGTAGAAAAAGGTGTATGTCCCATGACGAATTTAAAATCATATACTTTTTAGCTTCTATTTAGCACAAATAACATCTCTTTTGCTATTTTGACGACAAAGCTTGTGATATTTCCCCACAAAACACGATTTATAAAGATAAGACTGTCAACCTCTGCAATTTTTGAGTTCATCTGACCATGACAGTTTTGACGAACCATGGTATGAAATCTCTAATAAAGGAGTGTGAAGCACACTATAGCGCAGCGATATTAATCCCACTGAAACGAAGTTCGATGAGGATATAGGAAAGCCGTCCGTCCATCTGTTTGTCCGGGCGACAACTCAAATAACAGTTGAGAGATTTGATTCACTTTTTAAAGGCTTATGCCTTATGGGGGTAAAACCTCTACGCGAGAAGAAATTTTCAATGTGGCCGCTTAATTCAAAATAGCCGCCATTTTTCGTAAAAAATATAATCTTTGATAACTCAAAATGGCTGCTAAATATCAAAATGGCGGCCATTTTTTAAAAAGACGTCACTACCAGTGAACGGATTTGGTTCAAATTTTATATGATGATGCATAGGGACAAAGTAATTTTGTTAAAGAAAGAATTTTCAAGATGGCGGCTGAATTTCAAAAAGGCGGCTATTTTTAATAAAAACGTAATCTTTGATAACTGAAATAATAGATGACGGATTTGGTTCAAATTTTATATGCTGATGCTTAGGGACAAAGGGATAAAGCTTAGGGATAAAAAAACGTAATCTTTGATAAATACTAGTTGACGGATTTGGTTCAAAAGGAGTGGTATCGATATGGTGAAATTTTGGACATGCATTTCTCTTAAACCAGTAATCAAAACATTCTAAAAATTTTACACATCGTCAATTTAATGGTCATCTTTTGGATGGTAACATTATAATTTGAAATATATATAAATACTTTTTTCAATATAGTTTTAGAAAACACATCAGACACTCCTTTTGTTATTGGTATCATATGTTCGGAATGAAATGAAACATCTATCCGAACCTCATTGTAACAAAACGACATAAACACAACGTTCTTAGGTCTCTCAATATTGTAATTGTACAAAGGAAAGTTTGGTTGATTTTAAAAAAGAATCTTGTTATTATTATCTTGTTATCCTGACTTATTCCTAATCATGACTGATCATGTCATCACACTGCCAAGAAATTATTTATTGTACACTATTTACTTTGACTAAATATTTACATTTATTGTTCAAGGGACTTCCTACATTTACCCTGCTAGCCCAGCGTGGATTGGAGCCACCATAGAAATATTTGTCTATCATGATAATGACGATAATCAAAACTACAACAATGTGGATCACGGCTATAGACAGGTAAAAGATAAATGAATATTTTCAAATATGTATTTCCCTATTTGTTTCTGATTGGTATTGCTAATAAATGTTTTGGCTTCTACGTTCTCATTTTTCTTGATTTACCGAGTGACCCGAAACATGCAACCCTTCAGTATTTGAATAATTTTATAGTTATCTCGTGTACAGTTGTATATAGTTAAAAATGTATTTTTGGCCTTGGAATGCAATACCAACATGTTGTTCAAAAATTCAAAGCATCTAATTTTTTTTTACTTTTCGACAATTATTTGGAAATTAAACCGTCGAGCATAAACAGGTTTTGATAAACGAAGACAACAATTCCCAAATATATCGAGGAAAGTGTACAACAACAACAAATAGAATTCAAATCCAATATATGTGTAATAACCACTGGCGGATTAGGGGGGGGGGCCTGGGGGCCCGGCCCCCCCCCCTTGGGTGGGCCCAGAAAAAAAAATTGGGCCCAAAAAAAATGTTGGGCCAAAAAAGGCCTTCAGACCCCAAAAAGTGGGCCTTTTTGGTCATTCCTGGGCCTTTCAAGGCCTTATTTTTTAATTTCAGGCAAAATTTTGAAGAAAATGGGCCTCAAAATTTCAAAATTTGGGCCTACTTTTTGGTTTTAGGGTTACCTTCTAGTTTTTCTCTGATTTGAAATTTGGGCCCCCCGCCCCCCTTGTTGATTCCCAGATCCGCCCCTGATAACCCAATGACTAACTAACGAGCATAATAAACAAGTCAGATAAGGAAATTGAAAGAAAGTGTGCTAAATTCAATGCCCCGTGTTGGAATCGAACCTAGGTACCTTGGATCCAGAATGTTGGTCTACCAACTGAGCTACATGTATAAAGGCTTTAGCCTCTCCACCTGGCCTCTAGTAGCACACGGTGGTTCTCATTCACATATTGCTGTCCACCAATCGCTTCATATCCAAATGTGGTCCCAGAAATGGTGACTAACTTTCGCACCACAAAAAAGTCATGAATTGATCTTTAAAACAAATATAGACCAATTGAGAGAACATATATCCAAACTTTGTTTTCAATGACACTCCAATAGATCAAATTAAACATCATAAGCACCTCGGTTTAATTCTTGATGAAAAGTCAACTTTCAAAACCCAAATTAAATATCTAGAAGGTAAACTTCAAAGATTATTAAATCCACTTATGGCAATTCCAAACACTAAAAATATCGAACCTACAATTTCAACCTCCTACTTACAAGAACCTTGATAGAAAAGAAGAAATAGTACTAAATAAGATAAGAGTGAATCGATAATTTAAATCCGATCTTTTTGATCATAATTTCGAGAGACAGCACAACTCTTGTGCTAGCAACAAATGCGCTAGCGGTGGTTAAACGTGAACTAAACTTAGATGTAACTAAATTCAAAACATTAAAAAACAAGACAAATTTCCTATATTTTGGCGACAAGGATCTGACAAATAAAAACAATTCTAAAATTTTTAAGGCAGTTTTAAATTTCATTAAACACAATTAAACATGCGATAACAGGAATTCAAATTCAGGCCACCAATGGGGGTACAGACAGGTAGAAAAACAGATTGTATTTGAATCTATATTTTTCTTATACTAACTATGACTACTATTTTCCTAGTACAACTGTCTTTTGAGCAGGTGTCCAAGGAATCATAATTTACAACTAACCATTTACAGGAGCTATACATACACAGTCTCTTCTTTATTTCCTGGAAATATTAACATAATTGAACCAGTATTGTTCAAGATATAGCGATTTCTTTGGGTTGCGTTTTTTTGAACACCTTGTATATATTTTGAGTTGACTGTAACTGAATTATATATAGTTGAGTCATATCGTGCCAAATTATTCGCAAAACACTAAATCTAAAATAGGTGAGACAATATACAGGGTATCCATGAATCCTCTTTACAATTTAAATACAAAGTAGGAGTAAAAAGGAAGACTGCATGGACACCCTCTATACCTTGAGGTCAAGGGAGAATTCTTGATGTCAGAAATTCTAGTGCGGCTTTTTAAGATGCCAATGGCCTTTTAAAACCCTGTGTACTATACGCCACTGTGTAATGTTATTATAATACTTAAGAACTACCAAACATACGTCGGTTTTGCAGGTTATCGTGCTTGACGCTAGTTTCCAATGGGTGAACATATCTTACAGCGATCTTCAACTGCTTGTAGTTTGCCCAATTGGTGTAGACGGCGCTAGTGGCTTCGCAGAAGGGTCAACGGGTAAATATATTCAATGAAACCACAGCATCTGAGATGATACAATTTATTAACTTATTTAACTGATAAAGAATAATAATTATTACCACCTTCCCGGGGCCAGTTCTAGGGGTTTTAGTGCTAGTTTTAGTAGAAGGCATTCATTTTACTATATCGACCTGAGCAATATGTGACGTCATAGTGGCGGTCCATAATTGCAGTCAATAATGCAATTAATGACCGGCAATTCCCCCCCCCCCGGAAAACTAGATATCGTCAGGTGCGTAAGATTTTCTTGCTATTTTAGTCTTGGTCATTAACGGTGGTAATAATACTAATACCTTCGGCCCGGTATTTCACTATATTGCCCTTCGGAATGACGTTATTGTATTATTGTAACCATGATCATGCAAAGAAATAAGGGTTATGCACTGGGAGGTTTTGGATACAGGGAATATCCCGAGGGATATACAATATATCTTCCCGAGGGACCGAAGGGACCGGGGGAAGATGTATTGTATATCCCAAGGGATATTCCATGTATCCAAACCGACCGTGCATAACTGGTGTATCTCATACTTTTTTTAACTTTTTAAAACTTTTTTAAACTTTTGAAAAATTCCCGGGAGCGGGATGGATATATTATATCTGCCCGCATTTGGCCTGGAGCGGGACATATACAATATATCCTGCCCGCTCCTCAGATATGATATATATTCCCGAGTGATATCTACCCCAAACCCACTTAAGTATGAGATACTAGGAATTATCAAAGGGCCTTGAGAAAGGCCATGGTTTAAATTATTAGAGACATAAAATGAACCATATTTTATTGTAATTGTAACAATTTTTTCAGGCATCTCTTCTTTTGACCATTTCTTTTGTTATGCCTTCTCCGGGTACTCCAACTTTACTTTAACTGGAAACTCATCGCTACCACTAGGTGTTGTGTATACTGGCTTAGCACTTACGGTAAGTTGTAGTGTTTTGACATGCCTGGGTAAATATCATCCATATTTCACACATCAATATAATATTATTCCAAGCAATGTGTGCTTTATATTAAACAACAGAGAGATTAAGTTACACGTTCAAGTGCAAACCTTGAACCTGAACGCGTAAGTTTACGCTCAAGTACACGTTTAAGAAAATTTTCCGTTAAGCTACACGTCTGAAAGTATGTCGGTGGAGGTCTGATGTTTTTAATTATTTTCGCTTTATTTCACATTCAACCACAATTCAATTACTTTAGTTTCCCTTTTAGCTCATATCAATGGGTGACTTAATACAAAGAAAATGCCTCGTTCGCAAATCAGATGTAGTGATAAGGCAATAGTAGGCCCTGGTTGTCATTTCATTTCGTTTAGTATACAAACTGTACTAAGCCCAGTGTATTAAATTAGCCATGGCTATACATATTATACGAAATGAAACACAACTATCACATTTGAAGTTTTCATTTATCCATTAAGGTGCTATGGAAGTTAACAGGAAATGACAAAACAAAAAATGTCAAAACCATGCTGGATTTTGACAATCTTTTGAACCAAGATAACAGAGTTCTGTTTGGACCTCCAGTCAGTTTAACTAGTTCCACATATCATTTACATGACTGGGAACACAATGGAAATGGTCAGAATGACCATAAACATGATGAAATAACCTTTTCAGCCCTCTGAAAATGTGACTGAAAAATAGCTAAGTAGGTGCTCAGGAAAGGTCACTGAACAGAATCTTTTGACTTTTCAGAAAATGTGCCCAATATATTGCTCTAAATGGTACAATTTTAAGAAATTTCATATCATTCTTAGAAAAAGAAAAAAAATGAAAAAAGAGAATTTAAAATCGATCTATTTTCCTTTTAACTACAGCCATTATTGTTTCAGACGATTTTTTTTTAAATTCAAAGATTGTATCATTCAGAGCAATATATTGGACACATTTTCTGAAAAAATCAAAAGATTCTGTTCATTGACCTTTCCTGAGCACCTACTTTTAGCTATTTTACAGTCACATTTTCAGAGGGCTTTTTTTTTATTTATCCTGTTTTATTTAATACAATAATATATGTAAAAAGAAAATTTCCAAAAAGGCGACTTTTCAGAGGGCTGAAAAGGTTACTAGTATTTCATCATGTTTCTGGTCATTCTGACCATTTTCATTTGTTCCCGGTCATGTAAATGATATGTGGAACTAGTTAAACTGACTGGAGGTCCAAACAGAACTCTGTTATCTTGGTTCAAAACATTTTCAAAATCCAGCATGGTTTTCACATTTTTTGTTTTGTCATTTCCTTCCATAGCACCTTAAAGGGGTTTACCAATATAACATGCAAGGGTACCTGTATCAAATATTGGCCACTGTGCCATCCTAGAACAGAGCTAAAATGAATCGCGTAATAAGCGACATGTAATGGCTCATCTATGCGTAAAAAACTAACTTTTACGCTTACCTGTAAAAACTAGAAAACAGACTAATCTGACGTCATTTTTCATGCTTTGTTGAATACGCGTCTGTAAATTTCACCAATATGATAATCCTATGTAAAAACCTGTAAACTTCACGCTGGCCCACAGAAAATAAACAAATTTGACGTCATTTATCTGCGTGCGCATTGAAGTTCACGTTCAAGTTTTGTTAAATACGTGTAGCTTAACCTCTCTACTAATAAAAAAAAGTAATACTTGTTAGTTTGGATCCCGGTTCGTTTTAGCGAATTTGCACATTTGAAACGATGGCTGCGCGCTCTTAAAATGCACTATTGACCTATTACTATTGTACCATTCTCTTATACTTCTATATTCCATAATTGTTCAAATCTTGCACATGAAAACTGCACATCGTAGAAGCATTTTGGCATGAGTTGATTATTGATTAACGAACTGAGATTCTGGAAAAGGTTTTAAAAGCATTGATTTTTACCTATCATAAATACACATTAACTACATTATTTACAGATTTCATAAATAAATTAAATATTAAAGTATTCCAAAATCCTTAATATTTATCCAGGTTAATTGCTTACACCGCTACGGGCCTGGGCGTTTTACTTCAAACTAATGACTTATTTATCATCCTTAATGATCTAATTTCAGCAATCAAGCGTCGTTTCAACCACTTCACCTGCAAGTAGTATTTCCAAGTACCTGATACCTGGGCTATACTCGTATGTCTGCGCGTACCTGGATGCACCCGAATATGAAGATCCCCTGACGACTGTCAAGGATGAGTCGAAGCTGCACAAATTTAACGTACCAGCATTCTACACCGGCAACACTACTAATCCTGCCAATGGAATTGCAGAAAACTGTTCGCCAACTAACTATGTCATTCAAAACGGCAATGGACCATTCCCTTCTGGTGAAATCTTACCTCGCTTCGTAATTAAGGATCCTATTGATCTCTAGATTTCAGTATTCCCCCAGATCCAATGTGCTTTGTATCATTTCAATGCTAAAAAGCATCATTCCAAATAGTTGGATAATCTAAGATAAAACAACAGTTGAAACACAACTCGCATTGACATGATCTCTATGCTATGTACGCCTTAAAATTGACACAAGAATTAAAGCCACCATATTCTTTTACACAGTTATGAGAACTATCTAAGATGCATAACACGTCATAATTTAGACGCCCTTCAGGACGCCAAGGAAATTGATCGGAAAGAGATCGTTAAGGACTGGACCAGAGTCAAATGTCCGAACGTTTTTAATGAATACAACACAAGAATCAAATTAATGTATAAAACTAGATGAATAATATATTTTTATAAACATGCAAAATATATTTTTATTCCTAATATAAAAAGTGTTTATATATAAAATGTTGTACCATGGAACTCAACTGTCGGAATAGTCAACTGACATCATAAATTATGCATTTCAGTCAATGTCATAACATTCCTAGGTTTTAAGCCATGGTCAAATCTTAAATCAGACACTTCAATTCCAAATCCCAATGAAAAATGCGCATGCGCAATAAATACATTGGAATAAATTTCGTTCGTTGGTAATAAAGCACTTGTTGCTGAAACTCTGAACATGCAATGTTAGAGGTGCTACCTACAGTAACCTGCGACAGTTACTGAACTGCCATCTTATTACATGTACATAGCTTAACTTTGTATTTGCTAAATGACCATTGCATTGATATAGGCCCATTGATATAGGCTCATTCATATAGGCTATTTTATATAAGCTCATTGATATAGAAAAGGCTCATAGGTTTGTTTCCACTTAGTTGCTACTCATATTTTTTAGAAATGGCAGCCAAAACCGGAAATATCCTTAGCGTTGAGAATGTCTTTTATTGACAATGCTTTATTGTAAAGTTGCACGCACGACATACGACCGTTAAATGCTCTATTGTCAGTTTCAACTCTTGCCCCTATTCTGATTTTACTCATTGTTGCGATTTCCGTTCTCGGAGAATAGGTGACTTCATTGACAACGTCACCGTCTTGCACCAGTGTAAGTAGTCCCGTGTTGTATTCATACACTACACTGAGGTAGTACCAAACATTTTGGCGGATGGTTTCATTAGAAATGGCCGAAGGAAATAGTCCTTCACCATTTCTTTTGAAAAGTCCAGCCTCGAACCTTCCATTTGCAGTCAACCAAATATAGGTAGAAAACACATCTTCCTCTGGCGGAACATACATGAACAAAGGGCAAAGGTCAAGGACAGATGCATATACGAACGCACTCCAGGTGAATGAATATCTGACATCTAAGTGACTTCCGGTGGTATGGAGAATCTCTATATATGAACTGCTAGAGCCACTGAATGATACGGCTCCTTGTGGATTGCCATTTGGACCATTTGCAAAAGACACCCCAACTGCATTAACTGTTTTATTGTATCCCGATATGTCGTCTGCTCCGTAGAAACCATTCAAGGGCCATATACCAACAGCAGCCGAGAGAACTGTAGAACAATATGATAAAACAAGCCATTAACATGCAAAATTCCACCAATTACCATTTGTTACAGATGCCGAACACCAACATTGTCCATAAAAGAACTTGTTTGGTGTGATAGCTATATTTTTGCTAACTCGTTCATAAACAGTCTTAAATACGTTCTTAATCAGTTTAAACTCGTTTGCAATTAGTTCTATCTCGTTCTCAATACGTCCTCGGACAGTTCAACTTGTTGTTAAAACGTCCTTAGTAGGATTAAAGTACGACGGTTCCGTTCGTAGTAGGTCCAGCTCGTCGTTAGTACGTTGTCACTCGTTCTAATTGTAGAACGTATCGACCACGAGAACAATTTGAGCATGTTCTTAGTTCTAGAGGACCTACCCGTTCGAGTACGTTCGATGAAGTTTGTAAATAGACCCCAAACGGTTTTAAGGACGTCCATAGATCGTGAAAGATCACACCAAACTAATTTTCACTACGTTCTCGAAAACTGGCTTCAACTGTGTACGAACGGACTGGACGTACTTATAACCGTTTGGGGTCTATTTACAAACTTCATCGAACGTTCTCGAACGGGTAGGTCCTCTAGAACTTAGAACATGCTCAAAATGTTATCTTGGTCGTCACGTTCTATAATTAGAACGAGTTACAACCTACTAACGACGGGATGAACGTACTACGAACGGAACCGTAGTACTTCAATCCTACTAGGGACGTTTTTACAACGAGTTGGACTTTTGAGGACGTATTGAGAACGAGGTAGAACTAATTGCAAACGGGTTAACTGATTAAGAACGTATTTATCAACGAGTTAGCAAAAATATAGCTATTACACCAAACAAGTTGCCACTGCGTTCTTAAAAACTGGTTTTAAACTGTGTGCGAACGGAATGAACGTAGCTACAACGTTATACGGTCTGTTTACGAATTTCATGCAATTTTCTTTGTGTATCCCCACTTTTCCGATTTCAATCATAAATTGTGTCAATATAGCGTGCAAACTTAGGGTAGACGTTGTAGTTCTCGGATGCCAAAACGCCTGGGAGCACATAGATACTCGAATCCCGGACTCGAATGATCTTGATTTGATATTGTGCTGTTAATTGGGTTCAATAATAAATTTAAAGTCTTATGTAAGATGAGATATAAAGCGTTTTTATTCCAAACACAAATGTTATGACATATCCGACATCTTAGATCTAGCAGCCTATCGGCAATTGGTTAAAACACATCACGTGGTACAAAAGTAGGTCACTAAGCACGTGGCCTGATAAACAATAGATGTTGATGAGTGAATATATCAGCTAACACTACAGATATCATGGTGCAAAGAAATCGTAAATCTACTGAGTGGTTCTATGAAAATAAAAATAAAAGGATATGGGTTATTATAGATCCCGTCAATCGACCTCAACCAATCCAACTTTAAGATCTTACTTGAGGTCTTATTTCCTGTAGCGTTATAAAACCCTGCTGTGGTATTACCGGTAGTGGTCATGGCCGAAGATTGCGTAGTAATTGGTGCTGTAGTTGCGTTCATTCCTTTCATTTGTTCGTCGATCTTTGCCGTATGTAAATAATCCAAACCTGTCAAAGTAAGAAAGGTTCGGTATTTGTATCACAATCGTACAACATACAGGGTGACCCAAGAAACACAACCCTACATGTACAGAAACTGCAATCAATGGATGACAATGCGAGACTAAATTCTTTACATAAGATTCAATTCTTTTTGTCATGGTCAATTAAAAAATGTGCCCACTTTTGTCGACAGAAAAGTAAATGAAAGATTTTCACCAAAGGGTTACACATCACATTTTTTAGGTTCTCGTACGCTGCATTGTCACAAAAAATCAATTTTGTGAAACACTTAATGTCGTATTATCATCCATAGATTCTAATTTATGCACATAAAAACTGGCTTCGTAGGATTAGGTATTTAAGAAATTATTACATTATTATAGGGTTCTGTTTTTGGGTCACCCTGTACACTTTTCGATTATGCAGAAAACTATGTACATAGTCGTTCAAACTCATATTTTTGCTTTCCGGGTCTTAGTAGCATTAATTGGGTACTTCCTATTTTCAAAAAAATCACAAATAGTTTAAATCAACACAGGTACAATCCATGATATAACAGTCCTCCACATAACTACACTTCATGGTAGACATGTACGTAATCATCAGGCCTCCTGGACTTCCATCAACGCGAATATCAGTTCTGACCTCGCAAACTTTGGTCCTTGCAGTCAAACCACGATTCTCAGGTGGCGAACGTGAACTCTTATGTCGCACACCACCATTTACTCTTTCTCGAACATATTTCTCCACTCATGCAGAGAGATTCGTGCTCGCGAACCACACACCTGGTCGAAAAAAGTCAGTAATTTTACTTGTATCATTACACATAACTAAAACTCCAACGAAGTGTTTTTATTTTTATTAAGGAAGAAATACTTTCCCAGTTTTTCATGCATGTTTATGTATATCCACTTATTGAAGATATAGAGGTTCTTGTATGAGTACCTGTGCAAGATCGTCCATTCTTGATGAGCTTTGTTAATTCTCCTTTATCGAGTCGAAGACGAGATAAAGAAACATTATCAAAGCGGGTCAAGAGTGGACGATATTGCACAGGTACGAGTACTAGAAAGTTTTTCTAATGTGACTCTCTAAATAATGCCCTATTGTTACATTTTTATGATAAAACTGAGTGAAAATAGCTTCAAATTAATGGAACTTCATCTTTCGATAGTAATCACGCCTTACCATCGCGTAAGCAGGCGTCACCGTACAGCGTCAAAAAATAGCGGAGTACAGTTTTCTGTACGGTAACGCAAATTAACTGCTTTGAAGCAAAAACTATGACAAGGGTTTTAAAAAATTAATTTGATGAAAACTAATACGATTTCATGTGAAATAAAAACAGCATTCTCTTAGAAATGGTTTTAACTTT